GGCTAGCCGTGTGTGTGTGTGTGTGTGTGTGTGTGTGTGTGTGTGTGTGTGTGTGTGTGTGTGTGTGTGTGTGTGTGTGTGTGTGTGTGTGTGTGTGTGTGTGTGTGTGTGTGTGTGTGTGTGTGTGTGTGTGTGTGTGTGTGTGTGTGTGTGTGTGTGTGTGTGTGTGTGTGTGTGTGTGTGTGTGTGTGTGTGTGTGTGTGTGTGTGTGTGTGTGTGTGTGTGTGTGTGTGTGTGTGTGTGTGTGTGTGTGTGTGTGTGTGTGTGTGTGTGTGTGTGTGTGTGTGTGTGTGTGTGTGTGTGTGTGTGTGTGTGTGTGTGTGTGTGTGTGTGTGTGTGTGTGTGTGTGTGTGTGTGTGTGTGTGTGTGTGTGTGTGTGTGTGTGTGTGTGTGTGTGTGTGTGTGTGTGTGTGTGTGTGTGTGTGTGTGTGTGTGTGTGTGTGTGTGTGTGTGTGTGTGTGTGTGTGTGTGTGTGTGTGTGTGTGTGTGTGTGTGTGTGTGTGTGTGTGTGTGTGTGTGTGTGTGTGTGTGTGTGTGTGTGTGTGTGTGTGTGTGTGTGTGTGTGTGTGTGTGTGTGTGTGTGTGTGTGTGTGTGTGTGTGTGTGTGTGTGTGTGTGTGTGTGTGTGTGTGTGTGTGTGTGTGTGTGTGTGTGTGTGTGTGTGTGTGTGTGTGTGTGTGTGTGTGTGTGTGTGTGTGTGTGTGTGTGTGTGTGTGTGTGTGTGTGTGTGTGTGTGTGTGTGTGTGTGTGTGTGTGTGTGTGTGTGTGTGTGTGTGTGTGTGTGTGTGTGTGTGTGTGTGTGTGTGTGTGTGTGTGTGTGTGTGTGTGTGTGTGTGTGTGTGTGTGTGTGTGTGTGTGTGTGTGTGTGTGTGTGTGTGTGTGTGTGTGTGTGTGTGTGTGTGTGTGTGTGTGTGTGTGTGTGTGTGTGTGTGTGTGTGTGTGTGTGTGTGTGTGTGTGTGTGTGTGTGTGTGTGTGTGTAGTGCTTAGAAAATGACTTTATCTCTCAGCCGGTAAATATCCGCCAATTTCTCTAATGCACGAGGATGTGTGCTGCCCTCCTGTCCTGTTACTATGTTGCTATGGTCTACTCTAGGTGGAGCTAAACCTGCTGGAGTTGGTTGAGCGCTACTGTGCTGATTGGTCCCTGCAAGAAGAAGTCAAGAACTGCTTGGCGTCAACACCGGCTGACTCAGCAGAGGCAGCCAAGCGAACCAGGTGAGTCCAGCTACCTCTACAGAATACCGTAGTTTCGGCAACACTGGTCGAGGCGCTTAACGTTAGTACCAGTAGTTTTCGAGCCCGAATATTTCTCTCGATTTGAAAAAATCCACACGGGATCCCTGAAATGATGTGGCGCTTGTTTCAGACAGGCGGTAATAAGAGACCGGCCGTATTGTCAGGAAATACGGTATTCCCCTGTGGACAGCGTGTATTGTACGGGGACAGTGGCCATTTGGACTTGGGTCCCGTGGTTCTCGTATATGGATGCACGTCGCATGTGAAGTGCATAGGCGCTGTTCACTGCTTATGTATGTTTGCCTATAACACTGACGTGCATACTGCTAGCTTGTCATGCTGGGCAGTGGGCTCTGTAAAATCCAGACTCATGTATTTAGTAATCTTAACCATGTGCTCTCGTGTGCCTTCGTTGAGACTGTAGTAAGCTGTATGCAGCACACCTGGTCTTATCAATGCGTTGCTTTTGTTTTGCTTTGCCTGATGGGACTAGGGCCATGAAGAGGAAGTTCGACCCGCTTATCTCCCGGATGCGAAACCGCACACAGCCAGGTATGTGTGTGTGTGTGTGTATGTGTGTGTCGGTGTGTGTCGGTGTATGTTTGTGTGCGTCCGTGTGTTACACGTCTGTGGCATTTCTGAGTTCGTTGTCACCTCCATTCCCTCACTGGCTGCTGCTTCTTAGAATTCCTGCGTCCAGACTTACTGCACGCATTGGTATGTGTGGTGTATGGTGCATGTGGTGTTGGCACAGTGAAGTGCTATGCCTGTAGCCCCATACACCACACATTGGTACGCATGGTGCATGTGGTGTTGGTACAGTGAAGTCCTGTGCTTGATCAGTTGAGATTTGGCTCTGAACGTCAACCATGGCTCTAAAGCTGTGTTCACAACTGGCGCGTGTACGCGGTACGCTTGCGGTTCATGCGTGCCCAAACGCGCGCTCAGCCTTTCACAAAAAAACAGCAATCCGAGTCGTATTTAGCGCGTGCGACACCTTCGAGTACTAATTTTTTGACCCCGTCAGTCAAAGTGACTGGCATGTACGCTGGTACGCGCCTGATACGCGCTGAAAATTCCAACATGTTGGAATTTCCATTTCGGCGCATTTCCGTACGCATGGCGCCCCAAAAGCCAGCAAATATACGCACAAACGCGTGGTTTCACTTGTACACGCGCCAGTTGTGAACACAGCTTTAGTCATGAAGCTAAAGTGAAATTCTTGCTAGTTTGCCGTTGCTATGATGCAACAATGGATGTGCGATTGTGTGATTGTTCATTCTTCTAGTCTTTCCGTACCACTACCACTAACTGCCGTGTGTTCATGCCAGGAGTAATTTGCGCTGCTGTTGCTGTTGCGTGTGTGTTTATATGTGTGCATGCACATGCATGTGTGTGGGTGGGTGGGTGTGTGCACGCGTGTATGTATTCGTGCATTTCTAGTTCCTCTGAGGGGACGTGGTCGCATGCTGACGCAGCGGCTGCAGCGCTCCGACATGTACCGCGGCCGCAAGCAGAACAGCAGCCGCGCGCCGAGCATGCATGTGGACGACTTCATGGTATTGGAAGGCGACGTGCTGCCGTCATCCTCCATGCAACGCCCACCGGGCGGAGGTGGTCGAGGAGGGGGCGGACCCCCAGTGGGCCGAGGTGGTGGTCGTGGTGTGAGGCACGGTGACTTCGGCGGCGGTCAGTTTGGTGGTGTACACGCCGGCGGCGGCCCGATGCCCCACCACCCTCCGTGGGGACACCAGGGCCAGCAGCGGCTCAACCCCAGGTTCAACAACCGAGACATGCGACAGGTATGTAGGCGACAGCACGGCTAATGGACGGGCTTGCAACTAGGGCTCAAACGGCTACGGTTTTCACCTTAACGGTTAACTGCTACGCTAACGGTCGGTTTATCGGTTATAACCTATAAGCTGCGGCAGTCTGGCGCGTAGCTAGTTTGAACAGTATTGCACAATATGCTTGGTCAAAAATGTACTCTGCAGACTTACTACTATGTACTAATCCATGCACATGTTGGCATGCTCATTCACGCCTATTCACAGACCAGAAGCATTAAAGATGGCATGAAATTGATTCAAATTTTCACGGATGGTACTATGTAGTGTGCATGTATGCATGTGTACATACACGGTAGGTTGTAAAACTGCCAAAACTCGGTAAAAAGGCGTACTTCGAAAACTCGAAAAAGTACCCACATAACCTTTACACAAACGGTTAACCTTTATCTTTTCAAAACCGGTCTTAAACCGGTTAATCGGGCTAACTGTTTGAGCCCTACTTGCAACACACGCTGTCTCTACTAGCTGTTACAGCTTCGGAGAAGGGCTTGCAACACTTGCTGTCTCTAGTAGCTAAGGGAGGGGCTTGTAAGTTGCAACACATACAGTCCCCAGTACCACTTAGCAAGGGTACATAACCCCGGGCCCCCAAGAGTGTGCAACTCCCACATAACCTGCTGTCCCGACAGAATTTCAAGTTGACGTCATTATTTATGATGCAATGTTCCTTGCACCAGTGATTTACAACATGTGTACGGGTGTCAAGCATCACACGTCTTTTTTGCAATCATTTGTACAGCATCAGATGGGCTTTGGTCCACCACAGGTTACGGATTCGTCTGATAATCCGTGTACAGTGCGCATTGCATCATAAAAATGACGTCAACTTGAAATTCTGTCGGGACACCACCCATAGTCGAGCTGCACACTCTTGGGGGGTTATGTACTCTTGCACTTAGGGAAGGGCTTATAACATGCGCTGTCTCTAAATACAGCTAAGGGATGGGCGTGCAACACGCGCTGTCTCAAGTATGGCTCAGGGCAGGGCATGCAACACATGCTGTCTCCCGTACAACTAACTTAAGGAAGGGCTTGCATCACTGTGCAGTTCACCACTCCTTGGCTTTAGATGAGTGTGTGCACAGTGCTGGTAAGTGAAATCCAGCCCCATGCATAGAAGTGGTGCAAGACTACTAGTACTACACAGCCCAGCACACTACCAGCACTAGGCTGTGCAGCTCTGCTTTATTCATGCGGTTGGATTTCATTTCCCAGCGCTGTGGATACTCCCGCGCAGCGATATCATTACTGTGCTGCTCAATGAAATCCAATCGCGTCGCTGAAGTATGCAGTGGGCATTGTGAATACTGAGCATTGCGAGCACTAGGCTGTAAACTTGAGTGGTAGGACTGGATTACATTGGGCAACACTGTACGTGAACACGCTGCACAACTGGGCTACTACTGTAAGTCAACAAATATTCGGCGCACGTTTATTTTCGGCTATTTTCGGCCTGGGCATGTTTGGGCGAAAATTTGTCGGGGCCGAAATTTTGTTTTGCAAGGTTCAGTGTGACAGTGTATAATACAGGCTGCAGCAGTACAGCCGAAAACTTGATGCGGCCGAAATGTGTTTTGGCCCTGGGAGGCCGAAATTTGAATGGGCTGAAAATTTGTAGACTTACAGTAGTCCAGACTTGAAGACTTGCCTGTTCCGTAACTGGTGTATTTCACTCTCGTCATGCTTGTTGTTTTTGTTGCTTTGTTTCGCTTTTCTTCGGTCGCTCTCGCACAGCAGCAGCAGCTGCCCATGGATGGTGGCGGGCCACCAGGTCCGGCCGGTCGCATCACGCAGGAGTTGCAGCGCATCCTCAACAACCTGCCGTCCACGCCGGGCGTTGGCGGAAGGTGGCCGGGTGATGGCGGCGGAGGCGGTCGTAAGTTGCAACGCTGATGTGTTTTAAATCTCAAGTCCACACAGAGGTGCTAGTGAAGCTTTTAAAAATCAGATCCACTCTGATTTGGCTACCCACACTAGTAGCAAGTATTACCTTCACTGGGGGCAGGAGTAAATGCAGTTGGATCCCAGGACGGATACCCTGATGCCGTCAATCCTTTTTCTGCACCTTGTCCTCACCCGCTTGCTGCGGTGTTGTGAGCCCATAAGTGGAATCATTTCCAAGTCCGCCCAGAGTGCGGGGATTTCAGGGGGCGTCGGCCGTTGGGCAGTTCAATCGCCAATTGAGTCAACTTTCCAAGATTCCTTTTGAGTCTGTCTCCTCTCCCGGTTAGACCCAGGCACAGTGAGCAAGTACGATGTTAAACTTCACCACAGTGCTGGCGTAGAGTGGTAAATTTATGACTCTGCATGCAGCTGTCTACATATAGTCTGTAAAGAAGCGGTGAATGCATGCTGTTCCATCACATCTCCCATCGGCTATGCACCAGGCATGAACTGATGGCGTTCGTGAGAGGAGACAGCATGGTTTTGCCTGCTATGACAGGACACTGTTTGCAGCTAGGTACTGCATAGCATGTGCCTGGCATGTGGCTGCTTCACCAGTAGGATAAAGCCTAAGAATAAGAATAATGTGTATGTGTGCATGTGTGTGTGTGCGCGCGCCCATGCATGTGTGTGCGTGTGTGTGTGTGCGCGTGCATGCTGTTCGTGTGGATTTCCTCCTGTAGATATGCCCATTGCTAGCCCATGGCAGACTGTCAACCGGCAATCACGTTACCCTCAGCGCGGGTAAGTTGCATTTCCTATTCCAAGTGGTATCGCCACTGATTGGCTTTTGACACCATGGCCACGTTGTGCGTAATTGTGATACAGTATTTGGTGTTTGTATGTGATAATATTATTTCTTCACAAGAGTTAATGTTACCAGGAAGCAGTTAAAATAGGGTTGAGTTGCCATAGATGCAGCGAATGGGTTTTCGGTCTTTGTCCACTGTGGTGGTGGTGGGTCGGATCTACTCATCTTCCACTGCTTTAGGAGCTGCATCTGCGCCCTGATCCGTGTGGATGGTGGCGCCCCTATATATTATGCGGAAAACTCGTTCTAACCGAGTCTCACGCGAATCGTGAATTTGTTGGTTACAGTGAAACCTGTGTAAGACGACCACCGCTCAAGGGACCTTGAAAACGTGGTCTCTGTTACCAGGTGGTCTCCTTATCCAGGGTCATTTGACTGGAAATAGGGTCCCTTGGTCCTGGTCCCAGTGGCCTTCTAGGACAGGTGGTCACCTTATCCGAGTGGTCGCCTTGACAGGTTTTACTGTATCTCTCTCCTTTCTTTGCCTGTCGGTCCATGGTATGTCTTTCCTGTTCTGTACTCTGTCTGACCTACAGCTGGGCCGGTGATCATCCAGGTGGGTTCAGTGATATTGTCTTAGAACTGGTGTGACATGGCCTGTAGTGTTGAAATAAAAAACAAGCTGCTGGTTTCATGTACTGTCAGTGAAACCTGCCTTGTAGGGACCTTCAATATGTGGTCGCTGTGCACAGGTGGTCTCCGTATCCAGGGTCATTTGACTGGGAATACGTGTAGTACCCCTAGTGGTCCTCTTGGCCAGGTGGTCACCTTGACAGGTTTTACTGCATCTGCAAGTTATATTATTATGCATGACTGACTATGCATGATATGCATGACTGACTATGCATGATTATGCATGACTCACTGCTCAGTACCAACAGGCAGGATGTGCTCATGCAGCGTGGCGGCGAGGTGATCAAAAACTGTGATTTGACAAAATTCGTTACCTTTGTGGACTGTTAGTCACAACTATATACACAGAAGCCTTGCTTGGTAGTTTAACATGTTTTTCGATTTTGACAGCATGTTACAAGGCGAGGACGCGTAGTGCCAACCGGATTACGGTTGTAGTCAGGAGCACTACGCGTCCTCGCCTTGTAACATGCTGTCGAAATCGAAAAACATAGTCATAACTAGTAACGTATAGGTCCTTTTCTCTTTACCTATTTATTTGGAGTTGAGTTACTGCACTGGTGCTTTATCCTTGATAGTGGTGACATTCTACGAGCGCTGGAAAGCCAGTCTGATTGGCTCCGGTGCCAATCGTGAACATTGATCTTTTCGATTTCTTTTGAAGTATGTTCGAAGGATGTACTATGGCGTATAGGCTTGTGTTTAGTGCTGGTACTGTAGAGCTACTGTAGAGCTACTGGCATTGCTGCTGGCATTGCTGCAGCTCACATGTTCCTGTCTCCTTCTCCCGTTGCCTGACAGGTGGCGGTCCGCCTCCCATGGGGCCAAGGCGCCAGGAGTGGCTGGGGCACGGAAGGCGGTGAGTCCTGCAATCTTTGACGTGTGCTGCATCCGCTCCCTGTCCCATTTCAACTTCCTTGTGTTTACTGTTGAACTTACAAGTACTGTACAGTACCGGAAAGTACCGTTGATCCCCCCCCCCCCCCCCCCACGCCATGGCGCTTCCCAGCTGCTTTTTCGGCAGGGGGCGGGAATTAGATCAAGTCGTTCAAGTGCAGTACGATGTACAACAAAGCAGAAGATCAGACCTGGACTGCTTGATTGTGCAGACTTTCATCCTGCACTTGCACGCATTGTGCACAGCAGTACATGCGTCGGTTCAACATCGTATTTCGTTGTATACGCCGACGTCGCTTCACAGGCAGAAATTCGACGGGGGCGGGAATTAGAGCGGGGGCGGATCAACTGAGACACTGAAATACATGCATACACACACGTGCACACAGGGAGGGAGAGGATACAGTCATTTTTCTTCAGTTTAAAACGTCCTTTTTCCTGTTGTTGCATGCGAGAATAGTAGGGTTGAAGGTACAGGTCTACTTGAAGGCTGTTCAACAGTCTTGCCTATCTTGTTGTAGTTGGGCCTGATCTTCTCTAGAATGACCCAAAGGCCTTTCTGTTTCCTACCTGAGCATTCACAGAGCTTCTTGCCGATGTGTGCAATGTATTGCTGTGCTGCGTACTGTGCACCCCGTCCTTGTGTGCGCATGGAAATACGAGGGTGATTCCTAATGCACTGTGGCCCTGTCCTGGATACAGAGGTGCTTGGCACGCCGCAACGATATACTAGTACTCACTGCAAAACAACTGTGTGTCTGTGTCGCTGTGTGCGTGTTTTTCACCGTGTCTGCCTGTGCGCGTGTGTATGTGTGTGTACATACACGTCCTGGCTGCTCGTAATGTCGCTGCGCAGGCTATCCGTGGACGGTGGTGGAGGCGGTGGTGGTGGCGGCTATATTGGCATGCCTCGCTCCGATCGTGGTCATCCAGCCATGCTTCCTCCTCGCCATGACTCTCGCCATCAGAGAACATTTACAAGATAGTGTCTTACTTCTAGTCTTTGCCAGCTCCAAACTTATCCACTGTATTCAGAATACATATGCACTGGTTTCGAAATACATCTCCTCTGTGTTCAGAATACATCTTCTCCGTGTTCGGAATACATCTCCACTACGTTCAGAATCCATAGCCTCTGTGTTCGGAATACATCTCCTCCATGTTCAGAATACATCTCATCCGTGTTCAGAATACATCTCATCCGTGTACGGACTACATGTACATGTACATAGCCTCCGTGTTCGGAATGCATCGCCTCTGTGTTCGGAATACACCTTGATCTTCCGATGAATACGGGCATAGGACGGCTGTGTGCTGCTGTAACATTCGTGTACATGTATATGTATGCTGACGTCGCTATATTCAATTTATATTTTTCTGTTCTTAGTTCCGGCCTGTGCCCTGGCGGCTCAGGCCCTTTGTTAAAGTTTGTTTACCCGTGACCTGTCCGTTCTTAGGTGGTTGGGCATGCGGGCTTTCCTTGCGGCTCTGTATGTAAGGTAGATGTTTTTGTCTGCAGTTGTTGCTGCTGCTGCTGGGGACCTGAGTGTCGTTGTGCCGGTGGCGATGGTGGTGGTGAGCGTTGTGGGCAAGCGGTATGTGTGTGTGTGTGTGTGTGTGTGTGTGTGTGGTGTGTGTGTGTGTGTGTGTGTGTGTGTGTGTGGCGTGTGTGTGTGTGTGGTGTGTGTGTGTGAAAGTATTTGATTTTCCACGCACGTTTTTTGTGCGTTTGCGATAACTTGCTAGTCCTGGCTGCGGCCTGAATGTGTCCCCTATTTCGCTGCCCTACATGTACACGCATGCAGCCTTTCTCTACTCGTCCATAGTATGTCTTTTTAGCTATTTTCCGGGTTTTTTTCTTCATCTTTGCTGTAGCAGCTGGTGACAAGCTCACCGTATTACGTGAATGCATCAGTCATGCCTTCTAAGTTCTATCAATTCACAGTGTTTATGTCTTTGCCAATTGTGTTTGTTTGTAGCTCTTGCCCCCCCCCCCCCCCCACACACACCTGTGTTCACCATCTTTGTCCACCATCTTTGTTCTGTTCTGGTAACCATGGTGACTTATGCCTAGGCTAGGCTATTCTTGTGCTGAACTCACAGCATACATAACATGCATTTGCCCTGGCTTGCCATCAACACAATGTCCGGTGAGGATTTTGACATCATTTTATTTGTTTGAGTTTGATTTCATGGACAGATCGTGTAACATGAAGGAATTATTGTGGTCAGACACGCTTGTTCATGAGAACTGCTGCATTCAAGACACTTCCATCAGTTGCGCTGGGACGACCATAATGTCAGCTACGTGAGTGTCACTGTGTGCGTGTGTGTGTGTAGTGTGTGTGTGTGTGTGTGTGTGTGTGTGTGTGTGTGTGTAGTGTGTGTGTGTGTGTGTCACTGTGTGTGTCACTGTGTGTGTGTGTGTGAACGTTTAGGAAGCAACGGGCACCGCATTGGTAGCTAGGTTTGAGCATGTGGCTTAACACTTCCAAGCTTGCTGGTGTTCCTTCCCGTCGTGCATTGTTCTGTTCCGCTTTGGCATGTGTCTGCAAGTGTGCATCAAGCTGCACGAGCATACATGCAGGCTGTCAGGCTGTTCACTTGCAGTATAGATTCATGCATTGCGCATATTGATCACAGAAAGTGTCAGAAACTGCCGAGTACAATACTGCTACAGTAAAACCTGTCAAGGCGACCACTCGGATAAGGCAACCACCTCTCCCAGAAGACCACTGGAACCAGGACCAAGGGATGCTATTTCCAGTCAAGTGACCCTGGATAAGGAGACCACCTGGTAACAGAGACCACGTTTTGAAGGTCCCTTGAGCGGTGGTCGTCTTAGACAGGCTTCACTGTACATGTACTAGCAAGAGTACATAACCCCCCAGAGTGTGCAACGCCGATCCAGCTCTGCATAGGCCGATGATAGGGTCTTGGTCGAGCGGAATCGGATCTTCTGATGTCATGCGTACACTTCATACCAGCGCAAGGCCGGTCTCGAGGCAGGGTACCATTGTTTTTGATCCAAGAGCACCCGCGACTCCCCGGGTTCCCCTCAGATGTGTACGGTATTATGACGCAAAGATCCGATTCCGCTCGACCAAGACCCTATGCAGAGCTGGATCAGGCGTTGCACACTCTGGGGGGTTATGTACTCTTGGTACTAGTGATATTCCAACCCCCCCCCCATGCCGCATTGGTCCGTACATGCAGGGGTCATGCATCCTTCTCACCCAGGGCTAGTAGTACTGAGCAGATCTTCTAGGCATTGCCCTTGTGCGATTGCATGAGCATCATCATGATCATGACCTGGTGTGCTTTCACACACAGTTTTGTCACGTGCTGGCGTGCATATGTCACTACTCCCACGCATACGTTACCACTCGGTGCATAACAAAGAAGAGACGATGATGCATCATTTTGCTCCAAACAGCATACAGCAATGTGGGATCCCCGCCCTCAACACGGCAACAGTCATAGTCAATCTGCATGTGAGACAACCAATCTGTTGAGGGAAAAAAATATGATATTTGATGAACATTTGACTGCCAATACTACGGTCCTATTTGCGTGCGTGCGTGCACGCTCGTGCGTGTGTGTAAGAGCGAGTTGCAACTTTGGAATCTGCAAGACGCTGACTAAGTGAGTGTATTGAATGCATGACAAGAACGGTTGGGATATTACGGCTGTGTTCCAATCTGTCAGCAATTGCCATCGATGTGACCAGGAAAAAAACAGACCCCCTGCAGTCACTCCTACTGTCTACGAGTACAGGGAAACCTGTCTAAGACGACCACCGCTCAAGGGACCTTCAAAACGTGGTCTCTGTTACCAGGTGGTCTCCTTATCCAGGGTCATTTGACTGGAAATAGCATCCCTTGGTCCTGGTTGCAGTGGTCTTCTGGGACAGGTGGTCGCCTTTACAGGTTTTACTGTACTTGAACATTCTTGCAGATCACTCTCTTACTCCTAGACTTCCGTGGAAGATTCCTGCATATTTCACTCCGGGCTATATTGACTGCTTATCATTGAGCCGTCAGATGCGAAAACCGACCTCATCGCAAGCATCGCAAACACTGTACAGTGCAGAAAAATGCACTTGAAAGTTGGCGAGTTTACGCACTAATGCGCCTGGACAACCAAGCTACAAACCGTCGTATCTCAGTCAAATATCGCCGGGTCTTTCGGGACAATCCAAGTATTGACTCCTTTCTACTTTAAGTGATTGAACACATGCTGTGGCTAGTCGTAATACATGTACCGTAAAGTACCGCCAGAGCGCCCCACCATCTCGTCCTTTCGTGGTCGCCTTGTGGAGGTGGATTCCTGTCTGTAGGTCATACGACACGGACCTTGTACAAACATTGCACATTATGCAGTCAATCCGTACCCAGTTTACCTTCGAGCTCCACATAAAAGCATACCAAGTGTGACCTTAGTACACGAAGGTTCTCACATCGTACAACTTAGTAGCATTCTGCCATACGATTTTCTTCCCTTGGCTGTAAAATCAAGGTGGGGCGCTCTGGCGAGACGGGGCGCTCTGGCGGTACGTTACGGTACATGTAAATCTAATATGACGTCAACTTCGTACTAGGTCAATAATTGTAGGAAATAAAACCTCGTAAAAGACCTCGGCTTCACCTCCGTCTTTTAATTGGCTTTTATTCCTGTACTATTGCCCTCATACTCAGTCAATATTATTAGATATACTTTGTAGGCAGCTGTTGTGTATGTGAGAGTGTACCCCACCGCCAATCCAGCTAAGACCAGTTGTTCACTTTGCCTTCACCATACCAGCCCATCTGTGCTTTCTGCTGCATGCTCGCCCAAACACTGGGCCGAAAACTTACGATCTTGGCCACGAGCAACAATCAGAGCAGGCTGTATCAATAACTTACTGGAAGTAGCTGTTCAAACACAACCTCCTGCGTCATTGGCACGAATGAATGTGCATGTATTGCGTCACGGGCTGGCTATTTTGGGTTTTTTTTATGGAACTTTCTGTCCACAGTACATGCTTGTAATACATGTACTCTGCGGCTACCCTACTTGAGATCAATCTTGTCAAGCGCTATGCAGAACTTGAGTAACGTCTGTCCACCTGTACTGCGCGTTCTCTCCCTCTCCGGACATCCACCATGCTGTTGGCTCAGGAGCAAACTAATTACTTGAGTCTTCTCCTTAGCCCTGACTCCCAGTCTCTGGGTAGTAGGGGTCTCGGCGTGGAGTGGAACTAATTTTTACTGGTCCAAAACGTACCTCGATGTTTGGCAGTTCGCCATACTATTACTAGTACCAAGACTGCAAAAGTATACCGCCCTGCTAGTACATGACTACAATGAACATTGATTCTCGAGCTTACTTGTACTTGTAGCGCTCTTCAGCGACCGTTGCCGCTAGGTCTACCGCAGGGAAACCACAACGTCATCGCCGCGATGATCGTGTAGAGAATTCCATCCAGCAGTTTCACTCTTCTATTAGTATTACTCTAAGACTATGACCCATAAACTATACAATCAACCACAGCGCGCGTAGACCTACGCGTAGAACCTACACGTTTTCAACAACTAATTACTTGAACTTCTGAATGCCTTGTACACACAGTACAGTAGAAGCAGCGGATATTTTTTTTACTTCAAAGTACGTGTTCATACCAGTACCGGTAGTTACAGCTTCACGCCCTTTATTGGCGATCTTCCGGTTTTACTTTGTTTTACTTATTGCCTCTATACAGCTCTAGCTCTGCATCTGTACAGCCTGTGTTTTTTTTCTCACGCGATTTTGTACCCTAGGTATACATGGTATAGGAGGCAGATAACAGACATTCAAATGCCGTCTTACAGGATGTCGATTTTCCCAGTCCAGCTAACTGTTACTTGTTAGTGCATGCACTGGAGGCACTACGTAACGACTTACGTCGCTGACTCTCGCTCGCTTGTTATAGTACTATTAGTATTACTTAGTATTAGTACTAGTAGGTCTGCTGAATACTCGGACTGAGGAGACTTGCGGCTAGTCTCCAGACGGATTCGTCACGGGAACGACCATCATGACAGTCATGCAGGTGAGACCCTCCAAATCCACCCGAAACAACACTAGTAAGAATTATGAGCGAGCTGCAACTCCCGGTGCCGAAAGGCGGGCTCACGCCCCTACAATGCTACATGTAACATGGCTACTTCCCCATGTCTAACCCCCAAGAAATGATAGTAGCCGACTGGGCGAAATTAAAGAAAATTCACTGTAACCAGATACTATTATGCAGTCAGAAAGTGCAACAACTAGGCACAAGACTGACAGAGTACTGAGACATTCTTTGTTCCGTTGGGACTGTAGCTTGTGCTCATTTTCGTTGCGCTTGCCTTCCCCTCTTTGGTCTTTCCATAACCTTGAACCTTCCAAGTTGGAAGGCTGTCGGTTAGCTATGGAGATGTGTTGAAGCTACATGTAGGTGTCGGGACGTCGAATGTCTCAGTACTCTGTCAGTTTTGTGCCTAGTTGTTGCACTTTCTGACTGTTTTATTATAGTATCTGGTTACAGTGATGGAGAGTTACTCTTAACTCGTATCCATATTTCCTTTTCCTTTCTAAAAAAATAATTGATAAGAAAAGAGTTCCAAAGGCAAAGAGCTACAAGTTACGCTATAATATCCACTAACACCACCAGTTAGTTTACAATCAGCTCATGTGATAACATTGCACCACACTGACCAACAGTTATTTCTATTACTTAGAACCCGATCCAAGTTGGAAGGCTGTTGGAGTGGGCGTCCGAGATTTGCCGTAGAGCTGATTGCCAATTAGGTGTGGAACGTCAGTACCGTTGGTCAGTGTCACGCGTGCAATTTTATCGCATGAGCTAAAGTAATCGTAGTGGTGTTAGTGCATATTATAGCGCAGCTTGTAGCTCTTTGGTCCTCTTTTCTTCATTTAAATTAATCCTTGGTGCACCCGAGTCTAAATAAAACTAATAAAATTTTTGCCAACAGAAGTACAGGTGGCTGTGCACACGTCTCCAAACGCATGGCCAATACAAGTCTGACCTCCTTCTGAGAAAATAATGCTTGCTTTGTACATTTAATCACTGGACAGCTAGCTGTTTCGACCTTCTCATCAGAGGAGCTGCCCTCTCTAATTAAAAAAAAACAATAATTATTTCGAACAAGGCTATCCCAACCGACTGTACATGCAAGCCGCAGCCGACTTTGGACGATTTATTGAGATATTCAGTCCTAGCCCTGGGCAGAAAATGCTTGAGAAACTGGCAAATTCTGCTAGAAACTTCGGCATTGATATTCAGCCAGAACCAGGGAGTCGTAAAATACCGGTATTTTACGACTCCCTGGCCAGAACCATACTGTAAAGGTCATGGTGGTCATCCGTCCTAGCTCCTCTTCTTTATCCATCGTGATACACTACCACATGTGCATGAAACCTACACTGTACTTGTTTCATACACGAAACAGCATGCTGTCCGCAGTTTGAGCATGGCCATGATTGAGATTGTGTATCTGAAAAAGTAGCAAATTCTGTACATGTACGGGATGATTTGGCTCTCAGTCGATGATACACCACATGCATCGTATATTGCACAGCCACCTTCCAGCATGCAGATAGTCGTGCTGTGTGACTGAACATGCGCCAGTCGGTGCCGTCATTGAGCGCATCCCAACACTGTCCGAAGCAATTTGATGTCTGCCCGGCCCGTGGGCTTTTCCACATACTAGTACCAATGTGGAGGCTGTGGATGCAATAGGACTTCTGTTACTGATGATGATGATGGTTCAACACGTGCACGCAAAGGTAGCCCTTCGTAAAGTAAACGTTCTGGTCGTAGTAGCAGTATGTGTTCGAGGTTCTCGTCAGTTCAATTTGCCAGACAACATTAGGACAGTACACATCTTTCTTTGATGCCATCTGTTCGTTGTCTTTTTAAAGACATATCGTGCTCCCCAGCCGAAGTCAGGTATGCTCATTTCGCCAAACTGTGTGCCCCTAACCGTCCTTTGCGCAAGCTACCAGAACGCAAATATTGGTCCGGCGGGGTGCGGCAATCTTTTCATTGCAAAAAAGGCTGAAAACTGTGAAAGCACGTGTACCGCGTGGTGAAAAGTTCAAAACTGGACGCAGCAGGAAGTCCTGCAATAGCAAAAAAAGGACTGCGGCAATATAGAACCCTGTGTAACGGCTCCTGTGCGACTTTGCATGTAACGCCCTGCGTGCGGCAAACATGTGCCAATGTAACGCTTCATGGCCTCACTGCGGCAACATATATTGCCAGTACGGTACTACTACTAGTATAGGCTACCAACGTACACCAAAGAAGCACGTGAACGTGCATGAATACAATGTACACAATCGTCATTAATGTTTGTTTTAGCATGAAACTGCAGGAGGCGTACAAGGGGATCTTGGACATGCACCCTTATTACTCATCAATAAGAATTCGTATGCGCGGCTTCTCAATTTCTTATACTTTTTTTTTTACTGCACTTTTTTACTTGTACTGTACATGCTAATGCTGAATCTGTGCACGAAATTGAAAAGGATCCTAAACCAGTATTCAAGCAAGCAGAGGAGATCATTATGGGAGACAGTGTATACGGGTTCACCAATAGAAGTTGGTGAAGTGCCCGGCAATTTTAGCGACCGAAAGATAATTCCCCCGAAAACAAAAAAAACTTTGATCGACCTGTGCGTTCTTGCAGTGAATCGAGCTCCGGGGAATTGCATTCCTCAGGAGTACCGTAAAACTCCCCTGACTCACGCACTATGAGGTTGGGACCGAGATTATTGACTTGAAGTTGAACTTGCTGCTGTTTACCTAAGTATTATACATTCAATGATTATGCTGTTTTGTTTTTTGCGTGTTTTGTTTTTTCTTTCTAGAATTTTGAGTTGAAGTTTTTGGAACACTTGGGAAAAAATGTTCGTTGTGTTTTTTTTGTCCGTAAAAGAGGCTGTATTACGGGACCGAGCATTGCCTGTTAAAGTAGGAATTTAATTGCCTGTAGTTCCAAACACACTGCATACAGTATTTGCCGGTTTGAGGGCAAGATGCAAACGGGGAAAGTCTGAAGAAGAAAAATTGACCGTCACCACCAGGACTCGAACCAGGGAGCATCGCTGGGATGCAAGTATGCATGCAAGCACACGTATTTCATGCCAATCAATAGTTTATACTTTCTAGGGCTGCTTCGCTGGAGAGGCCATTTGTGTGACTCTAGTCCGGGTAAGAAACGTGCCAATAGACGGATGTGCCTGAATACGTGTATTTGTGCTGGGAGTCGTAAAACACGCCAGAAGCACAAGCAAACACACACACACACACACACACACACACTCACACACACCGGAAGCACGGCACATACAACGGGGACCGCACACTGCACACTGAGTCGGGAAAAGGGGCATCTTGAATGCATTCTTGTCTCCAAGGAAACTGTTCGCTAATTTTTTTTCCTCGAAAACTCGGAAGACACCTAAATTCACGGATTCTGTCACGGCTGCGGGAGTTCGCGATTTCCTGTGGGGGTAGATTTACGTCGGGAACATGGGTCTCAGAGGTCGCCCAGTGACCAGACACAGCTAATGACCTTTTACAAGTTGTAGACGGTTGCATGGCCCTCATTTGATTCTTTCATACAACTATATGCGTGATGATTTATTTTATTAATATGGGTCTCTCCCAGTTACTCTCTCTCTCTCGCACGAGCGCGCACAAGTGCACACACACACGCGCACAAACGACTTATCCGTAGACCCGCAGCAGCCGCCTAAATGTTGTACAGTGCCTCCAGAAGGCAGGACCAAAGCCACTTATTGCATTAGTATCGACGTACTGGAGCCATATACATACATACACATGCACTCGCTCGTGCATGCATGCACACACACAACCCCCCCCCCCCCCCACAACACCCATGATGCACATTCACACACACACACGCGCGTGCAAGCGCGCGCACACACACACACACGAGTGCCCGCAAGCATGCATACGGACCGTGCGGCATATGTACAACACTGGGAAATGGCCAGTACTAGCAGCACAAGGTCCCTGAGCTGCATCAGTGCTGTTACTGCCATACTGGGCGGGCTTGCACTGAATGGGGCAGGTTCGGAACACCTGCTCGCACCACCTAACAAGGAGCACTGCACTGGCTTTCTTCCAGACTGGGCTTGGATTTCCATGCAGCCATGCCTCGCGAGCTCACGTAAACACAACACAAGTTTGCAGTCTTAGTCAACGCAAGGCGCAGGTACTGCTTCAGCTCCTTCCAGGGATAAGTATGTTCATCAAATTTAGAGGCTCGATGTGGGCACGCAAAAGAAAGGAAGAAAAGAAGAAAGAGGTGGCACAGCAAAACAGAAGACTCTGGAATACTGAGGCCAAGGACAAACGCACAATCATAGAGGTTGTGCGGGAAGGGGTAGAAACGGAAGATAGCTTCTAGCGTACACACGCACGTTCCGGACAAGCAGCAGAAGGGTGATTGAGCCGATCGGTGCATGGGGGCCAGCAGCGACAGCGACTAACATTCGAAAAACACACCTCTCGCAGGAGCAGTAGCAGGAGAAAGCAATTATTTACTGTAACGGAGAAAATGCTAAGAGTGGAAGACAGTATAGACGTCCAAAGGTCCGGTCCAGCCTTGGGGCAGTATAAAATGATGAAAATGGTCTAGATATGTTTCGTGCTTGTTTCTTTCATTTTTCAATCGCGCCCCAGCAAAGCGAAATCATACAAGTAGACACGCAAGATTGAAGCAGGTTTTAGGAACACAGACGCGGCACACATGATGGGGGCTGGCAGACACCATGTGCACACACACACGCGCGCGCACACCCAATCAAACTGTGGACTGGACATGCAAAAACAGCAAGCGTACTGGGTCGGACTGTAAAATCAGGGTAGCAATCACTGGTCCAACACATCACTTGCAGAAGCGAGGCGCGGTGCGTCTATGTATTCACACAGTGTCGACTGCAAACTTACGCTTTCTTGAGCACCTCCGCTACGAGATCTTTGAACTCCATGTCACTCGCATCGTTAGCCTGGAACTCGATGCCAATGCCAGTCATCACCTTCTTCAGGGAATCCTTGGATGATGCGTAAATCATCTTCTTGCCAATGGGTGAATTATCGGGGCACCAGAAAATGAACGCCAACTTCTTTACAATTCTGCCTTCAGTGTTGCTGATGCCAAAATCGTACAGTATGTACCTAGGCTCCTTCCCCAGCCGTTGCTTCATCGCCTCGAAATGCACGTTGCAGTCTTCCACAGTGGTCGTATTCGCTGAACCAGCTCGGGGGACTTCGTCATCGATTATGATAGAGGTCTTGTCGTCACTGATCTTGAAGATGAGGAATTTGTGCTTAGCCTTCAGTTTCACGTCATTGTAGACTTCTGTAATCTCAGCGTCGACATCAATACCGGACGTTGCCATACTGCCTGCAGAACAAAAGAGCAACGACAAGATAAGTCCAGTCAAGGACGTGCTAGGAAAATGGCACTCTTCAAACACAGACATAGCACGAAGTTCGGAAATTTAATGAAAAATGCCACCTACTAGAAAAAATACTAAAACCTCGCGCTCGCTACAAGCCCACATACGAACGGGCCCCACCACCCCAGGAATCCCCTGCACACACGTAGCGAACGAGAGAAACGTGACCAGCACTGCATACCTGTTATAACGTCCGCAGCAACAGCGTCCCAAGAAATTCCAACTTCACTTCGCTACAACTGCAGCGGTTCGAGTGCAATGACAAACTAACTTGCAGCGAGAAAGACGCGAGCGAGGAGCAGCGTTCGTTCTTCTCAGCACCGTCACTGCCCATGCGCACTGCGCAACTTCTCGCAGCCAATGGCTGCTCACGACGTCATGGGTCACCTGTCGCGCCATGTTTGGGCCTGGGCAAACTCCGCTGGCTGGGCCGGGCAGAGGCTGAGTGAGACTGGGCTAGCTCCGTGCATGCGGCGCGGGTGAGATCTACGACGTCGACGGCAACTACATGAACTACGCCTCTACGGCAACGCTCCATCCAGAGCTCGAGTTGTACTTGTAGCCACATACATCAATCATTCATACTGTACTAGTACAGTAGTAGTACTACTGCCAGTACTGGTACATAATAATAATTATCTACCGACTACCGACTACACAAACCCTGATGCATGTCATGTACTGATGCGTGATGCTCATATTAGTCATAACCTGCCTTTGTGATGAGTGATGATGCAGATCTACGTGCACGTCGACGATCTACGGGAGTACAGAGTAGATCTGTCTACAACTGGGTTAGCCTGTGTAGGTGGGCTGCAGCTGAGTCCGGTAGCATTTTCTTCGGGTAGTTTTCCACGCGTTGCTCGGCCCATCGGGTACACATGGTACATGTATACAGTGCGGCGTATACAGACTACCCGATCGGGTGATATTGCCATGGTAACATCACAATGCATGCACACAACTATCTAGTACAGTACTACTAGTACTAGTACTAGTACTAGTACCGGTAATGCGGTATGTTACTTTTTACCACTTTCTTTCACCGACGACTTCCAAAGAAGACCTCAATGTTCTGTCCTCTTGCCAGTCTTGGGAATCTTTAGCATGGCGACGGCAGATTCTTGGCCTTGTCTATTTCCACCATGTATTCTCCCAATACCCCTCCTTGTTGTCTCACTTCCAGCTACCCTCTTCCCAAAGCAGTCGTCACCCCTCATCCATAATTCTTCCTAAAGCTGGCACCTACTTTCGTAAATCAACCCATTGTTCTTTGAGTGTTGCTTGGAATAAACTGCCTGAAGATATTCGTTCACTCTCTACAACAGCGAAATTTAGTATTGCTGTTCGTCGGTATCATTCGCAATCTACATGTACATGTACGTTTTCTTTGAAAGGTATTCCTGACTTTTGTGTCTAGGCTAACCACATCTATGAATGATAGTTTCAATAGTTTGAGTATAATGTCAGTTATAGTAGTCCGCAATGCTGATTTTCTAATTCTCATTAATTCTCATTATGATTAGCATGCAATGTACCACCCGAAGTACTGAATTTACTTCTTTTGTACTCTTTATTCTAATGTATCTTCTACCTCTTCTCCCCTACGAACATACTTTCTCATTTCCCATACTGACTTAGGAGACTCCCTTCGATAGGCATCTATTTGCCTCTGGAGGATCCGTGAAATAAAAATCAATCAAGTAGCTCATACAATGATACATGTACACCCTTCAAAGCGGTGAATTGACTAGCCTCTGGGTCATCCTAATAAAGATATTATTATTATCATTATAAAAAAAGAGCACGTTGTTGCACTGAAGTAAGGTTAGTTGTATTCGTAGGTTGACACTTCGTTCAGTGCCTTCTCGCCTTTGGTTACGTATTCTTGTTACCTTTTTGCGTTTCCTCTAGTGGTTTTATTGCACTTGTATCTTGATGTTATTTCTAACACCTTTCTATTTACAGTATTTAACTTCAGTTTCTTTGGTTGTATCCTTAGTTCCGTATTTTTCCCACTGATGATAGGAACGAGAAAATCGATTCTGGGTTTTCAATAATATTTTTGTTATAAAATACACAGTACTATACATGTACATGTACATGTATGTCAAACAAGTAACGTAGTTGCGTGATGTCTGCGGCCTTCATCCTATTCATACATGTAGCTTTATTAAAATTATTATGATCAGTTTTAAAAGCTTTTTAGCGCTACCGGTATACATGTACATGTACATGTACATGTACATGTACATGTACATGTACATGTACATGTACATGTACGTACTGTACATGTACCTGGTTTATGATTTTCGCTTTTTATTTCTTGATTTTGTATTTAGCGCTTTCGGGTGTTATCATTTTCTTTTCTTATTTTTGCACCAAGGACTAGCCATTGGCGGACTATGCTCGGCCAATCGTCAAATTATGCTTCTGACTATGCCACAATTATGCCAACAAATACATGTATGCTGAATTATGCTCGGTTCCATTTTGTATTCACGCTGTACATAGAGGATTGAGAAACCACGCATACACACACGGCCATGCCCTAAAGGCTAAAGCATACTTTTGTCTAAACCGAAAGATTATGCCAACCTTACACGTTGGAATCCGTATAATTATGCCGGAGCATAATTTTTTGACGAAATCCCAAGATTATGCCGGCATAATCCGCCAAGGGACCCAAGGTATTATGTTTTGGCTACCTTATATAAAAAAAGGCTTATCTGCTTTCCGTGTTAAAAAAACGTTGATGCTCAAAAAACACTACAATGCACCCGCGTACCCCTTCCCTTACTAGCCCTTTCCCAAAGATGCCATAATGTTTCGCAACTTATGCTTTTCGCAACCGTGCCAAAACAGGTGGTAGTTGCTGAAATCGCATCCATTTTTTTCTGAAAAAGCTCAAAAGTTGCTAATATCGCAACTTACAATTGGAGAGTTCTTGTGCTAAAACTAAAACCACTAAAAAGGGAGCAGAAATAGCAGAAGTCAAACTCGTACCCTCCTTCCTGCTGTGAATCACCACTTTACACAATGCCAGTATCCTGTTGCATGTATCCTACATCGTTCCAGTGCAAATCAAAGCGAATGCACATTATCGTAACTACCGTAGATCTACTGTTTCTCTGAAATGAGTCTGAAGGCAGGCGAGAAATGAGCGAATATGCATTTGTCCGACATGTAGTGCGTGACTTGACCTTTTGACCACATGCTATGGGACCAAAGTTGCGGAAAAGTTGCGAAATAGTTCGCGGAAAAGAAGAAAGTTGCGAAAGTTGCGATTTCTTCCTAAACAACGAAAAGTTGCGAAAAAAGTGGCGAGCATCTTCGGGAAAGGGCTATCCCTTACACACTGGGTTGATAAAGTAAGTAAGTAAAGTATCGTGTCCGTTCCCGAAGGGAACTCACGGAGCGAACTCACGACGGCCGCTAACACCCGGTACTAGTAAACCCTCGCGGCAGATGCAGCGCCTAACGGTGGGGCAGATATGTATGCGGACAATCAAAAGTAACATGATACAGTATACATGTACATGTACAGTATTAATCCATGATTTATTCAAAGCCCCACATAAGACAGTTTATTTAGTGAATAATAGCAAGAAGGTCCAATAGAATAGCTAGAGAGAAAAAGGAAACCCCCCAAGGAGGAGTCCAAGTGGAAAGGAAAAGGAAAGATAAGAACCTCTCCCCCTCTTTGAAATTAGCGCTAATATCCATGAACCTTCCAAGTTGGAAGGCCGTTGGTTAGCGCTATCGAGCAGTGCTCGAGCTGACTTTCATGCCGTGGAATGTCCCAGTACTCCTTGTCAGTTTTGTGCTAGATTGTGCACGTCTGACTATTCAAAATCTGGCTTAGTTGGTGGACTCGATCGCATAACTTGCGCCCACAATTTCCATGTTACAAAGATAAGAACATTGAAAGGATCGGTCACGCAATATGGTTAATTCGCCGTGGTTGGCAATTACCCACTCTCTTCACATTGGCCAGTGTTTCCACCGAGTCTTGAGATGTTGTAATAAATATAAAAATATGGTTAATTCCCATCGTGGTCCCCATGCACAAACATCACCAGGGATACAAACTTACGGAAACGCTCCGTTTCCAGCGCGACAAACACCTCGTGAACACCAGATAGCAGCGTGAGTCAGTGTCGCTCATGGAGGTGCTGAACAAACGCTGAGGACACGGTTGGCCATTCACGACACCTCCAAACATGCAAGCGGCATTGATCAAGAAATGATGGGCGTGCTAGGCGGCGTAAATAGGATGCCCTGCATCCACGGAAACACGTTACAAACCATTTCAATAGCAAGAAAGAGATACAGCACCTCAACCTTACCATAACACTTGAATAACGCAAACCAGAATGTTTGTTGATAATTAGGGCAACCAAATTCTTCAGTGCACGTGAACACCCCTGGCTGCACATGCCATTGGTGGCAAAAACCAAGCGTGAATGCATCTCTTTCAACATGACAATATCAGATTCACCCTCTGCAGGTAGGCTCTCTTCTTCTGTTGCTCATTCCTCCGCTCCGCTCCTCCGCTCTGGACAGCAAGGACGCTGAGGGATGAGTCACCCTTACATCAAAGAATGCGTCTTGCTGCCGAGACCAGAAGCCCCTCGCACAAATATCCAGACGAGTCTCCGCCATGTGACGCCGGTTGGTCGTGGCACCAGGGAGCGCTTCACCCTCGAGTGGGAGCAGAGCGGGGATGGCCGCATCCATGTTTGTTGTGTTGTTGTTTTCTTTATTTGAATTCGCTAAAACCAAACGGACAGAACTGTCCAGTGACAAGGGAGCGAATGATGAGCGTCATAATCACTATGCATCAAAACATCTCAGGACAAAATGAGACAGACTATATTAAGGGAGGGTCTGCACAACACTTGTACATAAAGGGGAGTACGAGAACAAAGGCGCGGCAGAAGTCGAAGCAAGAAAGCAATCAACGCCAGAGATATTTTTGTCCACCAAAAACAGAGAGAGAGAGAGAGAGAGAGAGAGAGAGAGAGAGAGAGAGAGAGAGAGAGAGAGAGAGAGAGAGAGAGAGAGAGAGAGAGATCCGAGAGCGAGAGAGAGACAGAGAGAGAGAGACTAACAAATGAGGGCTGAGACCTCTACAGCAGGGCTTTACGTCTGAAAACAACCGCACGAATTAACAAGCAAGTTGTCAGAGAACAGGGAGAGAGACGGGCAGGCAGGCCAACAGGCAGGCATATAATGAAAATATGGCGATAGTGATCCGTCTGACCTCAAGGCCTCGGCAATCAGGTCACGCAAAGCATTGTGCCGGACAGAGGGGTACCCCCCCCCCCCCCAATAGGGCACGTTGCTGCATGATCGACGCTGAGGTCCGTACCACACACGCACGAACTCGGAATGTTCCGCAAGGGCCAGCCAGCCATACACATGCATTTCATGATTACTGAGTCGCTGTCACTTACTTACCGGTATCGCCGAGGCTGTAGATCACTAGTTTGCCATAGCGCAACCGGCTATTCCAGACCTTCCCTACTCCAATGACTACATATATAAAACAGCAGTACAACATGCCAAGAACATAAATTTTGTAAGGAGGTTTCCGGTCTACTGCTTCCTTCCTGGCGCCAATGCTATTGTGAAAAATCTGTTTTGACAATATTCCTGAGTTTAGGGTTGGAAAATCAGTCTTGATATGGTCAGTTTATGCCTATAGACTGGAGTTGGATTGATACTAGTAGTTGACAATTGAAAAAATAAGAGCCCAGTCTCCAATATTAGCCCAGTCTCTAATAGTAATAACTGAAAAATAAGAACCCCGGGCTCTTATTAGAGAAAATACGGTAGGCGGATATTACCGGAAGGTGTCTTTTTTTCTTTCTTTTTTCTGTTTTACTACAAAGCATTGCAGTACTGGCCAGCAACATAAAGGGGGAGGTAGACAAAATAATTGGACAAGCGAATATTGACAACACAGAGGAGCCTGGCTGGCGTGCCGATGAGGTAGGTCAACCTCCCCCGACCTAGTGGTCTCGGGTTCATCAGTTGGTCTACGCATCAGGAAGGGGAAATGGACAGAGAAAGGGAGAATGAGCATGAGGAGCTTCCCAGGAGAGGAAGAGTGAGAGAGGGAGAGAGAAACAGAAAATGACAATAATACTGCCGGCGTCTACAAAGACCGTAGTCGTAGATCTACGACTCGCGGACGGCACTCATCAGAAATGACAAAGCCCCAGATCGCCTACACTAGGCTACAGGCTACACAGTCATATCAGTAGATCTACTGGCTACAGCCTGGTGCATGCTGAGGCTAGCCTCAGCATGCACCTCACACACGGCCACGCGCGGTACACCTGGTACACCAGGTACACAATGCATGGTAGACTACAGACTAGGCTGTCATAATGACATTATCCCCACACTGGGCCATGCAGGCCATGCCAGGCGCCACAGCTCAGGGCACATACAATGATACAGCCATTACCGGCACGTCCGTCAGTATTATATGGTCAGTACACATGGTACATGCAGGCTGAGGCAGCCAGCCAGGTCTGAGCTGACGCCCTGGCTGAGTCTGGCCCTGGGTCTCGGGTGTAGTCTTGCCGACACAGCTAGGTAACTGGTTACCATCGTCACCGAGCTTTACACCTTCACACCTTTTTTCAAATAATTCCTGGCAGCTGTCAGGACCATGCTGCACATGATGACATCTTGATGTATACATGTACCAAGCAGCTGAGCTGAGACCTTCAAGACGACTAGGGCTTGGTCTTGGACCTGTCTTCCATGGGGATGTTCAGAAACTGTTAGCACTTCTTAGTTCAACTAATGATTGCCTCCAGACAGCAGCAGGCCACGCGTCAGTGCACAGCTGACGGCCTACGGACCACCGGGTTGCGGCAGCTACATGTAGGTCTCTCGAGACGGGGACCACGTAGATCTACCGGTCGACGAACCCGTCTGTAGTTTGGTTCTGGCGATAGTTTACGAATTATTATTTATTACTTCTTCACTCATTTGCATGTATTCTGAGAAATGCCGTCGATGGGAGTGCGGCCCTAGACTAGGCTGTGCCTGGCTTCGACGAGTAGCGTAGTGTGGATGGCAGCGTTCCATTCCATTGAAATACATGACTGTATCGGATAGTTCTGTCACTCGCAGTTGATCGTCGACACGTGCAGCCGACGACGGAACCTCGCGTCCCACTCCCAGGCTCCCAGCCCGGCGCAGGATGGAGTAAATATCCTACACGGCTGCTGAATGCCGCTACAAATCACTTAGTTGCGGACGATATCGACCCCATCGGCGCGGTAGGCGAGTGTCGGGTGTCGCGCACCTGCTTTCCGCCAGTGGAGTGCAGCCCATTAGTATTACAGCCTCAAATACAGGGCACTCTACGGAAAGCTGCGTTTCGGCAGAAGAAGCCGGCGCCATGTCTGAAGCTAAGATCATTGACGTAAGATTACGAGCCGATTAGAACATTTGAAATTAGTTACCGTAGTCAGCATGACATTCTATCGGGATTTTGAAAAAATATCGGAGCAGAGCATTGCCAATGATTGACCCTGTAGTTATTTTGGAATTATGCCACACCTTGCATGGTCATTGCATGGGGGGGGGGGGGGGGGCATGGATACATCACCAATTTTACCTCAATTGCATTCAGTGTCTTGAATGGAAGCGCCTTACCCTTGGGCAGCATGTGGTGGGACAGTTGAGCAGCAACACGCTGATAGGTGTCTTGCTTTTAACTCACACTGCTGAGTATACATGTAGCTGGTGAGGGAGGTAACACCGCACAATGGCGTTGCCCAGTGCTGTTCACCCTTGAGGTAACACCGCACAATGGCGTTGTGCTGTTCACCCTTGAGGTAACACCGCACAATGGCGTTGTGCTGTTCACCCTTGAGGTAACACCGCACAATGGCGTTGTGCTGTTCACCCTTGAGGTAACACCGCACAATGGCGTTGTGCTGTTCACCCTTGGTGTATGCCAAGTGCATGTAACAGTGAAGTTTGTTGCTACTCGACGGTCCCAGAAACGGGTGCTCAGTTGGGCGAGGTGTTCGGAATGGGGGGGGGGGGGGGGGCAATCATAAGGGTAGGGTATAGTGTATCTTCGAGAGGGATTGCTTAGTTGTGTGCGTATACTATGCAAACCTATATGCACCATTACTGGATGCCGCACGGTGATGTGTTATTGTCAGGGGCGTCGGACACGCTACGGTTGTAGCGGGCCGCAGTCTCTGGGAGGCAAATGCACACGGGTCTCAGTGAACACACTGTTGTTTATTATTACTGAACTGAACTAAAGACTACATTGTAACTTTAACTCTGACTCTAACTCTAACTCTAAACTGACATGAAGAGAATTGTGAACAGCAGCTTTTTATAGGGTGTGGAACTTTTAGTGTAAGTGCAAGGCTAGCCTATGACCAGGGGATACGCAGAGCAGAAACAGAAAGGTCAAAGTAAGATGTGTGGGCCGCAGTCATTGCACAAGGAATGACATTTGATTCTATGCAGAAGAAGGAGCTGAATAGCGGTGTGGGCATTGGGCGTAAAAGAGGTACCGGGAAGACAGCCGTTAGGAATTCTAAGAAAGCTTTATTAGAATGTGTGTAGATAAATGAAAAGGAGGTCGAAAGTGAAATGCATCAAAAAAGGTCTACAGGGTACATGTGCTAGTATTCCTCAGGTCATCCTAGTGTGTGCGAGTAATACATGAACACAGTGAGACTAGTTACTATGCATGTCATGGGTCTGCAAGCACGGTTAGAGTTGCAAGTGCGGGGTGCGGTGCAACACCGGCGCGTGACCAATACATTGAAAGTGATTCACGCTGCAGCTGTGTGAGTTACTACTAGCGTGCCAGCGCTACATGGTCACGACGGTTTTGACTATGTCACTATTTGCTCCAGGCACCCCATGAATCAATAAAAATAATAAAATGCACTGATTTGGGCGCTAAATTTTGAAATTTTTCAACAGGCCACCTCCCCCCCCCCCCCCCCAACCCTGAGCCGGATGTAGTTCAGATGGCTGACTGTACCACCTTAAAATATCTTCCAATGCCCCTGAATGTGAAGCACTGCATGCAGCGTACACTGTACATTGTAGGCCGTTGATCTTGTTCTCAATCTCCCAGGAGGAGCAGGAGAAGCGCGACATTCTCGCCCATCTCATCAAGGATGGGCTACGCGTGGACGTCGGCGCCGAGGAGAAGCTGCAGTACTTCTACCGCAAGCTGCAGCGCACCGAGCAGCAGCTTGCCTCCACCCTGGACAACATGGAAGAGCTGCGCCGGCAGCAGAAAGAGGAAATGCAGGCGGTCGAAACGTACGTCTCGCACATCCGTGAGCTCTCGGAAGAGCGCGAGCAGCTGGTTAACGACTTGGAGACGGAGAACGCGCAGCTGAAAGCCGAGCTTCAGCGCGCCTCCTTGGCGACTAGCACAGCCCTGCAGGAGCAGGCGTCGGTGATCGGCTGGAAAGAAGTGAAGGCCGCGCTGTCCGAGAGCGAGCTGCGGGAGATGAATATCAGCGCTACCGATGAACCAAAGCAAGTTGTCCACCAGCTGGCAGCGCAGCGACGAGACCTAGCAGAGAAGTGCAAGACAGTGGAAGCGAAGGTAACACATGGGGATAAGTCTGTATTGTTCCGAAAAATAAGTACTCGGATGATGAGCGTAGGAAAAAATTAAATGAAAACATGTCTGTCAAAATCTGGTTTGGGTGGTGGACTCTAGTGCATAACTTGTGCCCCATCGTTTTCCATGTTTCCATCTAATTTCTTCCGAGAATCTGTGATGTTAAGTAGCGGTGGATATGGGGCACGGTGGGTTGCGGGGACTTCACTAATTTGGCCTGAAATACACCAGTGTGACCGCTGTGTTGGTCAGCTGACCCTGTGTTGGTCAGCTGACCCTGTGTTGGTCAGCTGACCGCTGTGTTGGTGTCAGAAACTGAGGACATGCATGTGAGCAGAAATGGGCCAGCTGGGTCTCGACAAAGGAATTCAAGAGTCTTTCCACGTGAACCTCGGATTCCCGCCACTTTACTACATTATACTTTCATAGACCACCCCGGGAGACGTGACTACGTTTCCTGGACACCGTCACGTATATCTCTCCTCGAATGTACTTCGAAGTACGTACTTGTACAAGTATGTAAATGGATCAGACCACCTCGTAACTGCAGCGGCAGATCCAGCGGCACCCCAGAGGGTCCCAACATAAATATGCCTTCAAACACGTTTGATTCATGTGCAAAGCAGCGTGCACCCTATCTTGCATACTACAGTACTGGTTAGCACTTGTGATTGCTGTGACAAGCACAATAGAGTGGTTTCACGTCCTTGTCACGTGACAAGTACGTGCAGATCTGTGTAGAAAGTGATCATGGCATGTGGACTGTGGAGGCAACATGGCCGACATCATGTTATCCATGGATGCAGGGGTTGAGTGGAGTTGGAACCAACATGGCTGTCCCGTGTGGTCATGTGACAGCTGTACAACAGCTTTATACTCGTACACTGCCTGTTCATATGGTGAAGTAAAATAAAGAAACACTGTGACAACAACAACAACAACAACAACACTGTCAGGGTACTTGCTAAGCAGGCACCGTGACTTGCAGGAATATTTTTGGACCCTGGAAGTCATCTACAGAGTAAAACCTTCCTATCATGTCTATGCAATCATGGGCAGTTCTTGTACTGTGCCATTACTTCTACTCAGCCGGGCAAAACCATGTCTACAATATCGAAATGAGGTACAATGCCTTCTGTCCCCCCCCCCCCCCCCACCCTCCTCTCTAAATCACCCACTGAAATAGGATTGCTGAGCTTGTGACGGGTTGTACTTCTGAAGCTCCACTGTATTCGTTAATCCCAGCTTCGATTCTTTGGAGCATTGCAGCTATACCATAGGGAATACAGTACGATGTGACTGGTTTGATCCTCGACCATGCCGTGTTAAGTCGTGTTATTCATCCCGTGCTCCCTATCCAGGTGCTCGTCCTACAAGAGAAGCAGCAGGAGCTGCAGACTCGCCTGACGACGAGCAACCAGCTTCTGGAAGCGGAGAAGAAGTCCCTGGAAGTTCAGCTGCGGTCCGTCCAGGACCAATCTCAAAACCAAATCTCACAGGCCACCACATCGTTCGTGGAAGAACGTAGCAATCTGCAAGCAGAAGTCAAACATCTCACCGAGGGTAACAAAGCCTCTTCCAAGATGATCACGGGGTTAGAGCAGCGATCAAGGCAGCTCCAGGGCACCCTGGACGAGAGGAAGAAGCAGCATGCCGAAGAGCTGAAGCAGGAGAAGCTGAAGGCCGCGGGTACGTGTATTATATGGTACTCGGTACTCGAGTGCAGTTGCCACCTTATCACATTTTGGAAGGGAAAGTTGTCATGCATCCATAATCGGCACCCCAACATGTTGGTGTCTCGCACAAAACTTTCGTAGTAGACACTGTACTAGATAAACAACTGTTATATCCTGCATTGTGTGACCTATGCAATTTTTCTTCGAGGCCTCAAAAGTCTAAGGATAAGGAGCTAGAAATTTGGCCAGGTTTTACTCAAGTATAAAATTTAGACAGGTATGCTGTGACAAGTTTTTGGGAAAAGCAGGTCTAAAGGGCTGAAAACCCGTGTGTTTTGAATTTAAAGTGCGGTTTTGAGCCTTAAAACTTGGCCAAAAATAGGGCTTTCAAAAACCAGCGGAACTAATATATTTAAATGGACTGCAAAATCTACATTGTAATTCTGATTGTTATTATGGTGTTGCTGTCAATGTGCTTAGCTGACCTGGCTACTGTGCGTACCACCCATGACAAGGCAGTGAAGAAGCTCAACGAGGAGAAGGAGCAGAGCAAGTCAACCATCAGTAACTTACGCGTCAAGGTCCAGGTGCTGGAGAAAGACAAGGCCACGGCTCAGGACCGGGTAAGTGCAGGAGAGAAACTGCGGTAAACTGTCTATAGAGGTTATCGGCAAGTCATGTCATGATGGTTAACTAGCGGAACCTCTTATGGGCAATTGCCGGGCATTAAGTATACAGCGAGAGTTATCGGAACCTCTTATGGGAGCTAAGTATACAGCGTGAGTTAGGGGTTTCGCTTGACCCAGTGCGTCGCTGTGCCGCGACTTTGCTAAAGCATCTCAACTGATGATGCGATCGCATAACCTCTATACCACTCCAGTACCAGGTTTCATTGTTATGGTTATTTAGCTTCGGAAACATCATATGAATGCCTTGCCAATGATAAACAAATGGTATGGGTCGCAGCAGTAAATGATGTACACGCACTGTGAAACCTCGCTCTCCGGCGACCTTGCTTTCGTAGGTGACTGCAGAAATGCGAAGATTTTCTAGATCACATGTAAGGCGCTTCCATATGCGAACATATAAATACATGAGACCGCCTCAGAAATGGGGGGGGGGAGTCATTTTTGACCCCAGTCAGGAGACGCACTTGTGCAGCGCCCAAGAGAGAAAACGGGCAGGGCAGGAGGGGGGGGGGGGCAGGGTGTGATGTCCATACAACACAGGAATCAAGGGCTTAACTTGAGTCTGAATATTGGTTAAATTTCCTAAGTTCAACGGTATTTTGGTTATGGGTCCTCACCATTATAATATCTAGGCGTCGACTGCCAACACCAATCTATCGGCGGAGCGAGCAAAATGCCAGCGTCTCCAGGCAGCGCAAACCGACGACAAGACGAAGTGGCAAGAGGAACGGAAGCGACTGCAGAGCAGCACGCAACACGCACAGGTGAGCTTCTTCTTGGAATTGTCTTCTTTTTTCTTTCTTTCTTTTACGCATGTTTGCATGCCGCACTGCTGTTTCTTTCATATCACCTGGCATGATTATGCATGCCCTGATACACACCCACCTGGCATGATTATGCATGCCCTGACACACACCTTTTTGGAGCCAATACGGGTCGTCATTGTTTGTACATGATCATGTGTGTTTGTTTCAAGTGAAAGCCACCTGGGGTTGGTAAATGCGGCAGGCTGGCTTGTTCTTTGCCTCTCTCCCCTCAGCAACAACTGGAGTCCTCCAAAAGTTCAATGTCCAGCCTGGAAGCCGATTTATCCAGCGCTCAAGAAGAGTTGGCCTCGGTGATGAACGATAAGGAGCAGATTCGACTGAGGCTGGTCAGTAGTGTACACTATCCTGCCATTGTGTTCCTTCTTCCCTTCCCTCATGACAATTCCCCCACCCCGCTCACCGCGTATTCTTTAGGAGACTCCCTTTGGAAGGCATCCATTTGCCTTTGGAAAGTCTTGAAATAAGTATTATAATATCACCGTAATGTAGCGTGAAGCGGTAAGACTCATTGCCTTTCAGAATGGCATACTGGCAATTAACGTCAAAGCAGGCAGTGCATGGTCCGATGGCGTGAACTTTACATTCTGATCACGGTTGTCCAACTAGGGTCATGGTTGGCATTCCCATTCTGCATGAGTGTATCTGTGCATGGCGCTGTCAGGTACCTGTCAGCTAAGCCGACACCCAACCTGAGAACACGTCTCTGGCTTGTCTCTGCAGGCTGCCATCCAGACAGACGCGTCATCGACACACTCAACGTAAGACACACAAGTAAATGTACTTTTAAGCAGGCCCGGGGTTACACTGAGACATAAGTACTGTACTTTTTTAAGCAGGCCCCGGGTTACATGATGAATGCACACGGTGTAATGTCACGTGCATGTGGGTTTTCGTGGGTTTTCCGACAGCCCCATCCGATGAGATCACGGCAGTGTGCGAACTGATTAGTATAGTACTGTACACAACTAATCTTGATACAGGTCACAGTGTAAAGCAGGGCTTGAGATAAGAAACTTTGCAGGGGGCAGGGTATCAACACTGAGCGAAAGAATATTTTCTTGAATTGCATTTTGGAGACCATATTTGGACGGTTTTTCACTGACAGTATTCTAAAATGAACGAGTGTATGCGGACGCGTGAGAGATAGTCTGTCATAGGCACAGTCTTGGTCATTGGGCAATGCTTACTGGGCCTTCGCGGCACCATAGCACGATACACAGTCACAGCCGCATGTGCCAAGCGCACCTGAGCAAGGCCGTGTTCATTTCCACAGCGTCAACACCAACCATATCGTATACTCGTCGACAAATACGGACCTACTCCATCGGACACACAAGCAGGCACGAAGCGTCCCCTCAACAGTGCCCTCACCCTTTACATTGAGACCTCGCTTTTACCGCACACATCCGTTTTCCACAAAAAAACATCCGGATAGGCGAGGGAACCGGATAATTGAACACACACACTGTACATATGCATGACATATGATGTAAATCGGTAGCCAACGATTTTCTTCCGGATGGCGAGTGTAGTGTTCGCTCAAAAATAAGAGAACGGGCATGCACAATGGGTACACACGCATACAAGATAACACTACAGCGAGGGATAAGCGAGATCTGACTGTACAACTCACTCTCTATTGACATCAGTCACATCACAACCCAACCTTGTAGAAATTCTTTCCCACACAATGCATCTAGTCTTCTGTTGAACAGTACCTATTCCGGCTCCACTCACCCTCCTGGTTTCTGATATCTCAACGTGTCCTCGCCATCGTGGAATAAAAGAGTGATAATAGTTTCTATCGCTCTCTGTCTTGCGCAGTCTTTCTGCACAGGTCGAGGACGTCAGGCGAGCACGCTCTGCAACGGAGAAGCACCTAGAAACCGTGCAAGAGCAGGCTCACCAGCTGGAGAGCGAGGCGAGCGAGCTACGTTCAAAGCTGATCCGCATGGAGGCGTCCACGAAACAGGAGAAGCTGACACACGCCAGAGTCGTGGCTGAAATGAAGAATCAGGTAAGGAAGGATTCCCTGAACGGTTAGTGGCCGCTGATCCTGATTCTTCTTCTGCTTCTACAAAGTGTGTACATTGGCGGAGGTCTTTGCAGTGGTATTGGCGGTGGCAGTGTGGCAGTAAAAAGGAAAGAAAAGAGGACTGACTGCCTGACCGATGCAATATCCATACATGCACTTGACCATGGTAACCAGAATTTGATGAGTGCATATAGAGCATGTAACGTTATGCTGGGTCCGTTGTACTCTGGACATGTTATGTGCATGCTCTCCAGAGCTCTTCAAGTGACCTGTACTGCAGCAGGTTGTCCAATCTCGGCACTACGCCAAAGCAGGATTCAAAGCATACAACAGCAATTACCCGCTCCCGCATGACATGATGCACTTTGAAGTATACACGAATGTCTAGGTCCAAAACAAGGCTATCCTGCTGAGAGTGGGAAATTCGACAGTCCGCAGTAGTCAGGCGCGTGCCCCGTATGGGTTCTTGGGTGCCCGGAACCCCCCCCCCCCCTTTTCGCTCAAAATGCAGGATTTTGCTTCATTTTTTGAAAATTTTCCCGGGGGAGGGCCCCCGCCCTTGAAGGGCACCGGCGCACGCGCCTGGTAGTGACTGATGGAGATACATGTATGAGCCGTAACATTTGCGCAAAGTGTCGACGACTGCTGCTGCGGTTTTCAAGCCTGTTGATGTGATGTTGCTGGGTGTTCTGCAGGCGACTGAGCTGCAAGAACAGTTGGCCGTTTCCAAGGAGATGGCGAGCAGTTCAAAAGATGAACTGCTGGTGCGGTGCGAGGAGAACGACACGGTACGTTGGTTTTAGTTTTATTCCAAGCAATACATGGCTGCGGCAGCCAATGACCACGTTGCATGGCGATTGCAGGGTTTTAACGAGTGAGAAGTCATAAAGAAAAGGAAAAAAACTTGTATTCTCTCCAGCAACCGTATTTTGTAACGTTTGGAGGTTGCAAAACATAAACTTTTCAGGCGCTTTCGTACCGGAGATCTTGGGAGGTGAGCATAGCATGTAATTGTATTGTGATTGCATACTACTCAGGATTTAGCTCCGCTGTATGCCTAGCCTGTGTATGATCTCATCAGATGTCAGGAGCACATGGGAAATGAACGGCCAGAAAACAGACCATTTGCTTTTCTCGGGATTATCACCACTTTCCAACTGCTAACTTCACCACTAGAAACTTATGAACCAATAGCCTAACAGTCGCATGCATTCCAAAAGCAATTATGAGATATGGACCTCTATTTCGACCGGTCGTATGTTGCTGCAGAGGTTGCGCACGGCACAGGAAGAGGTCGGCTCACTGGAGGTGCAGTTAGCGGACAAGGAGCAGCTGTGTGCGCACTTGCAGACGGAAGTGACCACGTCGCGCCAGAAGACCATTGAGATTAGTGAAGTGAGTTGGCAATAATGTTTTTATTGGCAAAATGCCACCGTCATCATCATGGTGGTAGCCTCAGTTGCAGAAACATTGAAACGTGTTTGCTATGTGCCCGACCTGAATGGGTGCAATGAGTGCCGTGTACTCAGGAAAGAGCAGGTCTGCTCTGACCTTTCTGCCTTACTTTTCAAGGGTGATGTATGTATGTACTATGTAGTACACATATACCATTTCATGTGGCGTTCTATACGGCTTCTGCTCGAGGATGTCTTTCATACCAGATGCTTCAGTAATCATTTAACCCTCGTTCCGGGTTTTGGGGTCCAAACGGGCCCCAGGGGTATGGCTTTAGGAATATTGTTGCTTTCCTTCACCACGCCTCCCTGAAATTCCAGGTATTCCAAGACAACTAGATCCCAAACTGTAATGAGATAGCCTGGCTTAAAGGTGTTCATTCTGGGAAGACACTGTGTGTGGATGTATTTGAATGTGGTGATATTCTAGTATTTTGGTAGCACCTCTCTCGAACCAAGTCTGACTGCTATTTTCTCACTTGTGATCTCAACAGACATTGAACTTGCTGAACAATGCCAAGAAGAGGCTGGAGGAGGAGTCCGCACAGCAACTAGCCACCGCTCGCCGGGAAAAGGAATCGCTGGAGCGAAACCTGGACCGCATCCAGGAGGAACAAAATAAGACGGTACGGAGACAGAACGTTAGCATTGGAATCCAACCTTCCCTATGTAGTCACACTGATCAGGCGCGTGCGCCGGTGCCCTTCAAGGGGGGTTGGGGGGCCTCCCCCGGGAAAATTTCAAAAAATGAAGCAAAATCCTGCATTTTGAGTGAAAAAGGGGAGGGGTTCCGGGCACCCAGGAACCCATACGGGGACGTGCCTGCTGATCCAAGCACATTGTCCTCCAGGAGGGCCATGCACTACCATTACATCTAACAGCAAACGTGCACTTGTATGTCGTATCAGTCAACTGACTACTGCATGGCAATATAGATAACCATGCACGTTGACGCCAAATATGGATGGGCATTTTATTTTGCGGGGACTCGGGTTGTGACATCCGAATGAAACATTGTGACGTTCATTTCTACTTTTCTAGCACACTATACTAGGGTTTACCGGGTGTTAGCGGCCGTCGTGAGTTCCCTTCGGGAACGGACACGATAATTTACTTTTTTATTTATTTATACTGCACGGGCATGTGGTCTGCAGCTCTCCAAGCTGGATAAACTGAAAGGGGAGAATGCAGCCTTGTCAGCGCAGGTAAACCGGCTGACGGATACCATCGAGGAGACGCGGGGCCACATGACGGGAAAGGAGCGCACTATGGAGCAGCTCTCACAGCAAGTCGCAGAACAACAGTCACGTGCTGAAGAAGCGCTGAGCAAGTGTGATGGTAAGCGAGTGGTGGCTGTAGGACCCAAGTCACTCAGTACAACAACCATTTCATTTCAGTTGGTTTTATTTGATTGATTTGGTCCCAAGGAAGAAAGATGCGTACATACGTGAATGGCAATAAATAAGATAAATTGCGTTCCACTGATGAAAGTCACAAGAAAACATTATGGAACTTGATTTTTTCCATTTTTTGCTTTAGTTATGAGTGCACAATTGATCTAATCTATTGCCATTTTACGACTATTGTCTCCTCGTCGATTATTTACACACGTGAACTTCAAGGACTATGTGAAAAGGAACTGCTGGTAGGCAGATTTAAAGGAGGGAAAGACGTTTAATAAAAGCGCTTGCCTGACAAAGCTGAGAATGAGCAAGCACTGATGATGTAACCAATGTCATGATTCATAATGTGAAGTCGATTGCAGCCAATTTGGACCTGTTGGTGAGGAAAAGCGGATCAATGTAACCAAGGCCGGGCTGTACCTTAGCTGGCTGAAGTTCAATTTGGCCATAATTCTTAGAACAACCCACTGGTATCCCACTTGTTTAGCCAAGTTATGCAGCGTGCACCACTCCTTTTTTCTGTATTCGTCTTGCTGCAATTTCCAGAGCTGCGCAGGGAACTCGCCAGCCAACAGAATGATAACCGCGGCCACCAAGAGACGGTGGCTAGGCTTCAAGCGCAGTCGTCGCACCTATCGCAGGAGCTGGAGCGGCAGAAGACGAAAAATTCCGACTTTGAAGTAAGAGCAATGGGCAAGCACAGCCTATAGCCGGTGATCCATCCAGCAACATGGTTGTGTATGGGCCATACCAAGTTATTCTTGAAGTCGTATACAGTCAGACCTCGCTTATTAGATCCTCTTTTATCCGGATCCCTCGCCATCTGGAAGAAAATCGTTGGTTACTGTTCCGCAGGACTACACCACGCTAGTCCATAAACATTGAAACTGTGATGGATCGTAACTACACACTGGGTTCTTCGATATAACCAAAACGCAAACGTGCTATAAGTGAGTAAAAGCAAAGTGTACGGTATTATATGTGACCAAAAAGATACAGTGAAAGAAAAGCCTAGCAAAGCATTGCAAGGCACGTTGGTTCGGCTGCGTTGGTTCAGCTGCACGCTAGTGCAAACATGCAGATCGACAATGTTGGGCGGAAACCAAACACCACAACATTGCCAGAAACTAACTTGTTCACACCTACATACAATCATGAGTCCATACCGTGTCTGGTCTGGTTTGTTATGTTAGCAACCTAGAATGCATTGAACACATGGATTCGATCACACAGACCAATATTATGCTATAGATGAATATCGCAGCACAACTGCAGCGTAGCTAAGGAAAGGTGAATTGCCTAGAGGCAAATGCACAGCTTGTCGCGATAGAACTGCGACCACATAGGTGCAAACTGACAATACTGAAACACCGGCGATGCCACAAAGTGTCTGGCGTGCCCACTACTAGTCTATTGACATGATCTATGGAAAGGCGCCTACACGTCTACCTCAAATGTCTAAGTACCGTGAAAATGGATGAATACAAACCAGCAAAGCGCCATAATGCTGTAGGGCATGCACATAGAATCGGTATGGCTCGTCTAGCCTGCAGTTACCTAAAGTACCATACATGCACAGAACAATGCATCCAATAGTCCGTGTCCAGACACACTATCTAATGTATAGTCAAGGAGAGCCTCGTGAACATCCTCCCCCTCGAATACGCGATGAGTTACCTCGCAGCGTATTCCACTACTACCTAGCTTACAATTGCATGTGTTGTACCTCTATCGGTCTAATCACTGCGTGGCAAAAAGATGTGGTAAACATAAAAATGATAACACTGTGGTGCTTATGTGATATGCCTGCAATGTATGCTGCATCTATTGAACTACTGCTTCTGTCTTACTTGTGTTACCACCATAACTGAATACGTACAGATCTAGCTGCCATCTTCTCTATGCATCTAGCGGGCAGATCTTGGTGATGGGACGGGTGATTCGCTTCCCGCCGACTTGCACCTCCACAACACGCACGTGACCATCTGGGCCCGGCTTGGTCTCCATGACGCGTCCGAGTGGCCAGTGCCCACGTGGTGCATCCGGTTGCAATACCAAGACGATGTCTCCTGCCGCCACGTCTCTCCGTTCTTTTAGCCACTTCCGTCTCGCGTTGAGAGTCGGCACCCACTCCTTGAGCCAGCGCCGCCAGAACTGCTTCACCACGTCTTGAACTTGCCGCCATCGCTGGTTGGGGTGGAAACCTGTGGTGTCTACGCTTTCTGGGGCGAACTGACCGCCCATCTGACCCGTCAGAAAGTGGTTCGGCGTTAGCGGCGAGCTGTCGTCAGGGCTGGCCGACTGGTACGTGAGCGGTCTGCTGTTCATAAGGCTTTCGGCGTTCGTGAGCGCAGTTGCCAGCATCTCATCCGTCAGGTCAGCATTGCCGAGAACTGCCTTGAGGGCGCGTTTCGCCGCCTTAACCATTACTTCGTGGACTCCGCCGAAATGCGGGGCTAGCGGCGGGTTGAATTTCCAAGCCACCCCACGGTTGGCCAGGGACTTGAAAACTGCGTCGTTATCCAGAGCCTCCACCAGTTCCCTCAGCTCACGATCGGCTGCCACGAAATTCGTCCCATTATCTGAAATGATCTCCAGCGGTTTTCCACGGCGCGCGACCATCCTTGAGAACGCGTTAAGAAACGAGCTGGCGTCGAGGCCGTAGCTCATCTCGAGGTGTACGGCTCGGGTTAGCAGGCAGGTGAAAACGCAGAGGTAACGTTTGGCTTGGCTGCGTCCTCGCCCTTGTTTCGTTAAGTATGGGCCGCCATAGTCTACCGAGGCTCTAGCGAAGGCTCTCAACGGTGTAGCGAGCCGGACCTTCGGCAACGGCGCCATAACTTGCTCTGCCGTCCTGGCTTTGCGACGTCGGCACACCATGCATTCAGCTTCCCACTGGCGTATCTCCTCTCGGGCAGACTCCAGCCAGAACCGTTCTGTCAATGCCGCGAGCGTCTCGTTCGTGCCACCATGCTGTCGCAGCTCGTGGTGGTGCTTCACGATTAGCGACGTAACTTCATGTTTCCGGGGTAGAATGATCGGGAAGCGCGTGCTGTACGGGAGCCAGTCAGCTAGGCGGGTGCGGCCGTCACAACGTAGTAGGCCATCCTCATCCAGTCGCGGACACATCTTTGCTAACCGCGATGCTGCTGGCAGAGTCTTCCCCTTCTTCAGTGCGCTGATGTCGTCACCAAATGCATCCTGCTGCGCTCCGTAGATGATGGCAAGTTCCGCCGCTTCCAACTCTTGGATGTTTAGCTCTCCGCTGACGCGGTCCCCTTGTCTGCAGTTATTGACGAACCGGTTGATCCATGCCTGAACTCTCACAAGTCTCGTCCAGTTGGAGTAGCGGCTTGGTTGCACGACGGTGATCTGCTGCGTCACGAATGCGCTCTCAGACGCCTGCACAGCTGCCTTGCGAACTTCCGGGTCGTCGCTCAACCCCGAAGTATCCTTTAGCTCCGTGGCTGGCCAGGTTGAGCCGTTGCTCAAAAACGCCGGTCCTTGCCACCATAGGTCTGCGTTGACCAGGTCGTTGACGCAAGCTCCTCGTGATGCCAGGTCAGCTGGGTTCTGTCCCGTAGGGACGTAGCGCCACTGTCGCGGTGCGGTACGCTGCTGGATGTAGCTGACGCGATTCGCGACGAATGGTTTGAACCGCCGACTGTAGCTACGAATCCAGTGGAGGACCGTCGTGCTATCGCTCCAGAAGGTGACAGTACTAAGTGGCACGTCGAGCACTTTACTCATTCGAGTGGCAACCTGATGGCCGAGAACTGCCGCCATGAGCTCGAGCCGGGGAATGCTGGTAGCGGCGGTGGGCGCGACACGACTCTTCGACACGAGGAATCTGCACTCCGCTGTTCCATCTTCGCGCACACTTCTCGCATACAGAACAACTCCATAGGCTTCGCTGGACGCATCGCAGAATGCATGCAGCTCGAGCTTGCCGGTCGATGCTTCAAATTGACGCGGGACTCGGACGTTGCTGAGCTCGCTCAACTCTTGGAACCATTGCTGGGCTTTATCAACTATCGCGTCGGGAAGTTGCTCGTCCCAGTCGACGCCACTCATCCAGCATTCCTGCATCAGCATCTTGCCTCGAACGACGAACGGCGATATGAAGCCGAGTGGGTCGAATACGGCTGCTGTCCGCTGCAAGAGGTAGCGCTTTGTGATACGCTTGGGCAGATCCGGTTGCTGCACGCGGAACGTGAACTCGTCATCGAGGGCAGACCATGTCACTCCGAGCGTTTTTACCGATGGTAGGTCTCCCACCGTCAGGTCGACATCCGCTGCGCGTTCTTCTTCTGGGATCGTACTCAGCAACGCAGTCGAGTTGGATAACCACTTTCTCGGTCGCATGCTTGCCTTCCCCCACAGCTCCATTAGGTCGTCATGGAGCTTGGTACCGTCGGCGACCGTGGCAGTACTGTCCATCGTATCGTCCATGTACGTACTGTCCAGGATGGCCTCTGCTGCTGATCGGTGGGTATCGACGCTTGCGTCCGCGACTTGGCGGGCGACATACTGAGCCAAGAATGGCGACGCGTTTACACCGAAGACTAAGCGGTTGAACTGGTACTTCTTGACCGGACCATCGGAGGCCGGGTCCTGCCACAAAAAGCGGTGGTACGGCCTGTCCTCGGGGCGTATTGAAACTTGCAGATACATCTCTGCTACGTCGCAGGCAACGGCGATGGGCTTTCTTCGGAACCGGGTGAGAACATCGCAAAGGTCTCGCTGCAACTTCGGGCCGGCGTGGATGGCGTCGTTAAGTGAGATGCCGTGGTAGGAGGCGGCTGCGTCAAACACAATCCGGACCTTAGTTGTCGTCTTCTGTGGCCGCACAATGGCGAAGTGTGGCAGATACCAGCATTGGTCGGTAGGCGCTTCGTCAGTGACGTCGGTGATATATCCTTTCTCGAGGTAATCTTGGATCACTCTGGCGTATGCTCGGGCTACTTGCGGTTCACGTTGCAGTCGTCGACGTGTTGACTCCAGCCGCTTAGTCGCCATATCAACGTTGTTGACTAACTCCGCCTTACGACTGTTCCATGGTATCGATACTTCATACCGGCCGTCTACTAGCCGCGTGGAGTCTTCCACTAATTTCACCGCTGCGGCCTCGTCTGCCGATGTTGGTCCTGGAGCCGCATTGTCCGTCTCGACGCCACAGCTGTCGACCTTCCAGAACTGTTGCAGGGCTTGCTCGACTCCTGCAATTGACTTGTCTCCACCGACGTAGTACGAACGGTTGGGCTGTGGGCCCTGCGTCTGCTTGGAGTTGGGTGCTCTGAGCTTCCCTACGCAGGTCCATCCGAGCGGTGTTAACCTAGCGACAGGTTGCCCAGGTTCACCAATGACGTCACGCGTCGATACGTGCAGCTGGACTTGGTCACTGCCGATCAGCATATCTACAGTGTCGTGTTCTCCCACCGCTGGGAACGGAATCTCCCTCAGGTGCGGGTAGTTACTAGCCTCTTCTAGCCAGTCGACTGCGCGAAGGTCGCCAGTCACGGATTTGTCGGTGGTGTACGCCGTGATCGTCTGCTTCAAGTTGCCATCAACACTCCTCAGCTCGATGTCTACTGGCATAGTCTCGAACGTCTCCAGTTTGCCATTGAGCGTGCTGACCGTCGTCCGTTGGCGTTTGCCACTCAAACCGAGTCGAGTGGCGATACTAGTGTGCACATACGTCACAGTGCTGGCATCGTCCAGCAAAGCGTTGACAGTCACTGACTGCTGACCGTTGCACAGTGTCACCGGGATTGTCCGTAGAGCTACACGGTCCGTCCGGCGCCCTTGTGCCACATGTGTCGCTGCTTCTGGCTCCCCCTCTGTGACAGTCGTGACCAGTGATGTCTGGGGTGCGGGCTTCTCAGCTTCCGGAGTTGGCTGTGCGCCGCCGGTAACATTGCTGCCATGGAGCAGCGGGTGGTGATGTTTGATGCATCCACTAACCGGGCACTCACGATCACGGGGGCAGTCCTTGCCAGCATGGCCACTGCCCAAGCACCGGAAGCACGCGTTGCTCTGCTTGGCGAGCCGCCAACGCTGATTGACCGACATGACCTTAAATGCCGCACACTTCCACAGGGGATGTGCGCCTTTGCATACTGCACAGTTGACGTCGCTCTTCTGTTGAGCATGATATGCGTGGTTGCGACTAGGCGGAGCACTACGCCTCTGGAACCGGTTATCTCGGGGTGGTTGCTGCTGTTGGGGCGTGGTTTTTACTGCTACGCCGCTCACCGTTTCTGCCGAGATCATCATTAGCTCTGATTCTACTCGTGCCCATTCGAGCAGGGCTTCGACGGACTCTTCTACTTGCCGATCATACCGCCATCGATGGTACTGTGCAAGCACACGTTCGTCGAACTTACGGAGGAGCTTCTGGTAGAACGTACCAGCCTCCAGTTCTGCGGCCCGGCCGCTGTCTTTCAGGTTGATGACTACTACCTCGAGGAGCTCCGTGAATTTCTCGAACTCGGACGCTCTGTTGTAGCCAACCTTACCGAACTGCTCGATTTCTTCTACGTGGATCGCGACACGCCTGCGTTCTCCGCCATACTTCCTGACCAGTAGCGCTTTGGCGGCCTCGTACGCAGCAGGGGAATAGCCTAAGCTATCGATGGAGTCCAGTGGGTCGCCGACTAGGTACTGCCTGAGTTGCAGTAGCTTGTACTCTGGTGCTGCCGGAGATGCGTCTATGCATGCCATGAACGCCGCACGCCAAGACTCGAATTTTCTTTTGTCGCCGTTGAATGTCGGAATGCCGATCTGCTTCAGCTGACGCCATGGTTCCGGTTGGTGAGGTGCCGTCAGTGCACTCTGCGGTTGTGGCATGGTGGTGGACTCTGCAGCAGGTAAGGCTAGACCATGCTGAGTTGTCATGCTTGGTGTCTGTGCGACCATTTGTGGGACGTTGCTATAGGTTGCATAGCTAGGCTGCGTGATGTTGTTGCCTGTCCACATAGGTTGCTGTGTTCCATACTGGTTGGGACTACTGAATTGCATACTTGGCATGGCACTGTAGCTGTTAGCACCATAACTACTACTGCTGTATATGTAGCTTGCACTAGCAGATGCAGGATTCGCACTAGGGGTAGGGTAGATCCTTGGCATAGAAAATGCACTTGCACTGGTCAAGTGCTGCCGAGTGGCAGGCTGTGAATGCGTCGACCTCACTTTCGATGCCTGCGATGCGTGGGCTGCGATGCCCTGACTTGCCTGATGCTGCCTGCCCGCGGCAGGCCGACTTGCACTGCTAGATTGTGCACTATACGAAGTGCTCGCGGTCGCACGTGTTGTGACTTCTGCTGCACCGCGTGGTTGGCGCGGAGCTTGCGTCTTCGTAGCGGATGTTGCACTTGAGGCGGTCGGCGCCACCACGAGTCCTGCAACTGACGAGGTTTGCGGTACGACACACGAACTCGTGGCGGGTGGCGGAGCTGCCACTGCTGTCTGCGTGACCTGCGGGACTTCTCTCTGAGACTGCTGTTCGTGCTCTGAGGAGATTTGGATTTCTTTCGTTTGATCTCCCCCATCCGCGCTCAGGCCGGTTGGCGTTCGCCTTTCATCACTAGCTTGCGGCCATCCCTGAACTGGTGCGTGGTGCTCCTCGTGAATGGCGGCAGCTACGTTCACGGCATCTCGGGGTCCCTGAATGGATAAATCACTCAGGCTCTGCGAAAGCTGACGTGAGTTCAGCGATCGTCTCTGTAACGGTAAATACGGGCTAGCCCCACGTGTGCGTGCGTCGTATCTACTATCTTGAAACTGAATTGACCTTTCGTCATGCGAACTATCGTGAGGTGCTGCATACAGCCTCCTAGATCTAGGGACGGGGTCTTCTACTGCGCCTCTGCCATACTCAACAATCATGGCCGATGCCTCTGCATATTCTTCTTGCAACTTCTCAAGTTCTCTCAACATCTTCTCTGCCTGACTATTGTTATCCTCCGTGGTGTAAACACTAACGAGCTCGGCAATTACGGATGCAGCTCGTTCGTAACACTCAGTCAACACGGGTGAGCTTGCTACCTGATCAAATGACAACTCACCGGAACTGACCCGACGGAGATCGACGATCAGGGTCCTTCTCGCGTTGGTGAAGTCCGACTTCACTTGCACTTTCAGCGCTCTGAGTTTGCCTGAGTCCAGGGCGACCGCCTCTGGTTCACTATCCGAAAGTGACGTACCAGACGCTTGCGATGCCACCTCCTGCTCCGCATCCTCCATGCCTGCAGTGCTCCGATTTTCGGTATCGGACGTGCTCATGACTACAGTTCTCTCTGTAATCAACTTCTACGAAACGCGATCAACCATCCTCTGCTACCATTAATGTTCCGCAGGACTACACCACGCTAGTCCATAAACATTGAAACTGTGATGGATCGTAACTACACACTGGGTTCTTCGATATAACCAAAACGCAAACGTGCTATAAGTGAGTAAAAGCAAAGTGTACGGTATTATATGTGACCAAAAAGATACAGTGAAAGAAAAGCCTAGCAAAGCATTGCAAGGCACGTTGGTTCGGCTGCGTTGGTTCAGCTGCACGCTAGTGCAAACATGCAGATCGACAATGTTGGGCGGAAACCAAACACCACAACATTGCCAGAAACTAACTTGTTCACACCTACATACAATCATGAGTCCATACCGTGTCTGGTCTGGTTTGTTATGTTAGCAACCTAGAATGCATTGAACACATGGATTCGATCACACAGACCAATATTATGCTATAGATGAATATCGCAGCACAACTGCAGCGTAGCTAAGGAAAGGTGAATTGCCTAGAGGCAAATGCACAGCTTGTCGCGATAGAACTGCGACCACATAGGTGCAAACTGACAATACTGAAACACCGGCGATGCCACAAAGTGTCTGGCGTGCCCACTACTAGTCTATTGACATGATCTATGGAAAGGCGCCTACACGTCTACCTCAAATGTCTAAGTACCGTGAAAATGGATGAATACAAACCAGCAAAGCGCCATAATGCTGTAGGGCATGCACATAGAATCGGTATGGCTCGTCTAGCCTGCAGTTACCTAAAGTACCATACATGCACAGAACAATGCATCCAATAGTCCGTGTCCAGACACACTATCTAATGTATAGTCAAGGAGAGCCTCGTGAACAGTTACCGACTTACAGCATATGCCATGCACACATTCAGTATGCGTGTTTGATTATCCGGCTCTCTCCCCTATCCGGATATTTTAGTGGAGAACGGATGTGTGCAGCTAAGCGAGATCTGACTGTGTGAAGAATCCACTCTGTACTTTATAGCCGTGACTAAGTATCTGGGGCAGCTCACGCAAGCTCCTCACACTTGATTCTCCGCTCCTACCCTCTCCCGTGCATAGAACACTAATCTGCATCAGATGGAGCAGCTCCGGGCGTCGTTTGAGCACGAGAAGGAGTCTCTTCAAGAGGAAACTGAGCGGCTCACGACCCAGCTGCGTCAGGTCACTGCCAGGGAGGAAACCAGTCAGAAGGAGCTCATGACTGAGCTGGAGGTGAGTTGTACACGGTATAGATGCAGTGCTGCCACTAGTGCAACATAACCGGGCATGTTGCCCGCAGGGGGCACGGGAGGCATATGCACCCCCTAAAATGTTCAACCTAGATCACGTAATTACCATGAATGCACCCGCACCAGTCATCCTACACATAAGCGGCCCTGCACCCCCACCCCCCCCCCTCCCTAAAAGGGGGACCAACTACTCCCCTGTGCACCGTGGTGCCGGTATGTTTTGGGGTGCTGGCAACACCTTTTACGTTTTAGTCTATTCCAACTCACAGGTGGCTTTAAACGTGATGGAAACTTGCCATTACTAATACTTGCAAGTTGCAAGCACCGGCAAAGAGACCGTGTTCAAGTTGAGTGTTTGAGTTGAGGAACCTTATAATGTGCCTCTAATGTGTAGATGGCTGCAATGAAGTCTGCCGGTACAGTAAAACCTGTCAAGGCGACCACTCTGATAAGGCGACCACCTGTCCCAGAAGACCACTGAAACTGACCAGGACCAAGGGATCCTAAGTTCCAGTCAAATGACCCTGGATAAGGAGACCACCTGGTAACAGAGACCACGTTTTGAAGGTCTCATGAGCGGTCGCCTTAGACAGGTTCCACTGTACTTAGATTTTTTTTAATGTTTATTTGAATTCGGATAGCTCAACAGTACAGAAGTACAACTACAAAGAGTACCGAATAACTTAGAAGGCCCTGAGAACGGGAAACCTAAAAACAAAAAAACAAAAACAGCAACATCAATTTACTGATTAAGATAAGCACATGTATTTCATAGTAAGGTTTGCTGGACATGTCCTGATCCCTTATCAATTGTTGTGTTCTTCTAATTGCCATGCTGTCTCCAGCAACTACAAGCAGCAACCGAGGAGAGTAGTTTGCTGGCGAGTCAGAACAGCGTGTTGGAAGAGAAGATTGCATCGCTCGAGCAGCAGCTGGCCTTGGCGCAGCGTCAGATTGGCAGTGCCGACATGGAGAAGTCCAAGGTACATGACATTGTGCTGCAGACCAGCTCGCTGACTTTGCTGCACTGGAGCAGATGCATGTCAGCCTAAGTTGTCAGAGCTACAGAATCATTTGCCCAATCATACGGCTATGAATATGTATGTGAACAATGATTCCGCTGCTGTGTTTGCTCGTAGCTCTGGGCACAGATCAAGGACACACAGGAGCGCATCCTGCCACTGCAGGCCAAGAACGAGGCATTGCGTAATCAGCTGGATAAGGTAGGGGCACCAGAGCCACCATATGCCATACCAGCTAGTGCAATCAGTGTGATAATAATATCCTCGGTGCCAGCCGGCTAGATTGAAGTGAATGTCAAGTATTGGCCTCTGATCCCACGCATCTAGCTTAGTAGACCTAACGTTATATGCCAAATGATGTCATGGTGATGACAGGCGAGTCGCTTATGGGCGCTAAGTATGTAGCATGAGTCGGCGGATTCGTGTATGGGAGCTAAGTAGACAGTTGTAGTGGGAGGACTTGCCCGAGTGGTAAACCAGCTAGCGCATAGCTGCACCGAGGCTTTGCCACTCCATACAGAGTGTCTGAACGGATGATGATGTAATCGCACGCAAAGCACCTCAACTGATGATGTAATTGCATAACCGCTATAGTGTCAGTAGTTACGTGGCTCTTACGTCCCGAAAAGTATTCTGCGCACTCAAATGTGGCACTATTCTTATCAAGACATCAATTCTCACTGGTCAGCACTTTTTCATTTTATTATTTTATTATTTCATCGGCCAATGGCAAAAGCCAATGCAAAGGAGGGGGCATTTGATTAGCCAGCCGCATAGGTGCTACACGCAGATTCCCATGTGAGCTGGTTTTTTCATGGCCATCAAGTTTCAGACATCCCGTGTTTACTGGAGCACTCTGGATGCACACCGCCGGGCTTCTTATGCATTGTGCACCTGTAGCGCTTCAGTGTGCATATCACTCCGGCAACTACACGCAGTGTTTTTGCATGATGTGGCCGTGCTCTTTTTTCCTTCCTCCAGAAATCCTCGGAGCACCGCCTCACAAGTTCATACTTGACAAAGTCCACCAAGGACTTGGACAACTTGCAGAACTCATTCGAGGAGCAGAAGCGAGCTCTGGAAATTGAGGAAGCCAAGGTATGTGTCTAGGTGACAGTACTAGCTTGATATTGCTGGGCCAGTATATACTTGCCCAGATGTCCCAGCCTAAAACATGCATGGTATGATGACTTAAAATACCATTGCCCACTGAATTACTTCAGACTATCCCCTCGTCATGTTTCCTGGCTCAAATTCAGATGCATGAGCTTGAAGCCTAACCACTTCAAGATTAATGAAAGTTTCCAGTTGTGAGATCTACATGCGGATGAAGACCTTGAGAAACGTTGGCTAAGGAGGAGAACACGGTCATTGATCGCCATGATTGGGTTCTGTGTGCTGCTTTGCTGATCAGGTCAATACCTTGCACCAGGAGATGGCCCGGCTTCAGGGCAAGCTAGAAGCACTGGAACAGGCCACATTGAACTCCCGCCAGCAAGAATCGGACTCGCGCAGGAGCCAAGAGGTGATCGAGGACCTGCGTGGTAGTCTACAGGCCATACAGACGGATCGGTAAGCTGCCGGCGGCGACATCGGCGTGTGTAGTCTTGCGGCTCTTGCCATGCACAATGGACCGGCGACTTGAGGTCTCTTTGATATTGTCACCACGTTGTGGTAGTGCTTGATCACATGTTTTGTATTTTGTATTTATATTGACATTATCTCATGGCACATCATGATGATGGCCAGTAAAACTGAGACAAGGGCGAAAGCCAACCACAGCAGTAAAACAGATAAAAGAATACAAATAAAAGGCAAAGAAGGCAAAGGAGGAGACAAACCAGCAGGATGTCATGCAAATACAGGAAACCTATAATTGAGCAGAGATTTTAGCAACAAAATTATCCATCGACGTGCTGGTCTTGGCCTGCGTTGGTAATGTTGCCCAAAACACATAGCCAGCAAAGAGCGGGGATCTAGTGAATAGGGTGGAGGCAGCGCGTGGGAGACTGAATGAGATTCTTGTGTAAACTGCATCGCCGTATACTTATGAACATGGCACTTCAGGTGCCTGGCATAGCCCGGGATTCATTTGAAGTGGTCCCCAGCTATAGTCTCCACATGGTTGCGTATAAACGCCCAGTGGCTTAACACTGGTTTGTAATTGGTATCCGCCCACAGTAGCACACCACTGGTTCAGTGCGTCAAAGTAGGCAGCATGACCTAGCTGGTTGGTCACAGCTGTGTGTGGACCGTGGGTGAGTTGGGGACCAACATGGCGGTCTCATATTGTCATTTTGGTAGGTGTCTATAACATCTCTATAGAGTGGTTTCACATCTTAGTCATGTGACTAAAATGTGTGTAGAAAGTGATCATGCCATGTGGACAGTGGGAACAACATGGCCGACATCATGTGACCCATAGATACTTGTTCAGTACTTCGAAGTACAGGGGTTGAGTAGAGCTGGAACCACCAACATGGCTGTCACATATGGTCATGTGATAGATGTGAAACCATTCCGAAGTTTACAGCTGGATGTAAACACATTTGTTGGGTGTGGCACAGAACGACTAGACCGCTCTCAGCAAGCCGATGATCCTGTTATGCCGTGTGTGTGTGTGTGTGTGTGTGTGTGTGTGTCACTGTGTGTGTGTCACTGTGCAGCGTGCTCCAGGAGCAAAGCATCTCAGAGATGAAGCGCCGTGTCACCGAGGAGAAGGCAAGGCGCGAGCGCGAGCACGCCGAGAACAAGCGACTGTCACTGGAACTGCAACGCTCCCAGCAGCTGGTCAAAGTGCAACAGCAGAAGTGGCAGCAGGCCAAGACGCAGGTAGGCAAATGACGTCCATCTTCGCCGCTTACTGGTAACGGTACGTGTTCCGTCGACCTCGTGAATAACGACCTCGGTGCCACAACAACTTGTGAACAATAACTCAATCTTAAGGTCCAGTGACCATTTGACTGCATGCTTTCAACCTCACGAATATAACTGAACTTTTCTCATGCACGACTGAGTGTCGATATTCACAAGGTCATGTACTACAGCAGCACAGGTCAGGGCCGGCGCCACTGGTTCGGCCGGTACGGCCATGGACGTACCAAATTCCCAAAAAGCCGTTCCACGTGGAACGTCCAAAACCGGGGAGAAAAAGTTTCGATGTATGATTTTGTACAGGGAGTTGCCCAGAGTACAGGATTTGCCGTCTAAATTCCAAACATTTTCGGGGGAGGACCCCCTTAAAGATGGCCCTTCGGCCGCACCGCTCCGCGGAAGCTGCCTCCGGCCCTGCCGGTACACATGTGTGGACCTAGGTAGTGGAGTTGGAATTATCAAAAATCCCATAAGATTTGGTAAGGAAAGAACGAGCGATATTTTTTCCGCTGTCACAAGTCGCTGTAGTGAGATTAGTGATATCGGTATCAGCATGCAGGTCCTGTGCAGCTTCGAGTGAGGTGACAATTACTACCTATCCCAACTGGAAAGAGGCAAAAACGGACCAGTGCGCCACCCAAGTCAGGAAGCAGGCTAGGACCACTGTGGAGACAGTCGTTTTCGCCTCTTTCCAGTTGGGATACAACGCGATCCCCCCCCCCCCCCTCGAACACTTTCCGTATCACTCGTTCGGTCACGAATTCCTTGGTTGGTGTGCTGGAATGTGTTATTCGTCTTGACAAGCACTCTCACATATGCCCGTCGCTGTGCTGTCTTGCGCAGAAGCGGAAATCCGAGAGCCAAAGCTTGAGTGCACTGGGGCAGGTGGAAGCGTCCCAAGCCGAGAAGCATCAGCTTCAGATGCACATAGCTAAGCTCAACGACACGGTGGACGAATTGCAGAGCAGATGCAGTGAACTGGAGTCCAGCCATGAGCACACTCGAACGACAGTCAAGTAAGTACTGATAGCAAGTAGAGAGCCATGTGTCGTGTTGGTCAATGAAATACACTGTGACCTGCCGTGGGTATGGAGCAATGGCGAGCCATGCGGCTACAGTGTTTTCCGGGAATGTCACGGAGGTGTTCGCTTGGTCATGTTGTTTCAGGCTCAGCCCTGATCCACCGTGTGTGCACTGTAAATTCATACTTGCAGTACTTCAAGTAGTAATTCGACTATTTCAAATTTTCATCGCCGAGTCTCATCCCTTGTATCTCTGGTGTTCTTCCTTCTTTCCATGTCGTATTGTTTGAGTAATACTTGGCAGGTTTTTCTTTTGACCCCAGATGAAAAACTTATTACTTCTAATGAACAGTGAATCTAGAAGCCCTCGATTGGTATTAGTCTGGGCAGTGTTTGGCGGATTTATTTGTGAGAGTTCTTGTCTAGCACTGAAACATTGCACATTTCTGACCCTGTCTACAGGGAGAAGTATCGTACCGTACGCCACGCTTTCCGTACTCAGCTCTCCGAGTCCGAGGACAGGCTAAGCTTGGCGTCTGCGCAGTTGGAGCGCGAGGAAGAATGGCGCAGGTCACAGGAGGAGAAGCTCCGTCATCTGCTCCAGGAGAAGAAGGAGCTAAGCGAGCAGTGAGTACAGGCGTTCGTTTAAAGCAGGGAGTGGTAAAATATATACTGCATGGTATTTTACTATTCCCGGCTTTAAAGTGCGCATACGGGGGGGGGGGGGGGTACCGCAGGATGTGAATTGGCTCAACCATTCGCCATGAATCACTTAGGGGTCGTCCGTATTTTTCGAAAAATTGAAAAATCCGTCCTCAGGCAGAAAGGGGGTGGGTGGTCAAGAGCGCTGGCGGAATTTAATTTTTTGATTTTTTTTTTCGTCAGTGACTCATACACTCGTTGCACTGACTCGTAGTGCACTGTAGACGTAGTGTAGGATCGCAAACACCAGTATGATATACCGGTACATGACTTTTTTTGTGGTGGTAGGATGTGCATGGCCTTCGGTAGACCTCCTACTCACTTTACTTAGCTACTAGTACTTGACATACATACGTCATGTACATGTAGGTGCAATCAGTGAACATGGGGTCAGGAGTTCTTATTTTCGAGCTGGGCATCGGTAAAAATCAAAAAATTAATGGGAAAAATTTTTGGGCCGTCACTTGCTTATGTTTATTGGGAAATGATGACTGCTATTCAAAGTGTGAGTACCATCTCAGTTCAGTTGATTGATGATACGTTTTCATGTCTATGCTTTCAGGTTGGTAAAGGCCACATCGGCCGGCCGTGACATGGCCCGGTCTGTTCATCAGACGGAGAGCAAAGTCAGCGTGCTGGAAAAGGAGAATGTGGAACTGCGCAAGAGGATTATTCACCTCGGCCAGCAGCAGCAGAGCGACACGGAGAGACTGGACCAGAAGCTAGCGTCGTCGAAGACTGAGACCGATGTAAGCGAACTGAACCAACTGCAAAAATGATGCACATCGATGCATGGATTCCGAACCGATCCCAGGGCACATGCCATGAAATCGAATGACGAGATTCCGTTCATGAATGGATTCATGGCAGCAATCGAACGCACCCACTGAATGCGAATTATGTTCAAAGAACGTGCTATAAGAACACAGCCACATTGTTCAACATACTACTCCAACCTGACCTCTTGGAAACAATGCTGTTGGGTGGCTATGATCGTTTGGTCGGATCTGGATCCAGATCTCAGATCCGTCGGATCCTTCAGAATCAACCGATCACTTTTTTGGACCTTGATTGTTGCCATGTTGACGAAGTAAAAAATGGCGCTGACAGGTCACCCGAAAGGGCGAAAGTCGTACGAAAAGTCAACAAAAGTTGACTAGACGTACGACAATGAGTACAAAAAATGATTTTTACCCGCCATATGCATATACGCACAAAGGTCACATTTGGATCCGATCAACCCTGCTCAGTCCGTGCGCCAAATTCAAAAAAGTCGTCTAGAAGTTGCACTTTTATTTGCAACCGCGGGAAATTTGAGAGGTCTGGAGAAGAAAATTCTCAATGGGACTCAAAATTGACAAACAAGACGACGACCAGCGCTCGAGCATAGTACCTTTTCGCCATTCCTTCGTGCATGATACCTATTCTTATTGATAAACACTACCCTCATGTTTCGTTTCATGCGCAACGGACGAAGCGAAGTGTCTTTTTTCGTCCACGAAAGAAAGGTAAGGAAATTGTCGTCTTCGCGACACCCTTCGGATTATTTAGTGGGGCATTGTGGGCCAAGGATATTTTTTCTTTTTCTTTACAACTGTCCCCAGGTACTGAGACGGCGCTGATATCCTAGGAGTTCTGTTAGTGCAAAATGCCAGGTTACTGACTTATGGCGAGGTTTGTCCACCCAAAAATATGGGAGATTTCTTGGATAACATACACACATAATACAGTGAATGGTATTGCAGTGGGCATCCGAAACGGTTGAACCAAACAAATATGGTATGATACCTAGAGGCTAGGCACACAAAAATCACTCAGGAATTGGACGCAAGTCCCGGGACCTTGGTGCGTCATTACACCCGGACATTGAATGTTTGCCGGCACACGGCTTTTGCTCCACCACTTCATACAAGTTTACGCACTCACTCAATTCGAAAGACTGGAACGAGACCAAACCGAATGTGACAACTAAGAGCGAGTTGTGCATTTGTTGGAACAACGTTCGGGCATTGCGAGAAGGATATCAGCAGGGTCCAACAATGGCAGCAACAGCACCAGGTGATTATGGAGTACCAAGGAGCTTGTATCATGCACATTACAGTGAGCAACAAGAGAAACCGTACTGTGGTACGTGAAATCAGAGCCTGGGCAGGATGATCGACACTGTACACTGTGCTACAGCGCCTCAATTGTGCGAGAGAAAACAAACAGACCAGCAAGCACAGATCATGAACTGGTACACAACATTGACAAAGCACAAACCGCACAGCAAAGTTACAGGGCATAGCCGAGCGTTTTGTTGCCAATGAATTGCTTGAGAAGGGAGCAGTGTTCCTTGTAACATTGCATGGAGTAAACGAGAACGCAGAGTCAGAACCAGGCGTAACAAGGCAAGACGGCTACTGTACAGGGGCAGGCTTGACGATCACTTGCATACTCGCAATTTTGGTACAACCAGGAAATTAGGCATCACGTCATACCGAAGTGGCTTCAACACGCTACATTGCATTCATAGCTGTACGGTGAACCTGTTACACGAGCTTCTGTGAAACATACAGCATGCCAATGACCTGCAAGCACCAACAAATGCAGCCGGTAAAACAAACGCAGCCGGTAAAACAAACGCTACATAACTGCCCAACATAAACTTGTACATGCTGATGAAAAGCAAGAATGTGCTTGATGTTGGAAGTTATGCTCGCATATTCAAAAACATGCATGGAAAAACATCAATGACATTGTTCACGAATACAACAGAAACATCATACAGGGAGAGTAAGTAATCCTTCCTCCGTTTTGTATACGCGCACGCGCGCGCGTGTGGTAGATAAATCCGTTTGGCATGACTTTCGATCGAGGTTGCGTTCACCGTAGAGATAGGTGAACTCGAAGCCAACACCTCTCACTTTCGCTCTACTGCCCCTTTGGGGCCGATGCGATCCTTGTGCTAAGTTGTGGTAGTGGCTCAACAGAACAGGACAGGTGTGTGTGTGTGTGCACACGCGCGGGTGCGCGCATGTGTGTGTGTGTGTGTGTGTGCGTGCGTGTGTATGTGTAAGTGTGGTTTCTGAACTTTTCTCACAATCGTATAAGTTTCAAATTTTCGTGAAAACCCAGCTACACTGTGACCGGTACAATCGCATGTCGTTTACTAGTATCGGGCGGTCAGTCACATGGCATGTCGGGTATCCAACAGCACCGCACTGACAGCTTATAGACCTTATATTTAGTATTTATAGTCCTACTTCAAGTAAATGTAGACAGTCAGCATCATGAAAGTTGCCATTACGTAGAGTTAAATACAAGCCAGTCTCTAGAGATGAGCACGACTGTCTCAGGGTAATACTAGTGATAAATACAGGTACTTCGAAGTACTGTCTTTTTTATCTGTTAAGTTAACACAAGATGGCTTTGTAGCTTCAGTCGTCCAGAATATTCATTTTATTCCGCGGTTGCCGCATAATCGACACGCAACTGTACTTGTGCAAATCTCCAAACGCTACGTAATTGGCCGACATTTACTTGTCCACGGTGATGAGAAGCACGGCTCCTAATTTTTAAATCATGAAAGGATTACATATGCAGGTACATGCATACAATGTGCACTATCCTGAAGTCGTGCGCAAATATTCAAAATCATTCACCGAACACAGAGAGGCGCACATACCGTAAAGTACCGCGAGAGCGCCCCACCTTGATTTTGCTGCGACAGATTTATATAATACAGCCAGGGAAAGGAAAATCGTGTGGCAGAGTGCAACGAAGTTCGTACGGTGTGAGCAACTTAGTGTACTAAGGTCACACTAAGCAGGTTTTTGTGTGGAGCTCGTGTCCGCTCGAAGGCACAGATTGTCTGCAGAACGTGCAATATGTGTACAAAAATCGTGTCGTATAACCTACAGACCGGAGACCACCCCCACAATACGACCCCGAAAGGACGAGATGGTGGGGCGCTCTGGCGGTACTTTACGGTACATGTAAATACGAAGGAACCACATGCGCAGCAAGGAGATTAGTCATTACTTTACTTATGAGTTGATGGATAGAAGTTTCCTTTCAGCTGACCATTACCACTCATGAAAGCAATAGTGAGTGCTGTTGTTCTGATTCACAGGTATATATTCGGCACTTAGCGCAATGTGTTTTCGAAGCTAGGCACACGATTTGCATGAGGAAATCATGCAAAGATGTGGCATAAGGCCCTACAAACATGACCTAGGTAAAGGGATGCTATTATTTGCATTTGCAGTACTTTGCCATAGGATAATTTGTGTATGATTGTGTTGATCAATTTCACATAATTTCACGACAGGTCATAGTTTATTTAGTGGGGTGTTGTGGGCCAAGGATCTACGACCATGTCTTTTGCATTTCGAACAAGTAGACACTTTCAACAATTCATACAAAAAATGCCTTCAGTGCAAAACATACCGTTCGGACACACCAGGCAGTCCTTTCCAGCCTTGATTTTCAAGTGCAGACGTATCCACGATGACCTTCGAGTGAACTGCGGCTTGGAACACTTTGAATACGAACCACACACTCAAACTAACTAGACCACCGCATAGCTAGTGTATTCACGGAGCCAAAGAAGTCTCCTTCTGCCCCCACAGGGTCTTGGTTAGTTCTCTAGAAGGGACGAGAGCCATACCTAAATTCAATAAATTCTCCAATTCCAAAAGCCTCAAATGAAGGCGTCTTGGTGACTTCGTTTCCCGCGGTTGCAAATAAAATCAGCCCTTGAGTACCCCTTGGCGCACGGACTGTGCTCCTGGGGCAGGGTTGACTTGATCCAAATCCGAAGGATCTGGATACGGATTCAACCAATCGATCACTAAAAAAACTGCAGATCCAGTGGATCTGGATCCGACCAAACAATCACGGCCTCAGATTAAGAAATCTTTCGTGTAGGAATACTTCTGGGTTTGCAATGGTGATGATAGACCAGCCAACAAAAAAACAATTATGTTGTACTTCTTGAAACTGTCCCCGTTGCTGCAGAGACTTCTCCAGCAGTTCACCGCCCTGGCTACATCATCACTGCGGTCACCACCGTCAGCCAACAGGAGTGACAGCAACGGCACGCTGGGATCGCTCGGCAGTCCGCGCTCCATACAGGACTCGTTCGCATCATGACCGAGCACACCCGACCGTATCAAGACTTTCAGTTGGCCATTCAGTTCTTGAGTTGTAAAAATACGAACCATTGAGCAGGGAGTAGGTATTTTACTACTCCTTCATTCAGAGCAATGATTCAGCGGACGGAGCACTATGCATGTACAGACGTACTAGAAGAAGATGGATGAGCACGGAAGCGAACTCAAAGTGATCGACACAAGCATTCGGAGAGGACAGTACAATTGACTCATGATGGCTCGTCCTAAAGCAATGCACGTGCTAATAGCAAATTTTACGGAATGAAGTTCACGGTTGGACTAAAATGTTGAGACTATAAAAGTATTATTATTGTATAGTCGATGCAGAAAGAATACAAGTGAAAGAAGAAATGACTGGTGACTGTGCTAAAGTGTGCTTGCGGAGAGGGTCCAGGTAGATGGCGTGCCTACAAAAAAGAATCCTCACTAATGATTGATAGAGCCTAGAAGGCTAGCCTAGGTACAGACAAGAATGATATGAGAGTAGTGTCATGTCAGTCGGAACAGACTGGGGGAAGCTCGCCGTAGCCTGTTCGAACGGCGCCATATCAAGTTTGCGAGCAGATACAGGATGCAGTTATACAACGCAGCAAAGGAAAATCTGGCTATGTACCTACACCACATAAAATGAAATGTGGGACGCAATGTTTTCGATTTAATTTTTATGAATTGATCGAGGGGCATGCGTAAATCTTTTGTGACTGGTTAGTTTGTGTGAAGCGAAGACTTGTGTGCCGCTGGCTATGCGTTCCGAGAGCTGAGCACCATTGTTAGGCGAGCCTGCATGCAGATGGGGAATGCACAAGCGGAAGCATCACAGAGCAGCACACCTGTTAGCAAGGACATCAGTACAACATGTGGTAGTAGAATCTCTTGCTTTCCAGTATACGGAGCTATTGCGTGTTTGTCATGACACGAGTACATGCACAGTACGTAACCAATAGTATGAAGCTGTGATCTCTTTTATTTGGGCTTGATGAACCGTCGTCATTACTTTGAAGTATATCATGCATATACATCCAGGCACTGTGACTGAGTGAGAATCAAACTCCATACTTTCCCTCTGGTTTGAAACTAACCTTGTTCAGAACTGAAGTTCGTGCACCTAGAATTTATTAGAGGTCGTGTCGGCACTTGAATGGATCAGGCGAAAACGGGTGTGCTGGTACGAGAGGTTATGGGTTTGAGTGAGTACAGGGTGTGATGCAGTTGACTAATGAGCAGCGCACCACACACACTGACCCGTAATGACAGTTGCATACTCTTGGTCAGGTTAGGAATCCACATCAAACAGTCGCTACTAACGAGCTCAGGGAGCTGGCGGTGATTGAAAGCCGCATCTAAACCAGCTGTGTCTTAGTGTAAAACTCTTGCCACTCTCATGAGACATATTTTCCACACTTGTGTGTTATTATCTCCTGATTTCTCATCATTGTGTTGCTTATGCCCGTAAAAGAGGATGTACGAGAGTGGAAAGCTACAATGTAGGAGACATGGACGTTACAGGGACATTACCCCCCCCCCCTTTGGCTAGAGCCCTGCATTACCTGAAGGTCACGACACTTCTCCATCATTGCATCATCTTCAACAATGTCCGGTATGCAGTCGGTGGCCACGTCGAGCAAGGACATGACGTCGTCGCGACTGTCTGGATTGACCGTGATCGTAACACCGCGCTTTGTCTTCGCCCGCGTCCGACCGGTGCCTTGTCGGAGACCGGGAAGTCTATCCAGAGATAGGAGATAGGAGAAAGAGAGAGATAGTGAGGGCACAAAGATATTGAAAGCCGGAAAACCATGGAACTCTGTGCAAGTACCTATGCCAACTGCCCAAACTAAGGGTGCTAGCAAAAACCAAGTTTGACGCAAGCATTCGGAAGTGTAAAAGCTACACCTGAAGGGTGCAACCGACTCAGGCCAGGCTCACATGTTGTTGCAGTGACGAGAAACTGACCACCGGCACACAGTTTGACCTCAGTAACAATATTGGATACTGTTTGAAATCGCCAAGAGAAACCATTTTAATGTGCCACAATGACGTCTGGAACTTGACAGCTTACAATTGCTACAACGTTCTAGCATGAACCAAGGGCCAAGTGCTCAGCTTACCGAGAGTCGAAAGCAGGAGTGGGCGCAGTAGGTGCCGGAGTGTCGCCGATGTCCAGCGTCGCTTGCCGCGTTGTCCTCCTAATCGGAAGGAAGAATACGAAAGACGCACAAGTACATGTACATAGGAATGCAATGTTGTGAAAATGAAGATTTTTCTTGACTCTTTGGCCGTGGCCGCCAGTAGAGACAGTGTGCACTGCTTTGTAAGCAGCTTCAGGAGCACATGTGAATGCTGGAGGTCAATCCGGCATCTTAGGAGAGAGTTGCACAGCAGAGCATCCGTTATCCAGACATCGTCTATCTGGAATGGCTGGGACACAGTCACACTGCTGGCATGTCCGTCAATGCATGCTAGAACTACTAGTACAGGATCATGATGGAGCATTTTTCCGATGATGAAACATTTTCACGTCCATGCACGAGTCCAAGAGTACATAACCCCCCCCAGAGTGTGCAACTCCCACATACCCTGCTGTCCCGACAGAATTTCAAGTTGACGTCATTATTTATGACGCAATGCTCCTTGCACCAGTGATTTACAACATGTGAACGGGTGTCAACGCATCACACGTTTTTCTTTGTAATAATTTGTACAGGATCGATCGGCTTCGGTCAACCACAGGTTCCGGATTCGTCTGATAATCCGTGTACAGTGCGCATTGCATCATCAAAATGACGTCAACTTGAAATTCTGTCGGGACAGCACCCATAGTGGAGTTGCACACTCTGGGGGGTTATGTACTCTTGACGAGTCATATACTGAATCCGAACATTTCCCTCATCCGAACAGACAAGCTGCATACATAATCTAGCGCAGTTGAGCATCGATTATCCGAACCCTTTCGCCTCTGAATGGCGTCTGCCGAGAAGGGTTCGGATAGTCAATGCTCTACTGTACTGGATTCTGTGTAGCGTGTGTGAACGAGTCTTTACCGTGTTGTCGTTGTTGCCCGATTGGTAGTTTCGGTCTCCGTGGCGACTCGTTTCTGAGCAGGAGAGACAGACACACGGGAAGAAAGTCATTCAGCACAGCAAAGGAAGGGATAAAGGCGGGTGGAGCTGCACCATGCATTTGTCCCGGAACCCTTTGGCTCATCTATGACATTATCTCACACGACATAATTGGTCCTGCTCAAATGCGTCTACTTTCTGTCATAAATTTCTCGGGGTCTCCTTATAACAAGCAGGAAAGCATGGTACTGGGAGCAGGGTCAGTAGACCAGGAGAGCATGGGCACCGCTTTGGTTCACCGATGACTTCACTATCTCACACGTCATGATCTTTTCCTGCTCAAACACGTAACTATTTGCTGTCATAAATTGCCCGGGGTCGACTTATAACAAACAGGAAAATACAGTACTGGGAGCAGGATCAGTATAACAGCAGAGCTTGGGCATTGGCACAGACACATACCCGCTTTGCTCTTGTCCTGCTCGTCTCCATTGGCGTTTCCATGGAGCTCGACACACCGCCGCCATCCTGGAGTTGCAGGAGATCACGCACAGCAGAACATTGTGCTCAAGAACATCTGCAGAACAGCATCCCACTAACATGTAGAAGTTGTCATAATTATGGAATTGAACCTTGTGTCTTTTGTTCGGCAATTCCACGCGTAAGCTTAGTTCTGAACGAATAGGGCTGTGCATACCAGCTGTGGTACATTCTTCATCTGCAGTATCTCCTACAGATACTGCTCACAATCCAATTGAATCCATGTACAAAAAGAAGCGTTCAGCACTACATTTGGCCTGCTATTGGAAGCATAACAGTAAAAATCAACTCTGATCGCCCCCTACTCGCAGTCAGTCAGCAGTGCCTTCCGTCTGTGGCACATTCTACATTGCTAGTGACTTACCACGCACGCGGGCGGTGCAGGCATTTGGCGATTGGTCACTGCAGAGTCACAATCCACACAAAGCACACCAGACTGAAATGAGACACAAGTAATCCAGAAGCGGATCACGCTGGATACAGACATCACGAGCAGCTACAGCTCCCAAGTAGGTCCATGGTCCATGGATAATAAACACACCATTCCTGGGACAGATTTTCTGCTGGACAAGCGAACATCCAGGGACCACTTTCGCAGTGTGCATGAATGGGACAAATCAGCTCCTGAAAATTATGCCGTTTGCTTATGGTCCTTGTAATCAATTTTTATGACTTCTTCATCTCCCAACTGGCTTCTTGACTGTGAATAACTGACAGCCAGGAGAAGGTAAGCAGCAGCATTCAGCCGTTGCAAAAAAGAAGAAGGTGTAATCAATGCACAATGCATGCAGAACTGTCAATTATTCGCAATAAAGAGATGGCTTGGGAGTCGGAGAAGTTATACATGTGTAGGTGCCTGCGTTGGAGTTTACGGTTAAAAAATGCATGCTGTCAACATTGGATTGAGAAGGCAGAGCTAAACTTTCAATCCTTGGATATTAAGTTACACCTTACCATCAGATAGTGGTTCATCTGTCAACCTGCAGTGGGGAAAAGACAGAGGAACACAGGATAAGTGTCATACAGAACATACCTAAAACAAGTGTCGATCCATGCCATTGCAAACCGTGGGAACGTGTTCTATTTTTCTGTTGGGTCCAATCCTTCGGAAGTAGTTGGCTCAAGTGCAGTATGGGCAGACGTGTATATACCGCCATATTGCCAGGTGTGTGTTCACCACCATATTACTCAACGTACAGTATTGATTGCAGATATACCGTAAAAGCCCGTGTATAGGCCCCGGGCGTATAGAATAGCAGCCTCGATTTCCTGGGCGTATACAAGGGCACGGGCGTTATTTTGGAACCAGGCGTATACTTGGAATAATAAAAAATAAATAAATTCGACGGGATTCGCGTACCGGGCAGGTCAAGAACAAGGAGTCGTACTACTCCCTGGTCAAGAAACACCTTTCCGCTTCCGTGGGACGCCGCCACCCCATGATCAGGCGTCAGATGCGGCTCCTAAACGGTGGGGGAGGATAGATCAGATCCACCAACCAGAGGCCAAAGGCCTCGATCCCATTTGCCACATCCATGTATACTTGGAATAGGGAGCAGTAAGTATTGGGTATCAGTACCTGTACATGTACTGGTGTTGCCGGTATACCTGGGCGTATACATGGGCATGGGCGCTATTTTGAAACAAAAGTGTTGACTTCCCCTGACCGGGCGTGTACACGGAGGGTGGGGGTAATTTCGAGTGGGCGTATACAGGGGCTTTTACGGTACATGGCATCATGAAAATCAGATACTGAAACATACCCAGATGCAGACGTTGACGATGTAGACTTAGTGATGGGCATCACGGGCTCAGCCACAGAGTTCTCCACATGAGCCTGCAGAGCAAGCCAGAATGCAAGAAACGCCATAATCACGCGCGCTCAAGAGTGCACAAGCATCCCGACATCTTTCCATTAGTGAAGCGCACATGGATGGCAAACACACACGCACACACATCACACAGAGACTGACATTAGAGAGGTTCCGGGGTACGATTTTCCGTGCCAAAATCCGTATGGGCGCTACGGATTTTTTCCAGGCGTGCTCCATACGATTTTTCGGCACGGAGAATCCGTGTGGACTGGCTTTCACACGAACCATGTTTCGTATGGAGATTTTGCGTCACCGGGTGCAGAAAGATTTTTCGTGTACAAATTCGGTACGAGAAACATCGATTTTCCGCGGGAAGTTTTGATTTCGGTACAAATTTTCAAAATAAAAAGGCATAGCGCGGGAATGTGACATGTTTGTGATCGTAACCTAGGCAATGACGGCAAACACATCAGTTCCGTACTCCGGAACATTTCACTGCTCGAAAACGACGTATAAAAAATCTGTAGCGCCTCTACGGATTTTGCCACGAAAAATCGTACTCCGGAACTTCCCTAATGCTATTGAAACACAGTGTGTGTGTTCCTGCCCACTGTACCTTAGCAGCTGCATCGACGTCACCGCCAAAAGCTAAACAACGAAAACGCAAACACAGTAAACAGCATGAGTTAGCAACATGCCGGTGGTATTAGAAGCAATCCCTTCGAAATAGTCTGAAGAAGGGCTGAGGCTTCCTGCAGCTTCATCTCTGAAAGGAATTCCGGTGGACACACCTATTCCCATAGCGCTGCACATCCGAACCAGTTCCGTTAATCGACAACGTTTCGGCACTTGGCCATCGTCGGGTAATAAGACCATCAGAGACTAATAAGACCCTTCGAAATACCAATGGGAAGGGTACTACTACTAACCAAGTAAAAACAGTAGTGACAACAGTTCAGTACAGTGGCAGCATGGGGAATTATTGGGGATGCAATGCGGAATTTAAGTGCTGATGGTACTGTAAAACATGTAATTTTCGGTGTAACTTTCATTTCGGTGATTTCGGTGGAGACGCCAGGCACCCAAATTTAAATTACACCTAAAAGGGACTAAGGAATTCACTGTATGTGAAGGGAACGCTGGTCACCTAATTCTAAATTACACCTGAAACCTGGCAGGTCCCTGGCACCGAAATTGTAATGCACCTAAAATTACATGTTTTACAGTATTGTTCGGTAAAACCATTCACAATCATACCACTCACCAACAAACTCAGCGACGGTCATTTTCTGAACAAACTGCAACATGACAAGAACAAAACAGAAGAACATACATAGTTAGCAATCGGCAAAATCTACTGTGATTGTGAAGTAGCCAGCCAGGGCATAACCAATGATATGTCTGCTGAGGCACACTCCTGGCGACTGTGCAGTATCCTGAATCGGAATGTGATGTCTATTTGCTGCCAATACAGCAAGAGCGGACACAGCAAATTCCGCGAGCAGGTTCTACGGCGTATACTTTGTGAGCTCAACCATGTTATGTATTGTGTTCATTGCTGTACAGGTGGGATTGTATGCTTCCAGGTGTAGGTGATTCCCCTGAAACCCTGGGTAGATCTACCACGGTCAGAACACTAGGCTGGATCGATGCCCACTGCCAACTCCGGAGGGGAGTGTTACAGCCATGCCGGTCCAGACGAGTGGAACTGTAAAAATGTTGTTGTGAATGCCCAGTTTCAGGACAGCGACCCCTGTATGTTCGCTACAACTATCACGGCTATGGCTTGAGCATAGCATGCGTATCTTCCCTCTGCATATCCCGTGCACAAACCAAGTCAAGCTAAGCATGCCTGACCTTGACTGAGAGATACAGGTTGCAACAACTGCAGTAGGTTGTGAGCTGATTCACAACGCGAATATGTACGCTATGGTTTGTGTTGCAGTCTCAGATCCGGTGGAACCGGTCTGGTTGGCCAGGCCATGGCCGGACCAACTTTTTGGCCACCAACGTGTGTTTACTGCTGAGGAGGTCATGTGTATACCCTCCATATCATACACAAACTGTATGAAAGGCTAGGGTATGGCCGGACCAATCAAAAGCTGGTTCCGTTTATCCTGGGTCTCATGGCCAAGCAGACAGCGATCAGCAGATGACAAACAGTATCCCACATCTGCTGTATCCTCAGCGGAGTATTCACCACTGCGGCGTACCCCATACCATTGATATAACCTCCCACACTATGTTAACACTAGGAAAGTTGTGATGACCCATGATGTCACAGCTCCGGCATACCTGATGTCATGCTCAGGTGCATTGCAAATACTGTACAAGTACATTGTATGAAGCAGTTTCCCCAAAGAAGCAATCAAGTGATCAACCAACCGATGGAAGGGAAATTAGGGTAGTCCGATGGGCAGCTTTCAGTGATTTGGTCAACTCCTTTAGCTCCTTCTCCAGCTTCTTCTCCCGTACTTTCACTACATAGGGAACAAGCAACGTCATGATACAGCACTGACGTAAGTCGCTAAAATCGTTACTGTGGCTATCCAGTGAGGTGTCACTCACGCTCTTGTTCGAATTCCTCTTTATAGATGGCAATGGCCTCTGCCCTGTCATCCTTATCCTGCTTCGCCTCATCGTTGCTGGGCTCGCCGATCTTCGGCGCTGCCTTTCGGGAAGGAGCGGCCCTAGTTTTTCTCTTCGGCATTTTCACTCCTCTTACTCAAACAATGCCATCAACTCAAGCCCATTTTGGGATTTTCAAACTACCCGCCAGCAACGATTTTTGACGCGAGCATGCGCATAAAACTTGCGAATGGCGCGAATAATTACGACATAATGACGTAATGCCAGTTTAGCAAGTCGCGGCGGCGGCGCGGCGCCGTCCAAATAATACAAAAAATGGCAATATCAATGCGATGCATGCAGTGAATACTCTCCTAAATGACCTAAATGTATTATCAGATTCTCTAGTCAGTCGAATCAATGGATTGTTAGTTCTCTGCTGCATGTCTTCGGTACTATTCTACGTACATGTAGTGATCATCCATGTCTCTGAAGCCTCGGTTTTGGAAGCCAGGTGAGTATTTTCTTGGGTGGTTTTCTGTCATTTTTTCGAGACAAGTTTTGTCAGGCCTTATGCATACACAGTACCTGAATCCTCATGTTTGTAAATGGCTCAAACCTGGATATGGGCACATACTAATATCTTACGCAATAGAGATCACTTTCACATTTTAATTTTTTCATTGTAGAACTCGGAAACAAGAGGCTGAAAAAGAGAGACTTGAAAACAACAGCAATACAGTATAAAATTAATTATGGATACATTATACATGTACAATGTGCAATGCGTTTCAGTAATTGACAGACTACAATGTAGTTTGCTGAATGGTTGTACTGCATGTGGCTATTATTTTAAACTCAATATACTTCATGTAGTTTGGAGGAGTATAGCGTACTGCATTGAGCCCAAATGATTGATCGCCGAGCCGACTGGTGGAAGTATTGCACTTTATAGCTTATGGCAACGGATTGAGGAAGCGTACATCGAAGTGCGGTCCTGCAGATCACAGGCACGTCTTTATGTGGGTCACTTGGGATTTTGTTTATGCGAAAGGAGGAAGTTGCAACAGATCCATGACTGGTGTGCGTGTGTGCGTGTGTGTGTGTGGGTGTGGGTGTGTGTTTATGTGTTGCTAGGTACCGATGGCCCTCAGAGCAATCTACAGTTTGAGCGAACGACCGACGAGGATGTAGCGAAGCAGTCTGTCATCTACAACCCCAATCATGCATTGTCAATCACACAGCAACGCCAGCGTCTGCCGATTTTCAAGGTTGGTGGCAAGTAATTAGTGTGTAATTGGCTGTGTAGTGTATGTGTAGTTGCATGACATCATTATTGTGTGTACACCAGTCCGCATGCGCGGTCTCTGAATCTGCATAACTTCTAGTGGAGCGGTGTTCTTTTCCCGCGCTTTGCTTGCTTACGGACTGTTCTTCCAGATGTACTTGTAATGGTAGTTTTCTCCGACCCTGTGATTGTGCTTTGCTGAACCCGATATAACAAGTGGCGACGAAGATCGGATCATGGCGCTGCTCGGAAACCTGGGCCCCTTCACATCTACGGATGCTGATGACTGGGAGTCTTATCTGGCCAGGCTGGATCAATTCTACAAAGCGAATAAAATTGAGGACGGGCGGAAGAAATCTGTATTCTTGACAGTTGTAGGAGAAAGTGTTTTCAGGTTGCTAGTGACGCTGATCGCACCAGCAACACTGGATGACAAGTCCCTCTCAGAGCTGCGACAGACTCTGACTGCACACTTCTCCCCTAAGCGTCTGACAATTGCGGAACGCTACAAATTTTGGAGCCGCAGCCAGCAGGCAAGTGAGAGTTATCATGACTATGCCGCTGAGCTACGACGTTTGGCAAAGACCTGTGACTTCGGCAATGGTCTGGAAGATGCCATCCGCGACAGGTTCGTCTGTGGCATACGAGACGCTGTCGTTTGTAAAAAATTGCTGACCATCGATGCCCTCACTTTGGAGACTGCTCTGAAAACGGCTGCAGCTCAGGAGGTGGTCGATCGCGAGGCTGCGCGCTTGATGGCCGCGGGTAGATCTACCTCCGAGTCCAGCGATGTCCATGCCGTTTGGCACAAGAGACAGCCACCTGCACCTAGACAGCGAGGCAAGTCCGGAGCCAGCGCTAGCAGCACTACTGACGGGGCTGCGCCTTGTTATCGCTGTGGCAATAAGGACCATGCTCCTTCACAGTGTCGCTTCAAGGCTTCCGAGTGCCACTACTGCCACAAGCGTGGGCACCTCGAGAAGGTGTGTCGTACGAAAAAGGGCGACCAACACCAAACCAATTTTGTATGTGAGGAGCATGAAGTTGGTGATGTGTACTCCGTAGAGTCCCGTCCCAAGCTAACTGTGAATGTGATGTTAGACGGGGTGGAAACGACAATGGTGCTCGACACTGGAGCTGCAGTGAGCCTTATGTCACGTGAGACGTGGGACCGTACCAGTGACAAACAACTCGAACCGGCTAACATCAAGCTGCGCTCGTACACAGGTGATGAAATCAATGTGTTGGGTCAAACCACAGTGGAGGTATGCTATGATGGCCGTACAACGCCATTGCCACTGCTCATTGTTGAAGGCGAGGGTGCTACACTGCTCGGAAGAAATTGGTTGCCGCACGTCCGACTCGACTGGTCATCCGTGTTTGGGGTTGACGAACCTACGGATGGACCCGATTTGGAGCGGATAGTTGCTGACAATGCGACCTTGTTTGACGGCCTCGTTGGTGAGCTGCGAACAGGCGCATCTACCTTGCATCTGAAAGAGGACGCACGACCGGTATTCAGGCGTCCCTATTCAGTGCCGTTAGCTGTCAAGCCCTTGGTTGAGGAGCAGCTCAGGAAGATGGAGCAGCAGCACATTATAGAGCCTGTCAAGCACAGCGAGTGGGCAACACCAGTAGTGGCTGTTCCAAAGCCTGATGGCTCAGTTCGTCTCTGCGGTGACTACAAGGTCACTGTGAATCCCCAACTACGAGTGGACCAGTACCCACTGCCGACAGCGCAGGACATCTTCAGCTCCCTGAATGGCTGCAAATATTTTGCGAAGCTGGATTTGTCGCAGGCGTATCTGCAAGTGCCGTTGGATGAGGCGTCCCAGAAGATGACTACCATCAACACGCACAAGGGCCTGTACCAGTTCAATCGTCTGCCCTACGGTGTTGCATCGGCTCCAGCGGTGTTCCAAGGAATCATGGACAAGCTCCTGGTTGGCTTGGAAGGCGTGTCCAAGTACCTGGACGACATCCTGATTGCTGCACCCACTCGCAGACTACTGCTGGAACGTCTGAACACGGTGTTGTCGATTCTGTTGCAAGCTGGTCTGAAGCTAAAGAAATCGAAATGCATGTTCTTCTCCGACTCAGTCCAGTACCTCGGCTTCAAAATTGACGCGTCGGGTCTACACGCCACCGATGAGAAAGTGCAAGCGGTTCAGAACGCACGTGCACCGACGAATGTCACGGAGCTCAAGTCATTCTTGGGTCTGGTGAATTATTATGGCCAGTTCATTGAGAACCTGGCTTCGCTCGCACAGCCTCTCTACGATCTCCAGAAGCGTAACACCGTCTGGAAATGGCAAGCGCCACAGCAGCAAGCCTTCAGAGCTTTGAAGTCAGCTCTGAGTGCACCACCAGTTCTAGTTCATTATAGCCCTTCGCTACCGCTACGTCTGACCTGCGATGCATCAGGCACAGGAATTGGCGCTGTCTTGTCCCATGTGATGCCGGAAGGGCAGGAGCAACCAATCGCATACGCCAGCCGCTCTTTGACAACCAGCGAGCGCAATTATAGCCAACTGGAACGAGAAGCGCTTGCTATCGTGTTCGGTGTCACCAAGTTCCACTTGTACCTCTATGGACGGCACTTCAACCTGGTGACCGACAACCGCCCTCTTGCCGTAATCTTCGGTCCAAAGAGAGGCATCCCCTCAATCGCAGCCATGCGGTTGCAGCGTTGGGCTGTAACACTATCAGCGTATCAATACGATGTGATGGTAAAGACGACTGAAGCCAACGCCAACGCTGATTACCTGTCACGCATGTCGCTTGATTCGCATAGCGTTGATGTGTGTGAGGTGTCTGAGATTCTGACGACTCACCAGGATCAGCTGCCAGTCCTCGCAGCAGACATCAGTGCAGAGACGGCCAAGGACATCGTGCTCAAGCAGGTACTGCAGCATGTCGCCAATGGTTGGCCCGAGACTGTCCCCTCAGAGCTGAAGCCCTTCCACCGCATCGCAGAGGAGCTCACAGTAGTGCAGGGCTGCCTTCAGCGAGGATTTCGCACGGTGGTGCCCAGCACGCTTCAGCCCCGGCTCCTTCAAGAGTTACACATTGCACACCCTGGTATGGTGCGCATGAAGGCTTTGGCAAGGAACCATGTATGGTGGCCAGGTCTTGACAGCGACGTGGAGCGAGCCGTCCGAAGCTGCCATGCATGCCAAGTGAACAGGAATCGTGATCAACCAGTGGAGGTGACACGTTGGCCCAATCCAGCAGCACCCTGGAGTCGCATTCACGCCGATTTTGCTGGACCAATGGAAGGACGAATGTATTTGATCGTGACTGATGCATTCTCCAAGTGGTTGGAAGTGATTCCTATGTCCTCCACCACCAGCAAGACGACTATCGCAGAGTTCCGGAAGCTGTTTGCGGCGTATGGTTCTCCTGATGCAATCGTGACGGACAACGGCCCGCAGTTCACGTCCGTGGAGTGGAGCAACTTCATGGCTGAGAGAAGTATCATCCACCTGCGCAGTGCACCATACTTCCCCGCAACCAACGGAGCTGCAGAACGCTGTGTCCAAACATTCAAAGCTGCCTTGTTGAGTGAGAAGCGTGGTCTACTGTCCTGGACCGAGGCACTGCAGACGTTCTTGGAACGGTATCGCTCGGCTCCTCACGCGACAACAGGAGAAACTCCATCGGCATTGTTCCTTCAACGGGAGCTCAAGACCAGACTGCACCTGGTACAGCCGCAAGCCAAGAATACCACCACCGCTGCCTGCCACCAGCCGCCAGCAAAAGGGTTGGACGAAGGCAGCGCCGTCTATGCGCGGATGTTCAACCAGCCTCAGAAGTGGTCAGCTGGCACCGTATTGCAGCGGAAAGGCACCAAGTCTTTCGAAGTTAAGCTGGCCAATGGTGTCATTGTGCGTAGACATGTGGACCAGCTGCGTGTTCGTGATCCTGCAACGACTCCTGAGCTTCCCTCTGATCCTGAGAAGGTAGTTCAGCAACGTGATGCTCGGACGCCATCAAGGCGTCACGCACTGAAGCCACAGCGCTACAGGGACTGAACTATTCTAGAGCACCGCTCTGTTCTCTTGTTCATGTTCAGCCGCCTTCTCACAATGCTCACTCTTCGCACACTGTCCTTCCCTCTGTTAGGCTCTCCCTTGTGTTTTTGAAGGGGGAGATTGTAGTGTATGTGTAGTTGCATGACATCATTATTGTGTGTACACCAGTCCGCATGCGCGGTCTCTGAATCTGCATAACTTCTAGTGGAGCGGTGTTCTTTTCCCGCGCTTTGCTTGCTTACGGACTGTTCTTCCAGATGTACTTGTAATGGTAGTTTTCTCCGACCCTGTGATTGTGCTTTGCTGAACCCGATATAACAGGCTGCATTTGAGTTTACGAACTATTCGTTAAAAAGCTTTTACTGCGCGTAAACTGAATCCGTATGGTCAACTGCGACTGTGGGTATCTTTAATTGACGGTCGTGTGCCTTTGTGTACTACTAGCACTTCTTTTGCACTGCACTCTGATCCTCACGCACTCTAGCAGGTTAAGGTGCACTGCCTGTGTGCTGCATTGTCCATGTTTTGTTTTTTTTGTTTTTTCAGTATCGCAACAATATCCTGTACATGCTGGAGAAGTACCAGACGCTGATTCTCGTTGGCGAGACAGGATGCGGCAAGTCCACGCAGATTCCCCAGTACCTGTACGAGAGCGGCTGGGCAGCGGATGGGCGCGTGATCGGCGTCACTCAGCCTCGGCGTGTGGCAGCAACGACGGTATGTGTTGCTTAGCATTGCTGTCCCCGTTGATCAAGCTCCACTCCTTCTTGGAAATGAGAAATGTTTTACTTGCAGTCAGGTGGAAACTCCTGTGATGTCTTGGCATGAGAGCAATTTTGAAGGGTATCTGGTCTGCAGACGTATGCAACCTGGTTTTCTCTTTTTAACCCCAATCAAAAAACCAATGCACAGGGTCACGGGGAATCGATACTTTTAACTGCCGGTCGGATGTTGTTCACAGTCTTGTGCATTGTTTGCAAACCGTCCATAATCCTGAATAACTACAGCGACAGTCTCCAAAGTTGGCCAGTTTCCGTAACATGTGATAGCCGAATCAATAGAAACAGTTGCGATGCATCTGGCCAGGTGTGAGCGATAAGGAGGCCATGAGTGGGTGCGACTGCGGCGTGCGAGACGGTGTGAAGCCATACTCGGGGGTGGAAGTTGTCTTTGGCCCGGCTTACGGATCCTGGTCATGGCGCCATGTGCAACGCCTCGAGTCTTCTTATGAAGCACTTGTGGAATGCTTTCATGTTTGAGAGAAGAATCTGGGCTGTTGATCTATCAATATGTATTTAGTACATAAGTTCTGGGGTGTAACTCATCATTTTGTCATTCATTGACTTAAATTAAAAATTAAACTTGCATTAGATTGTTAGAATGTCGATGCGATTGTTGAGTGTGTTTGCCATGGTGCTGTGTAGGTCGCGGGCAGAGTTGCTGAAGAGAAAGGAGTGCTCCTCGGAGAAGAGGTGAGACATTGCGGTCTTCTCCCTATTACGGTGGTGTCACTGTCTCATGTTGTATCCCGCACTGTGAATTCTTTTCCTTTTCTTCCTGCTGTTACGCAATCTATATGGGTGTGCTATGGCAGAATTTTCTATTTGTGGCCACATGTAAAGTTACGTAGCATGCATACAGGCTGCTCATGGCTGAGGTTGATACTATTTACTGTCCGATTTGTCTGAATTGTGCGATGCCTAGGTTGGTTTCAGTATTCGCTTTGATGCGTGCTGCGATGCGGCGAAGACAAGAATCAAGGTATGATGCATGCGCACGTGTTTGTGTTTGTGTTTGTGTGTGTGTGTGTGTGTGTGTGTGTGTGTGTGTGTGTGTGTGTGTGTGTGTGTGTATGTGTGTTTACATGCGCACGTGTGTGTGTGTGTGTGTGTGTGTGTGTATGTCAATCCTTTTTCTGCACCTTGTCCTCACCCACTTACTGAGGTGTGGTGAGCCCATAAGTGGGATGGATCATTTTCAAGTTCACCCAGAGTTTTGGGGATTTCAAGGGGTGTCGGCCGTTGGGCGGTTCAATAGCCAATCGAGTCATCTTTCCAAGATTCCTTTTGAGTCTCTCTCCCCTCTCCCGGGGAGACCCACGTGACCAGTTTTTACAGTGAGCAAGTACAAGTACAAGTGTATGCATGTGTGTGTGTGTGTGTGTGTGTGTGTGTGTGTGTGTGTGTGTGTGTGTGTGTGTGTGTGTGTGTATGCATGTGCGTGCGTGTGTGCGTGTGCGTGCGTGTGTGTGTGCATGTGCACTCCACGTGATGTTTACTCGGTGTGCGGGGTAGGTGCTTGTTTTCATGAGGTGCTCATTACAATCAATCGTCCTCTGTGTCAGCCATCATATCATTGCTGCCTTGACTTCTACGGAGGTACAGAAATGATTTAAAATTACAGTGTCAGTGTCGTCCTTCGGCTGATGGCGCCATGTTGCATGTTCTTTCTGTTTGTTTTCTGTGCTAGTTCATGACTGACGGGATGTTGCTGCGGGAGATGATGCGTGATCCTCTCCTCTCTCAGTATAGGTGAGTAATGCTGAACAACCCTTCACTATACAGAGGCTACGATACAGCATGGGTAAACTGCTGTTACACATCTGCAGTCTCTACACAGGAGAGGAGTTGAAGAGTTAGAAATACAAGTTCAACACTTCTGGCCTAAAAAATTGAATTTTTCCGTGACGAACATTATTTCTGTGTTTGCAATGGATGTTACAGGTAGTATGGTATTTATCTGCCTGCTATTTACCACTACAACGTCCGTGGGGGTACATGTATATTGTACTCATCATTTCATTTTTGATGTAACGGATGTGTGTTTCTGCGTTGCTGCAGCGTTCTCATGATTGACGAGGCGCATGAACGCGGTCTCTACACCGATATCGTCGCTGGCCTACTGAAAAAGGTATGGGGTAGGCTTTTGAACTTCATATCACCAAGAGGACATGCCCCCCCCCCCCCCCCTCCCTCCCAGAGTGTACAACTCCTGCATACCCTGCTGTCCCGACGGAATTTCAAGTTGACTTCAGTTTCATGATGCTATGCTTCTTGCACCAGTGATTTACGACATTTGTACGGGCTGTCAACGCGTCACGCATGTTTCCTTGAGCTAGTTTGTGCAGGATCAAATGGGGCTTCGTCCACGGCAGGCTCAGGATACGTCTGATAATACGTGTTACGGTGTACAATGCGCACAATTGCATCATAAAAATGATGTCAAATTGAAATTCTGTCAGGACAGCACCCATAGTGGAATTGCACACTCTCGGGGCGTTCTGTACTCTTGATATCACTCTTTGCTCTGAGTTTTGTTGTTTCCTTCATGGTAATTGTGATGTGCTGTACAGTGGAACCTGTCTAAGACGACCGCTCATGGGACCTTCGAAACATGGTCTCTGTTACCAGGTGGTCTCCTTATCCAGGGTCATTTGACTGGAAATAGCATCCTTGGTCTTGGTTTCAGTGGTCTCCTAGGACAGGTGGTCGCCTTGACAGGTTTTACTCTATACTGTAAAACATGTAATTTTCGGTGATTTTCGGTAGAGAAACCAGGCAGAAGGCACTAGAGTATGCCCTGTGTGTGAAGGGAATGCTGGTCACCTAATTCAAAATTACACCTGAAACCCGGCAGGTCCCTGGCACTGAAATTTTAATGCACCTAAAATTACAGGTTTTACTGTATACTGAAGTGCAACGTCCGTGTTCTTCCTCTGTCCTCTCTGATATACATGCACATGCATGCCTATGGAATCTGTAGCAGCTGTTGCTCTCAGGAGTGCTTGGCCAGGTGTCCATCTTCACGGGTGGAGAAGAGCAGTGGATCCTTGTGCATCCCCCCCCCCCCCACACTTTTCATTTGCTTTGCTTTGCGCTTGTTACTGTGTAGGTGTTGAAGCGACGGCCGGAGCTCAGGCTCATTGTCTCCTCTGCCACTCTAGATGCGGAGGTACTGCCATTTTATTCTCACGCTCTTTGTGCTGCATTTGTTGATTTGCTTGCCGTACTGTCGCGTATTCAAGTCGGGCTTATTCCTGTTGATGCCGATGTCCGGGCTGGGCTTTATTCGAATCAGGTATTCCTATGTAGGTCAACTCTAAAACCAGGCTTTTGTGCCGGCAGTGTGTCTTGAAAATCATGCTTGTATTCAAAACAGGCTTCTATAGGAGGCAGGCTTTGATACAAGACACGACAGTAAATCTCTTAAGTCAATGATAATATAACAGTTTGTTTGGACTTCTTGTCTTGCTCCCTGCTTTGACCAAATCTGCAGTAGCTTGTGAAAGGGCTACTCAAAGCAAGGTCAGACCATTGGTGCATTCCTGATTTAGAATACGTACAGGTGTTAGCAGTCGCCCCAATATTTGTAACACCTGCCTTTAAGAGCAGGTGGTCTCTTATTGCCAAGGCTCTTGAGCAGGTGTTTTCTGCTTGTGTGGCCATGTGTCCTTTCCGTGTTGTTTGTAGCTGTTTCGCAAGTTCTTCAACTTCAACACAACTCCAGAGAAGGCGTAAGTACAGTGAAGCCGGCGTCGCCCCCGGCAACACTCTGATGGGTGTTTAACCCTTTATACTATAGTCACACCATGCATGATCAGTTGTTGTATTGTTTTCAAGTATCACATCACAGTGGCATGGGCTTATGCTGACACTTCAAAAAAAGTCTATGTCTGTTTTATGTAAAGAGAAAAGGACCTATAAGTTACCTTGGTGGACTGTTAGTCATAACTAGTAACTTATAGGTCCCTTTCTCTCTACATATTACTAGTATAGGCTCAACATCTGAGTTTTTATGTGTGTTTTGCTTGTTTTTTTTTTCAGATCGGACACGGCCGCGGCACTATCAGTTGAAGGTCGCACCTACCCCGTGGATACACACTATGTGAAGAGGTAGGCTTGGGTCGTGTGACTGAGTGACACCGTGGCGTCTGCGTGTACTTGCTCGTGTTGTGAGTGACACTGGGGTATCGTACTGAAGGTGTACCCAGCATGGCCATCGGGCGGGCAGGTGAAAATACTGTGTGTGTGCACATGTCAGAGCAGTCTACATTATTACTACAGTAGAACCTGTCTAAGACGACCGCTTAATGGACCTTCAAGATGTGGTCTCTGTTACCAGGTGGTCTCCTTATCCAGGGTCATTTTGACTGGAAATAGCATCCCTTGCTCCTGGTTTCAGTGGTCTTCTAGGACAGGTGGTCGCCTTGACAGATTTTACTGTATCTCTTCTTTTTTTTGACCGATGTACAGACTTGCCGATCTCCCCGGGGTATGATTAAATCATACACGGGGAGATCAGAAAGTCTGTACATCAGTCAAAAAAAAGAAGAGTAGGGCTGCAACGGGTAGGCGTTTGGTCGGGTAACGGGTAGTTTTATCCAGGTAGCACTGGTACCCTATCGGGTAATTTTTTTGACACAGTTTGTACTGTGAGTGTGCACTTGCGCACCATAGAAAGGGTTCAGTAAGCCCTTAGCCGTGCTGTTTGCATGGACCGTTGTACAAACACCGTACTCCAACTACCCGATCAGGTTCTCAGGAGCAAATTGCTACCCTACTACCCGATCAAAGTACGGGTAGCACGGGTACCCTACTACTGAAGTACTCGTAGACACCCCTAAAGAAGAGCACTAAAATTGAGTGAATTGAAGATGATGTATTGCTGGCGTGCATGTAGTCTGTGATGCCCTGTGTACTGAGTACATAGTCTGTAGTCCCCCTATATCAAGAGTAGATAAACAAGAGTGTGCAACTCCGGGATGGGTTGGCCCGCGGCGGAATTTTTTGTTGACGTAATCTTTTCGACGACGCACGCGCTGCGAGTCTTTTGGAAAGGTTTGCCTCGTGCACTTGGCCGGGCTTTCCATTACAAAGTCGGTGCCCAGCACGTGCTCTCACACTGCTCTGGGGCGAAATGTGCGTTCTTCTGAAAAAAGGTGACGTCAACAAAAAATTCCACCGCGGGCGGAGGTATCTGCAGATTGTGCAGAAGAGATCCGGAGTTGCACACTCTTGTTTATCTACTCTTGCCTATATTTATTCTGATTTACACACACACACACACACACACACACACACACACACACACACACACACACACACACACACACACACACACACACACAACAGAGGCGAAAGACAGTGCAGCTGTAACTTTTTAAAATTATCGCTGAAATGTATGAAACTTAAAAGTTTCATGCATTTCACCGATCATCAGGCAGCAGCGTTTCATTCTGACTTACGTATGGGCTGGAATGATCGTATTGTCGCAGCTAGGTACATGCAGCCTGGTCTATGATAGACGGTTATGCCATTGCATTTCTCACCGAGTCTGATCAGGTGCATTGTGCGTATTGCTGTTGCTGGTGTGGTGGCGCGTGTTCCTCTCCAGCCCTGCGTCGGACTACGTGAAGGCGTCCGTCACAACGGTGTACGGCATACACAAGGAGCAGGGACCTGGCGATGTGCTCGTGTTCCTGACAGGTCAAGTAAGTACATGTACCGTGTTTTCCGGAGTACATATGCTGCACTGGAGTATGAGCTGCACTGGAGTATAAGCTGCACTGGAGTATAAGCTGCACTGGAGTATATGCTGCACTGGAGTATGAGCTGCACTGGAGTATATGCTCAGGCCCGTCGCACCGACTTTGGAGGTGGGGCGGCCGTGGAAGGGGGGGGGGTCCGGGGGTCGTCCCCCGGGAAAATTTTCAAAAATTGAAGCCAATTGCAAGCATTTCCGGGCATTTGGTGCCATTTCAGTGTAACTACAAATGAAAGACTTTTTGATTCAGCAACAAACCAAGAAGACGCTACAATTGGGGACATGGGTTCTTCATTATCTTCCCACGGGAAAAAATTCCAAAAATTGGAGCCAATTTGCAAGCATTTCCAGGCATTTGGTGCCATTTCAGTGTGTTGTGTGCAATGAAAGACTGTAGTGTTTTGATTCTGCAATAAACCACGATCGGGGACAAGGATTCTTCATTATTTTCCACGTTTGGGCTGAGCTGCGATCATGGAGTCGAGTGTGCTCCAAAAACAAAACAAAAACAAACAAACAAAAAACGGCCTAAAAAGTGGGGCGGCCTCAGCCGCCCCAGCTGTGACAGCCTTGATGCTGCACTGGAGTATGAGCTGCACTGGAGTATAAGCTGCACTGGAGTATATGCTGCACTGGAGTATAAGCTGTACTGGAGTATAAACTGCACTGGAGTATAAGCTGCACTGGAGTATAAGCTGCACTGGAGTATAAGCTGCACTGGAGTATAAGCTGCACTGGAGTATAAGCTGCACTGGAGTATAAGCTGCACCCCCCCCCCCCCCCCCCCTTCCTCACCCCCATTTCTGGCCACGAAATACAGACATCTCCCCTATTTATCACCGTTAGGCCACACCAAGTTATTTCTATGTTTCGCGTCACCCGCCCGCGTACCTTTTCGAATCCTTGACAAGAAAAAAAAGAACCTAGACGAGCCAATCGATGGCTGTTCTGGCGAACATTCTCCAGCCAGTATGGCAGATCAGAGGTTATCAGCTTCTCGATAATCTTGCATTCCAGGCGATGGTACGTAGAAGGTGCGAGAGATGAAAATTTCCATTTTTTCAAGCCGTGCGATGGCGTAGGGCCTGCTCACCAAGCGAGCAGAGATTCCAGGTGTCAAGGACTTCGGGATTTTCCACGATTGTGATGGAGCGGGATCCCACTCGACTCATGTCAAAATGCAGAAGGAGCCATCCATGAAATCTCTGTATCGCTCCAGCCCAGTCTGCCAGCTGGCCTGTGACGACTTGTTGTCGTTTTGGATACCGGTAGAAGTGACAGTTTAGTAGTGGTATTCTGTGTGCAACATGGCTCAGTACACATAGAATGGAGTTTTGTTTTTTCTTCTGTTTTTGGTTTTTTTCCGCCCGCCCGCGTGCCTTTTCCAGAAAATATCCGACGCGAAACATAGAATTAACTTGGTGTGGCCTTAATTTGATCATCTGATTATAAGCCGCACCCCCTTCTTTTTGGGGTGAATTTTGAGTGTTCAAAGTGCGGCTTATACTCCGGAAAATACGGTACTGTGAAACATGCCCTAACCGGACGCCCTGGGTGCAGCGGAAACTGTCCTGATATGGCAGGATTCCGCTTGATCCAGGGATGCACGTTCGTTCCACAGCACTTTGGTGCGGGAAGATTTGCCCTGACAGTACAGGATTCCGTGTGATGCAGTGTCCGGCAAACACAGGTTTTACTGTACGTCATTAGGTCCTGTACTATTATCAGGGCTATTCCCTATGAGCCCGAAACCTTCTGTACTGGGATTTGTGACTTACAGTGCTGGCAACTGAAATCCGACCCTCTTGGCGGCGCGCCGCGCCGCCACACTGTATTTGTTGTCAGATACACGATCACAGATCAAATTTATGTAAACAGTACTAAACATCAATAAACAAATTAGTAAGCATTACTAAGCAAACAAACAAACAAACATGTATGAAGGAGTTTTTGCCCATACCTTCAGCAACTTGGAATCGTGTTGCTGGTGTGGTGAACAAGGTCGGTGGGAGAACACATGTGTGGTGTTGGGTGTTTAGACTAAACTAAGAACAAGCAAACAAACACACAAAACAGAGTGCACGAAATACACGCGACTATGCATATTTTCCTGACGCCAGGCACACTTAGCATTCCTAATCAACTGCCTGGTTTCCTAGACTCGGGTTTAATCTCACTTGGAAGTTAGAACCCAGGCTTTACTCGCACAGCTTAGCTCCTGATGCATGGATTACAAGATGACCACTATTGTATTGATCCGTAGATATCTATATGTACGCAGTAGTACTCAGTGGTAGATATGCCCATGCACGTGGATGCGCTTACACTGTACGTGGCCTACTGTAAATAATCAATGCATTAATGTAACCTGCTGCTCATACCAGCCAGCTGATTTGGTCTATTTGGAGCATAAGTTGTAGAGCAACATACTTGGCTACCGTATATGGGCTGGTTTTCCGATCTAGTAGTTTTTTCCCCCTTGTGCGGCGTGCAATGTGACTCCCGGTGTCTTTCGTTGTGTTTCTTAGGATGAGGTGGAGGATGTAGTGCGGCGTATCAGGTATGTTCCTGTCCAGCATGTATCTACTGGTATCACTGCCTTTTCTTTGTGGGTACCAAAATGTAAACCAGTGTCCAGTTTTTCTCATTACTGTTTTCTGATGATCGCTTAGTGCGTGAAACTCGGAGTAAAAACACTTTTTCATCCTCTTATTCTTGTTGTCTACTAGTAGATGTAGTATCCTGCTCTCTCTCTCTCTCTCTCTCTCTCTCTCTCTCTCTCTCTCTCTCTCTCTCTCTCTCTCTCTCTCTCTCTCTCTCTCTCTCTCTCTCTCTCTCTCTCTCTCTCTCTCTCTCTCTCTCTCTCTCTCTCTCTCTCTCTCTCTCTCTCTCTCTCTCTCTCTCTCTCTCTCTCTCTCTCTCTCTCTCTCTCTCTCTCTCTCTCTCTCTCTCTCTCTCTCTCTCTGTTGTGTTGTGTTGTGTTGTGTTGTGTTGTGTTGTGCCAGTTCCTGTGAGAGTTCCTCTGTGAAGTGTTCTTTTCCCCTCTCTTTGGTGCTGGTCATGGTGTTGTGCATGCAGAGAGCGCGCTCAAAGTCTGCCCGATGGTGACAATGAGCTGCTGGTTGTTCCCATGTACGGCGGCTTACCACCTGGAGAGCAAGTGAGTACATGTACTGTGCAGTGCTGACCTGCTGTCACATGACCTGTGCTCTTTCTGCTTTGTTCAGCCCTTTTCGGTATAAAGCTGTTGCGCATCTATCACACGACCATGCAGGGCAGCCATGTTGGTTCCCACACGGCAGTGGCGGCACACGACCCCTGAATTTATGGGTCACATGATGTCGGCCATATTGGTTTCACTGTTCATGTGTGACTGATTTTGTGTCATCTGATGTGCACTGAAATTGTGGGTTTTTTCTCTCTCTCTTCTTCAGATGAAGGCATTCAGTCGGACACCTCATGGCAAGAGGAAGGTGAGAATAGCTGAATGCGATGGTGTGTGTGTGCATGTGTTTGCATGTGTGTGTGCATGTGTGTGTGTGCGTGTGTTTGGTGGGTGCGTGCGTGTGGTGGGTGCGCGCGTACGTGCGTGTATTTGGTGATGGGCTGTGCCTGGCAGTTTGAAGATTTTGACAGCAGCTGAGGTCATTGGGCTAGTGAATGTATTTGTATGCATGGGTTTCAGGATCAAGTACATAGTATGTGGCGTGCCAGTGAAATGGCATTGCCTGTAAGCATTGAATAATATTAATTTTGGCAGTGTTGTTGTTTGCTGCTACTACTTGCATTGGAGGCCGGGGGGGGGGGGGGGGGAGAGAGAGAGAGAGAGAGAGAGAGAGAGAGAGAGAGAGAGAGAGAGGGAGGGAGGGAGGGAGGGAGGGAGGGAGGGAGGGAGAGAGAGAGAGAGAGCTGTGGAAAATAGCTCTGTCGGTGCTGCTCCTTCCTGTCTTGTTCTTGTAGATTGTGGTGGCAACCAACATCGCCGAAGCGTCAATCACCATCAATGGCATAGTCTACAGTAAGATGTCTTCTCGCTTGTTCCTTCCGGGGCAATGTTTCATTCTTTCTTGTCAGCATTTATTTGACTTTGTTTTATTCCTCTGCGTGCTGTGTTGGCTGCAGTTGTGGACTGTGGTTACGTCAAGATCAAGGCGTACTCTCCTCGCACCGATATTGGTAAGCAGTTTGGGTGCGGAGGTGCAAGCCCATCTCTCTATACTCTGTATACTGGTGTAAGCCGTGCAAGTTGAGGTCGGATTTCACCGAGCACAAATGCATGTGTGTATGTGTATGTAACTTGCTTGTCGGTGTGTTGGTCTTCTGGTCTCAGAATCGTTAGTGACTGTCCCGGTGTCGCAAGCATCCGCACAGCAGAGGGCAGGCCGTGCAGGTCGAGTGCGCTCAGGCAAGGCGTTCCGCTTGTACACAGGTATGTACCGGCACTAGTGCTGTCCTAATGCCGGTAGACTCCCTATCATTCAAACCTCGAATCACCAGTCCCCAACTTCGAAATATCCGGAACTTCAAATTAGACAAAGTGTCTGGAGCCCTTGCTGTAAATAGTGCTCAATACCTCAAAATGGGCAGAGCGTACTACACAAGGCAGAACAACAGAGACCAAACATCTTTCTCGTAACTCGGAGTTTCGTGTTCATAAACACTCATCAGACGAACTTCAAATTATCCACACGCAGCCCCTCGTACTGATATATTATGTATGTAAAATTGTGGAGACAAGAATCTATTTACAGCCAGGGAAGCTCTACACTTGCCTCTGTCGACTCTCTTAACTACAGTTGTGTTTGTAAGAGCATTCACTATTATCCGAATAGCAAGATATGGCCTTGGCGACTGTTGTCTGCAGATCTCAGGGTGACTAGCCCTGCCCTCGTACCCATTCTAAGCACTTTCCAGTAGGTTTCATTGGTAAACTTGACTTGAGTGCGTTCCCCAAACATAGCGAAACCTGCTCGAGAGCTCCTTGCGGACTTCACCTTGGAATCGGTCCTTTGTGTTCTCCAACTACACAGCACTTACCGGTAATACCTTGATGGAGAGACAAGTGTTCTGACTTCATGATACTTCCAGTTGCACTGTTAGTGGTGTTGATAACTTGATATTCAGTGCACTGTGACCTACATACTTGTGTGTGTGTGTGTGTGTGTGTGTGTGTGTGTTTTGTTTGCAGAGGAACAGTTTCACAAGCTTGCACCCGCAGCTGTGCCGGAGTTGCAACGGTATGTTGCCCGCTCTACATGTACTTTGTGATTTCCTGTTGCTGGTGCTACTGCAGCTGATGCGACTGATACTATTTTAACTGCTGCTCCTTTAACAAAAAAAACACAAAGAAAAACATAGCAGGTGCAACTCTTTTTGTATGCAGCCTGGGAGCAGTTTTCAGCCATTCCAGTTCACAGGTTCTCAGAATCAATGGCATTAAGTGCCATTTTTACTTTGCATTACTGGTATGTGCTTCAAATGGCCACTTTCCTATGTTTTTTTCTCCTATGCTGTTTGCCCATGTGCAGAACTCAACTAGCACCTGCTTTGTTGCAGCTAAAATCAATGGGAATTGACAATGTGCTGCGCTTCGATTTTGTCTCCGTAAGTGAAGCAGGTCATGAATCTTCTGACATCTTCCCTTCCTCCTTTTTACTATGTTTGAGTGGACTCTATCCAAACTGTGTTCTGAATTGCCTTGTGGTAGGCCGCTGCTACCATTGTATTACTGTAAATCTACAAATTTTCGCCGGTGAAAAACTTTCGCCGGTCTCCAAAAAACACTTTTCGCCGCCACTAAACTTTCGCCGTGGGTGTGAAAGAGCCCGAAAAAGTGATCGATGTTTCGTGTGCACATGTACTAGACGTACATGTATAGTAGTACAAAGGTCTGCGTAGTGTGTACAAAGGTCTGCATAGTTTGTACACCACTGTCTTCTTTACGAAGTGTTTTACAGAGAGTCCGGCGGCATATGATTTGGTTCTGGTGACAAATTTTGGCCGGCAATTAATTTTGGCCGATTGACATTGACCGGCGAAATCAGCGAAATTAAATCGCCAGCGAAAATTAGTTGATTTACAGTATTCCGCAACCGGCTCTCTGTACGTGGTGTGATTCAAAGTGCACAGATTTAACCGTAGGTGCCGTGGGCTTGAAAAAGTACAGTGTAGATTCAGCTGCCAAATTTTCTTTTTTTCGATTTTTTTCATTTTACTTTCCCTTGTGCATTCTGTATCATGGAGCGATAAGTTTCGGAAGGGAAATCTTCCACTAGACATTCTCACTCTCTTTTACTTCAATATGGTGCAAGCACCTTTGGTTGAATGTGGATCGGGAGGCAGCGTGTCATGCGTAACATTGGGAGTGACACGTCTCACTGAAGCCAGTGCCCTCACTACTCGTCATTTCCACATTGAACTCGAAGGATCTGAAGTTATGAAATGTATCATGGTGGAATTTCATACCTACAGCCACCCAGTGGTAGTGGTTACACAAACCTATGCTTTCGAGGACAACAAGGCAATCAGGCTCATTCGTGTGGCAGAATCATTGCCTCGGTGAGAATTTGCACTTGTGACGATGAGTAAACGTGTTTCGTGTTGTGCCGCTATATCACCATGGCAACAGGGAATCATGTCTTCAACTGTTGCTGAATTTATTGCAATGAAATTGCATGCTTCTGTTTGGGATGGGTTGCTGGTGCATGCCTGGGCATTTTTCATCTTTTGGAGTAGTCGTGCAATCACCATGGTGATATTCACCCTTGATTGGAATTTAAAGCGGTTGCCATGGCAACGGTACATCTGAATATCATTCCGATCCGTTTTTGATACGTACCTGTCTTTCTTTGTTGTGTTTTTGTAGGCACCTCCTGCCAAGGCCATGATGCGAGGATTAGAGCTGCTCTATGCGCTAAAAGGTAGGAGATAGTCACATGCATCCTTGTTTCTTGCGCATGCGCGCTAGTATGATACATGTACCAGAGTGTCACAAATAGAAGCAGTGTGTATGGCCACGTAGGCCAATGTTTCGACCTTGCTTCTTTTCGACCTGCAATTTTGTGCATAACCTATGCACGAAGCTCACAGTTCCGTATCCATGTATGTAAGGGTTCTCTCTCTTCTAGTTCCCGTGCTTCCATCCCCACCATGCACGTCACGCCACCCCAAAAATAATAGGGGTTCAGTCACTTCATTGGTAGCCAGTATTACCTGAGCTGAAATCCGAAATAGATCTTCCTCGACATCGAGTGGAACCAACTGCAGCTGAAATGTGTTTCCGAATCGACTGAATTTTTGTTTGTTCTGGAATAACGTGGAACATATGTTTGGCTCCTCTGTATAGCTGACCAAAAATGGCACGGGCTTAGCTGCATTGCAATTTACAGTGTATTGGACCTGACTCGACCTCCAATCAGAGGAGATGATGCTAGTACATGCCATCTGTGAAGTGAGCCATGACCTTAGTTACTACTGAAAGTCTACAAATAAGCACAAGTCATGGTATGATCATCAAGTGAGATTGCAATGTTTGTAGAATGTGCGCGTGTGTCTGTTACAACGGCAAGCTTGCAACTTTGTGTGTGTTCCTTGCGCAGCAATCAGTGGTGGCGGTTTGCTAGAAGATCCTCTGGGAGTTCAGATGGCGGAGTTTCCGCTTGGTCCTATGTTTTCGGCTATGCTTCTATCCTCAGGTTGGTTATGTCTACTAGTATTATGGAAGTTCTGTTTTGAGTGCTTCGTGTTCTCATGCTTGGTACATAGTCCTTTGGTCCTCCGCTCCCAGGGCTAAAACACATTTCGGCCGCTCCGTGGAGACCGCTCTCCAAGCTGCAGGAGATAGACTGACTTGGCTTGGCACTGTTGACAGATGCGTCAACGCAGCTCCTGTCTAACAGGGTCAGAGACGATGCGAGCTGTGTTTATTATTATTGTTATTTGTGAATCACGCATGCCACCAAGGACATTGCAATGGAACTCCCTCTAGTGTTACTTGTGTTCAGAAGCGACTGGTGCTATCAGCGGCCCTTGTCTCGAGTGCCACAACTTCACATGATCTCTCAGGATGGCAAAGCATTCTTTCCTGCGTCTGCTTCACTGTAGAGACATTTGGCTGCTCGGAGGAGGCTGTTACCATTGCGGCCATGCTTCAAGTCCACAATGTCTTTGTGCAGTCTCCACGCAACCGACTGGAAGCGGTGAGTTCTTTGCTAGCGCAGTGACCAGGCGCGTGCGCCGGTGACCTTCAAGGGTGGGTGGGGGGTTCCGGGGGCCACCCCGGGAAAATTTTCAAAAAATGAAGCAAAATCCTGCATTTTGAGCGAAATAGGGGGGGGGGGGGGGGGGAGGGTTCCGGGCACCCAGGAACCCATACGGGGCACGCGCCTGGTGACTGAGTACTAGTGGGTATGAACAGTACACACGCAGTAGGGTAGTGTGCTGTAGCGGACACTGAAATCCGTTGAGAAGTCGAGCGGCCACGGGGCGCTGGCCTTGCAGCCGCGAGCACTGCTGACCCATTTGTACAGTGTGGACGTGAACTACAGTGCAGGTACGTGCTGAAAGCAGTACGGGCCGCGCCGGCCACGGTCACCCCATCGGATTTCCATGTCTACGACAGTAGTATTTGCGTAGTGTATGGGGTGTTTATCATACACCAGTGTGGCAAACTTTGATTTACTCGTTGTTTTTATTACAGTAAGTGGGTACATGTATTGGGGAGACATGGCACTGGTTCTAGCTTTAAGCCATAATCCGGTAGCCATTGCTGGATGACCGTTCGGAGCATGACACTCAAAGCTCTTACCAGTTTCCTTTCTCTGTGCTGTGTTAGCAAGCTCCACCGGCTGGTGTTGAGCAGCCTTCGTTCGCCAGGGTACTCTACTCGCGTCAAATCTCTGTGTGCATGTTTGTTCAGTAGATCGGATTACACAAAGTTGGGGCAGACTCAGCCAGTACGTATACATGCTTGAGTAGCTCATTCCACTACACTGCACTGTGCTCTTGGTTGGTCTGTGTTTACGTTTGCACCAGCACTGCCCTCGTGAGGACAATTCTGTTTCAATAGTCCGTATTGTCTGTGCTTGTGCCTACAGGACAAAGCCAAATTGAGATTCTCGTCGCGAGAAGGCGATCACTTGACTCTGCTCAATGTCTACAATGCTTTTCTTCAGGTGAGTTTGTACTAGCATATGAATGTACTTCCAAGTACACGGAGTTGCTTCTGCTGTTTTAAAAGTAGCTTATGCCACATAAAGCGTGTGTTCGGCTGAAACTTCATCCTGACAATGGGGAGTAGTGAAGTAAAATGTTGTTTTATTTCCTGGAGAGGACTCACATCATCTCTTCAGGAATTGCAGTCTCTCTCTCTCTCTCTCTCTCTCTCTCTCTCTCTCTCTCTCTCTCTCTCTCTCTCTCTCTCTCTCTCTCTCTCTCTATCTCTCTCTCTCTCTCTCTCTCTCTCTCTCTCTCTCTCTCTCCTAAAGTTTTCTTAGTATTTGCAGCTGAACCAAGCTTGTCGAATGGCTATGTAATCTATTTTGTTTGCAGTGAATCCGATTGTAGCAGCGAACATATTGTGGGATTGCCTGTTGCTAGAGAGGCTGCGCAGCATGTCATTGTAGTGAGATTTTGAGAGAGTGTTGCTAGAAGCAGACCGTAAAGTACCACGAGAGCGCCCCACCCACTCGTCCTTTCGTGGCCGTGTTGTCCTGCCTGTAGGTCATACGGCACGTATCGTGTACACACGTTACACGCTGTGTAGGCAATCCGTACGCAGTTTACCTTGGATATCCGCACAAGAACATGCTAACTGTGACCGCAGTGCGCTGTGGTTCTCACACTGTACAAACTCAGTTGTACTCTTGTCATACAATTTTCCTTTCCCTGGTGGTACAATCAAGGTGGGGCGCTCTCGCGAGTTGGGGCGCTCTCGCAGTCCTTCACGGTACAATGTATTACCATTGCGCCTTCGTATTGCATATTTGCTGCAAGTTTTTTGCAAGACCAGCATTTCATCTTTTCTTTGCTGTCCTTATTTTCTTTGCTTTCTAGTATCAGAAGAACTCTCGTTGGTGCCAGCAGAATTTCTTGAACCATAAAGGTAGGTGGATTGCTGCCGTTGCTCTAAGTGTGTTATCAGTGTAGGGTGGTGGTGAGGTGTGAATGACTCATGCTGTGTTGCTGGGTCTTCAGAATTACTACCCGGATTTGCAGTGGCGTCATTTGCTTTCCTTTGATCAACTTTGATGCCAGCACATTGGTGGAGAGAAGATGATTTCAGTATTTGCTTGCTCTTGTTTATTGTGTGCGCAGTGCTTTGCAGAGTCGTCGAGATACGCGCTCAGCTGTGCAAGCTGCTGCGGCGCTGCAAAGTCAAGCTGGTCTCCAGCGGAGGTGAGAATCAAAGTGCTTCTTCTGAACGCATTCATTAGTTCTTTGCTAGGCGTCCTGATAGTTCTGTGGCAGTTGCAGAGTACGTGTTGAAAGAAACCTCTGGCTTTGGAGACCGGTCATCTCAGGTACCAGGCCCTGCTCCACCATAGCTTGTATTCATTGTAGAACCACTGGCTTTCGGCCACCTCACGCCTCAGACCCTGATTCATTATTCAGTGTACTAGTATTCATTGTAGAATCACTGGCTTTCTGTGTACAATCAAGGGGGGGGGGGGGGAGGGGTACAACAGTTGGACTAAAGTGCCTCTGGAGCTGTAACTTAGAAACTTTCACAACATAGCCTTTGCAGGCATTCTTTGCCAAGATAGTGTTTGTGTTAGCAGTGTATCAACTTGGTTGACGGTGTGGCACTGTTCTTGCTTATTGGCCTGTTACCATGCAGACGATGCCGAGGCCGTTCAGCGTTGCGTCGTAGCAGGATTCTTCCCCAATGCTGCACGCTACCATGCTTCGGGCTGTTACAAGTAAGTGTCTGGAGAAGGTGGTCTTAGGTATGTGTTGTGCATACTACTAAGTCGGAAAGCTCTAAATCTAACGTGTTTTCACCACGTACGTGTTGGATGGTGTACATGTATATGCTGGTCGAGGTGGTGGGTTGCACACCAAAACTAAGTTACTTCCAAGGCTTCCCCATCCACAGTTGTCTTTGTACTGCGAAGCCACTGCTCGTTGTGGACATTGAAGTCCCCAGACCAGATTATGTTAGTGCCTAGGCGGCGAATACCATCAAGGAGACCATCAAGATGATCAATCAGGGACACATCTGACTCAGTGTATGACCCTGGGCGGTAGACAGCACCGATAATGACGTGACTCCCGTATTGTGTGGAGACAGACGCCCATAGAATCTCGTGCGCAGAGCATTCCAGGTGGGAGAGGTGTGTGTGAATGAGAGCTCAGACTTAGCCCAGATGGCAGCACCATCCCGTTCTCGCTGCGGTCCTTCCGAGCAACAGTGTATCCAGGCAGTGAAATATCCGAGTCCAGAATGCCATTCCCTAACTTTGTTTCTGTGACAATAGCGATGTCAACCTCGTTCTGGGACACTGTATGCGGCAGGTTACCAATCCTGTTGGTGATACTAAACGCATTTGTTACAAGGATCCGGAGGAATGGAGCTGGACCTGCTGAAGAATTTGGTAGTGAAGATAGAGGGGCGCCACAGATATCAGTTTTGCTTGTATGATTCTGTTTGTCTTCCTCATCTAGATCAATACGAGAAGACCAGACTCTACACGTACACCCTACTTCTGTGTTGTTTGCCTCCAAGCCACAGCCATGGTAAGATCTTCTGCCAGTACTACAGTTGCACTCACTGAAGTCCAAACCAAAGTGCAAAACTGACGCCCTGGACCAGTTCCGATAACATCACGGTACTTGTACGTGTGTGTGCGTCCAGCCGCATTCATACCACTTCCAGGGCGTCATGGGTCATGCAAGTTGAGGGCGCCAACATGCGCTCTGGGTCGGATTTCACCAAGTACACCTGTACTTCAGTAGCATTCGGCCAGCCTGACTGATGCATTCGTGACCTTGTTTAGCCTCGGATCTAATGAAAACCGCGTGTTGTGACTGACCCGTCGTCCTTTTCCAACCTGGGATATTTCAACCCTTCCTGTTGACAGCTGAAGCTTGTACAGTAAACCCTGTCAAGGCGATCACTCTGATAAGGCGACCACCTGACTCGGAGGATCACTAAAAATAGGACCAAGGGTTGTTTTCCAGTCCAATGGCCCTGGATAAGGTGACCGCCTGTGTGCAGTGATCACAGTTTGACAGTTTCTTGAGCGGTCGCCTTATACAGGTTTCGCTGTACAGTAAAACCTGTAACTAAAGACCACCGTGACTAGCGACCAGCCTGGAACTAAAGACCACTTCGCCAGGCACGGACGGTCTCACATTCATTATGGTTGTGCGGTGCAAACCTCTAACTAAGGACCACCTGCCACTAAAGACCACTTTCTCTGGCCCCACGGGGTGGTCGTTAGTCACAGGTTTTACTGTATTTGCATTCAGAGTGAGCTGAACTCATCCCGGTTTGGGAAGGTCCATAAGATTACATGTTCTTCTTGAAATAGTCAGGATATCGTACAGTGCTCGTCCTGACCAGGTGGTACAACAGGTATTCTCGACCAATAGCCATTGTGTTTAGCAAGGAACGCCGCATGTTTTCTCGAAAATCGCAACCTGTAACTTCTTTTATATGTGGTTCATGCGCAGGCTCCTGTTCAACGAGATTGTGGAGACGGATCGCAAATACATGAGAGATGTCACGGTGGTAAGTTGAGACCAGGGTCTGATAGTCTCTCTCGTTGGTATGTTACATTGGCATACAAGTTGATGAAACATAGATTTCCAATTCCAAGAAAGTGATTGAAAAAGGAAGATAACATGGCCTCTCCCGTAGTTGCGCAAACACGGTCTTCGTGACTTTAGTAGACAGAGTGGAGCTGAATACTATCCGTAGCGTTAACGAAGGCACTGGAATTCATACAGGACACCTCTCCATTGAAACCGGAGAGGCTATCTGAGATCTCTGGCTGCAGGGAAAGTAAAAATAGACATCAGAAAGGTCCAGAGATTTCACAAACTTGTCTAATGCAATGAAGGAAGAGGAGCAAATGTGCCGTCCTAAAATGGGGTGCCAAGGCAAACTTGCTTAGCTTTTTTTTCAGGTCAATGATGGACCGCATACCACCCGCTCTCTTGGTAATCAGGACGGTGTGGGCCAAAACTGACCCTATACTGGTTTCAGTAACGTCCCACGGTGTGTCTTGGACATTGTTGGGAGAATGAGATAATTTAGGCTGTAAAAGGTAAAGCCGTTTCACACTCACGGGATAACTGGCATTCACCAGGGGCAGCGGAAATGTTGAGATCATCAGGCAACCACAGGTGACCGTTTCACTCAGGTTTCCGTGGGCGCGTGTGTTGCCATGTCTTTTGTGGCAGGAATGTAAAAAGGAAAAAAAATTTAAAATAGTATTTTTTGCTTCCAGCCGAGTCTCACGCGAACCGTGAAATTTTTTTATTTTTATTTATTTATTATTTTGCTGCAATTTCTAGTACATTTTGTACTATATTGAGTAGTTTATGTTTCATGTTTGTCATGTGTGATTGCATGGATGAGCGTATTGTCTGTAATGCATCCTGCGACGTACTCGTACAACTTACACAAAAGTCGACCTACACACGGCCGGGCGCATTTGGAAGTATGGCGGTACCATTTCCCATGGCCAATGTCCTGAGGCCCATGGCCACGGTTTTGCCAGATTTTCCCCAAGATGCTTCTTTTCCCGCCATGGTTTCCATGGCACCTTGTCCAAAGTCATTACTTTACCCATGTAGAATGCAGAAACACAAGCCGCAAGACGCCTGTTTAGGCCATGTGAATCGCATCATTTATGTGTTGACGATGGCAGCGTGAACAAGGCGAGGACGCACTGTACGGGTAACAGTGATCTCGGCTACCACCATAAACTGTCATCGTGAAAACATGTTGCCTATCAGGCAAGGCTTGCACACATCTTTTATGTTCTTTGTATGGAGTGCACTGCATGTAACGTTAGTTGCAAACCTGGAGCTTGTGAGATGCCACTCTCAAAACGCCTCGAATGATGACGTGATCGCCCAACTGCATCCTCGGCATTCCTCGCCAGGCGCAGATATCTGCTATGCATGGCAAAGGCGGAGTCCAAATATAGAGAGAGCAGTGTGAATGAAGAAGCTAGCTTTGTATGCCGTGCACCGGATCGGATATGCCACGGCTGTTACGACAGTACAAAACGGGCCCACTTGGTTTTTGTACAGGAGATGGCGCTTCCCGGAACTTTCCCGTTCTCAACGTTCAAAATTTGTACTCAAGGAGGTGTATTTTGAACGCAATCTCTGCTCAGTTGGGTCTCCAAAGCACCACTTCTGATCACCGCGTCGAGCTGCCCTCGCGGCTACAGTTGCGCAACATCCTGACCATGCTTCGCCAAAGAAAAAAGTAGTGAATTTGAGCTTTCCTTCGCTGAGAAAAGCCATTCTTCATGGAAATTTGTCTCTGAAGTTGTTGCCGTTCGATCGTTCTAGTCACCGAAGTTTGTTGCCTCCTTGAGGTGCTCAACGAGTTTTCGTCACATGAAGGGTAGTTTTGCCGAGGAGAAGAGTATCTGTGTAGCTGTTTTTTGTTACTGCTGGGGCACCGCTGATTCCTTGTTGGCCCCGCTGGGTCCAAATCTCTAGCAACATTTAGTGGAAATTGTTATTTATTCAGTGGATTTGAAATGGAAAAACACCAAGAAAAGTTACAGCTGGTATGGTGGTTAGGCGGTGAACAGTTGTGTAGTACTAGCGTGGAACTCAGCACCTTGTGAAAGATCATGCGAAAGCCATTGAATCTGTGCTGAGTATTAATGTGTTGTGTGATGACCAAAAAACCATGCATATGAATATGCATGTAGCTCCAGCCTCATCCAGTCTGCATTTAGACGATGCAACAATTGCTTTGTATGGCGGTGATGAAACTGTACGACATTGCATCACCGCCATACAAAGCAATTGCTGACTTGCTGCCGGAACGTTAAATACAGAGTTCGTTGCAGCAGGTGCCAACTTGCAGCACGCACAGCGGTACAACAACGTGATTAGAAAAGCCATTCTTCCTGTTGAGCTGCAAGACGTGTGTATTCCTGTGCTCCACCTTGATCTAGGGATTTATCCCTGGATTTACGGTGACTCTGCAGCGTTTACAGCACTTATCAAGGCCTACAAGAACGTACACGACAAAGCAACACAACAACTACACCTACAGTCAGAAGCACAAAGCATTCTTAGTCAGCTGCAGTTTGTGACGCTACAAGAACGTACACGACACAGCAACGCAACAACTACACCTACAGTCAGAAGCACAAAGCATTCTTAGGCAGCTGCAGTGTGTGACGCTGCACATTCAGCAGCAGGAAGTAGTGGCTGCTGGCTTGCAGACTGTGGCATCAAATCTGCACTTCCTATGGAAGGAGAAAGAAAAGGAACTCAATTTGATGAATGAGAGGTGATGTGGCTCGAAAAGAGCATGAGAAATTAACAGTAAAAGATTTTTAAAAAAAGCAGCTGGCCCGTGCGTTACTTCCTTGGAAGCAGTACTGCCACAGTACCAAATAAAGCGGCAAGCATATCACTCAGGAGCATTTGTCGGCAACCACATACACCGTGCGTTGAAACCGGATGTCATTGCTGCCCTCACTTCTGTTCCCCTTACAGTCGTGCAGAGCCGCACACCTGCGGACAGCGGCGAGGTTCAGCTGCTTGCCCAGGCAAAGTCCTTGAGAGATTGCTACTCGAGACTCTTCACAGAGTATGCAGGCATGTCGCAAGCTGTTCAGCGGCAAGCTGGTTTTTACAACAGCAACAAGGCAGGTTCTGGGTGATGCCATCCACACATTCATGGCCACCTGCAGAGCGGAGGTTCTGGCATGCAAGTTAGGCAATGTGACTCCTAAGCTTCACCTTCTCGAGTGCCATGTCCTTCCTTGTACAGGGTTGAAATTAATTCTTGCTAATCTTTTCGGCCACACACTCTGAGCTCCTCTGATGAGACCTAACAAGGTTGAAATTAATTCTTGCTGATCTGTTCGGCCACACACTCTGAGCTCCTCTGATGAGACCTAACAAGGTTGAAATTAATTCTTGCTGATCTGTTCGGCCACACACTCTGAGCTCCGCTGATGAGACCTACCAAGGTCGAAATTAATTCTTGCTGATCTGTTCGGCAACACACTCTGAGCTCCGCTGATGAGACCTACCAAGGTCGAAATTAATTCTTGCTGATCTGTTCGGCAACACACTCTGAGCTCCCCTGATGAGACCTAACACTGTAACAGGGTTGAAACTAATTCTTGCTGATCTGTTCGGCCACACACTGTGAACTCCGCTGATGAGACCTAACAAGGTAGAAACAGCCATAGCTGTCCGGAGATTGAGTAAACTTGACAAAAAGTTCTCCTCCGATCCGAGGCGCAGGTCGTCATTGTGCGAAAGAGTCCTGCGAAGCACATCTCCTTTATCTGCTACTGAGCGGTATCCGTTGCTCTTCGCGGAGCACAGCTGCCTCCAACAAAATTTTTTGACGAGCAAGAGACTGAAGAGACGAAATCCATAAAAGTACTATTTCAAGTATTCGAAGTGACAGAACCTTTTCTTTCTGCGGAAATGATCATGAAAATTTGAAAAATGCGATGAGCGTACCCACGCTTTCCGTGTGACCTCTGTTGCCAGGGGTGTTGCTACAGGTCGCCGCCATCTTGCCAAGTGACCTCCCTGCAACAGCCGTGTATGCGTGGATGCACGGGGCTAGGGCCATGCTGGAACCGGAGCAGAGTACATGTACACTTCCAAATACGGTAGAACCTGCATATTACGCTCCTTTATAAGCTATACGATGCACTCTTGCTTATTGGTATGTTAGAGGCACACATACATCCTCCAGGAGGTCCACCACACCAGCGCAAGGCCGGTCTCGAGGCAGGGCACAGTTGTTTTTGATCCAAGAGTACCCGCGACTCCCCGGGTTCCCCTCAGGTGTGTACGGTGTGATGACGCAAAGATCCGATTACGCTCGACCAAGACCCTATGCAGAGCTGGATCAGGCATTGCACACTCTGGGGGGGGGGGGGGGTTATGTACTCTGGGTTGCAGCCATTGCTACACAGTTCATGAAAATTCATGAAAATCGGACTGACAGAGAATAGCATGCTGATTCCGAATCTGCGATAATATCAACGTTGAGGTTCAAATCAGGGTGTAGTAAATCGATATTTTACTACTCCCTGGTTCAACCATTGGAATTTCAGGCAAAATGGGCACATTTAATAGTGGCATTTTTTGACCACTGATGATCATGCCTATTTGCTGCTTGTCTCTGTGCTGTTTCATGTTCTTCTTTCAGATCGACCCAGAGTGGCTCATGGAGTTGGCACCACATTTCTACCAGTTTGGAACGGTATGTACTGTCGCGAGGGAGTGTTCACCTCGGCCCATGGTACATGTACATGTAGCTAGGAGTGAGTTTGATCCGCTGAGAAATTCATCATGCACTCGGATGCGTTGAATCGTTGCGGATCTGTTGGCCACTCTGCTTTTGTAGTAATAACGTTGATGGTTTTGCGACAAAACATTTCAGCAAGGAAGTTCTCGAGTGGAGTAGCAGTACAGTGTGTGTGCTGAAAAAGTATATTGATGGTGAGGCTAAAGTTGAGAAAAACTACTCGTTTCGCTAACAATTGCTTTATATAGACCGGCACCCAATTACTCGCTTTACTGAAACCTTGATGCTGTTAATTAGCGTGTGGTTTGTGGATGGGCGGTAGAACTCTTGCATTCTGTGTGAATCTGTTGCTGAGTCGCAGCACTGTGTGTGTGTCTGCTCTGTGTTCCACAGGAGCGAGAGGTTCACGAGTCTGCCGCGAAACGCCCGCGACTCCAATGATGCGCATGTGCGTGCCATGCTGTCACCCCCCCCCCCCCCTGTGTTCATGACGTGTATATAGACATGTGTACATACATGCTGTGAAATAATAATTGACTGCAATTCTTGTCGTATGGTGTAGCTATTCGCTGTACATACCGCCCATACTGTAGCCGCAGTCTGCTGTACATACTAGTGCCTGTTGACTGTATTCATTCCGTGTTGCACAAAATTATGTTTCTGAAATACATCCATGTCTCCTTGAGAGTTCTTTTTTTATGCTGCAAAATACTGTATACTTTCAAAGGCCCACAAAGGTGTTCCTGACTAATTTATTACCAGACATGAGTGCTCAGGCTAGGTGGGAGATGAGAGGCTGGCTCCACTGTAACTGTAGCTTGGGTACAATCCAGGCACAGGCCCCGTATGGGTTCCTGGGTGCCCGGAACCCCCTTTTTTCGCTCAAAATGCAGGATTTTGCTTCATTTTTTGGAACATTTTCCCGGGGGAGGCCCCCGGAACCTCCCCTTGAAGGGCACCGGCGCACTCGCCTGCAATCCAACCAAAAATTAAGTCAGAGTTGATCAATAGCTGGGACCGTCCTGAGCTGGAATCCCATAAGATTTTGCGCTCCGGTAGACGGGTACCGAATCGTACCCGAAAACCCGAAGTCGCAGATGACATCATGTAGAAAGAGTAGAGAGAGAGGTCTACAGTGCACGTGTACAAATAATTCACGCATGTCTACCCAGTGTGTAAGGGAAGGGGCCGGTGTGCATTGTGGTCTTACCATGGAAACATTACCCGATCGGGTACCCGTGCTACCCGTGGAAAACTACCCGGATCTGATACCCGAAGAAAATGCTACCCCGACTCAGCCCTAATAATAATATTGGGCAAACCTGCCCGTTTGGTTTTGCAATGTAAAACCAAGCAAGATTATATCCTCACACTCTTGCCAGCAGGGAGTCGTCAAATACTTGTATTTGACGACTCCCTGCTTGCCAGTCTTGGTAAAACTAGCTGCTGCTGAGTGCTGTTCACACTTTTCACATTCCGATGAAAAGAGAGTAACTGCACTGAGCATGCAGTCCGTAGGACCGTAGTCATAGATCTACGATCACATGACTCGGGGCGTCATCGTGGCCTCGACTCGAGTGTCTCGGTCACACCTCGAAGCTGCATACAACTGTTGACCATGTTGACCTGCCAAGAGATCTGCTTGCATTATGATGGAGGTGGTCGCGAAATGTCTCAGGGCCTGTGACCGTTTCCCGTTACTTCGTTCTTTGCATGCACCTCATGCACAGTTTGCTGCATGGTTCGGAAATTGAACCTTTTGCCTTTGAAGTGACTGTCGTCGTGATAGTTCAGGACAGGATGTTCATGGTGCCTAACTAACCTTAGCTCCACTGCCTGTCGCTTGTTTTGAGTGACACGACAGGCAGCGTCGCAGGAGAAGACTTTCTTCGTTTCGGCATCGAATTCCGAAATGAGCATTTCGTCGAAGCGTCGAGCAGCATCACCGAAGTAAGTTGATTCCTTCCATCGTTTCACAACAAGATTGTTGTTGGTATCAGATGAACAACTGTTTGCATTTCTGATAGGACTTCTTTGCCGACGAAATTGACCTGTTGCAGATTCCCCTTTTGAAAAAACAAAACCACTACAACACGCTTGCGCCAAATAATTATTAATTTTTGCTCGGCGTGGATGCTTGCAGCCTCGTATTGGGGCGTAGTGCTTTGTATAGGTGATGGTCGAAGGTGTCCTTCTTCGTGTAGTCTGCTTTTTTATTTGATTGAGTATCGCTTTCCCCAAACCACTCGTACTCAACGTATTTACCTAAAACATTTTTTCGAATTCAATTGTACTTGTACAAAGTGTACTATAATAGTATTACTGTGAAGTTGGGGAATGTGAAACTAGTGCACATTTGAATCCATAAGAGAAAAAAGCTGGTGAGCAGAGGTTCTAAGTGACGTTTGCAGCGAAGAGAGCGTGATTGTGTGCTTGAAATGAGGAAACGTTATGTGTAAGTGGCTGCAGTGGAGTTTGCAGGTACTATAGACTAGTACTTAGAAAGGTAGATATTTCTGCATTCAACATCTGTGGCACTTTGTTTGAGTGTTGAGTTGAAGGTCTTCTCAGTCCAAAGTTGATGGTCATGCTGGAGCCATGTGTTATACAGTAGTGTCAACACTAATCTATCTCTATTCTTCATAGTTCATTGCATCATGTAACATACTGTGCTGGGATTGACCCGGAAGGCTTTACATGGATCCAGCCATGTGTGTGGACAATGTGCTTCGGGCGTAGCCTGCATTGTGTTCACTACTACCGGTACATATACACTCCGAAGCTGTACTTGGAAAGTCTATAAGGGTATAGATACCCTTAGACTCTGCAGCGGGTCAAGCTCTGTGCAAGATCTACATCTATCTCTTAATTTGCTAGATCCTATATATAGGATTTTGGTCATATTTTTCAACTCAAAATGGGTGTGGCATGAGCATAGGGAAACGTATGTGACCAATTCTTCCGTGTTAGGTCTTAGTAGATATGGAGAGTTGAATAAGATATTTTTTTCAATTACTAACATCTCAGGCTCATCTCCTTGCGCAATATTTCTAAGGCCTGTGCCCTATTTTTCGAATCCTATATATAGGATTTGAGATTTTACTGGACCTTGTTTTATCCTTAAAATTGGTAGTTTCACGACGGCATGTGCGATATGTCGTCATGAAACCACCCCGTGGCACACCTGTAATGTTCTTTTGCACATTCACTGCTTCAGTCCGTCCCATGACACCAGCTGAACAATGCTGCTCAAAGTTCCAATTCTTGCTCAAAATGGGTATTCATGATGTCCTATGAATCTACAAAGTAAACATTCATGCCTCAAACATATTTACAGCTTCTATAAAAACCATTATGCTGTTATTACGGGTCATGAATGACTCATGATGACCGATAACAACGGCATAAAGGTCACGCATTTTCAAATCCTATATATAGGACTTTTTGCCAGCAAATTAAGAGATAGAGAAAGAATGTGCAAAGCATGACTACGTTGTGGTGGGAGTCCTGCAAATTTATCAATCGCCCGCCGTGCATCAGTACTTCTACAGCTTGCGTCGTCATACTGTGTAGGGGTGCAGTAGAGCGACTAGGCCTAAGTTGAATCAGTAGAACTTACTTCCCCTTGAAAGTAGATTGTGCGTGTGTGTGTGTTTGTGTGTGTGTGTGTGTGTGTGTGTGTGTGTGTGTGTGTGTGTGTGTGTGTGTGTGTGTGTGTGTGCATAGAGTCTACTTGTATTTGACGCCACTGCTGTCTGTTGTGTGTGTGTTCTCCAGGTCTAGTGATGCCACATCTAACGGACACAGCACATTGGCAAACATGAAAGATGTACGGTCGCAAGTGGGTTTTCAACTTTCTTAGCCGGTTTCGTGCAGTGCTATTGTTGTTTGTCAATCGACAAGGTGCATGCTGAACTTGCGGCAAATTGATAAAACTCTGTGTAGTTTTGGAACTGATGTTAGTATTTCATCTACTACAACTTTGGGTATCATGGGCCTTCAATGTCTGCCTTAGCACGCCCGATCTGTTTAGGTCCGTCATGCGCCGTGCGGCTAAATCATTTTGAAAACGGATAACGCATGTCTCACGTCACAATTGTCTACCCGGATGCGATTTCACACCCATCGCCAAAAAAACACGAAGGATTCCGGATGGCAAATGTTGCCGGGTTTACAGTAGGGTTGCGTCATGCTCAAGGTTGTCTGTTTAGTTTGCTTGGTGTTGTCTTCTGCACTAACTTGTCTTTACACTTTGCTGCTTCGTGACCTCTCTTCTACAGTCACAGATGCCTGTGTTTGGAGCACCGCGAAAGGTAAGGGTGGAACGCAGGTCATTAGGTCCTCTTTACCTTGCTCACAGTAATTTTATGGCGGTGAATAGCATGCTGGATTCTGTGTTGTTGTCGTGCGTGAAGCCTTGTAATGAACTTGGAAAGTAGAGGGCAGTACTACATGCGGCCTGTGGTCAGCGAGGTCGCTGCAACACTAGACCACCTGTGTTTAGAAGGCCAGTTTTGCAATGCACCAGACCATGTTGTAACCTGTACTGATACCGGGATTTGAATCTGACTTCATGCACCACCTGTCCGCAAAGACTGGCTGTGTTTGCAATCACCGGGTGGTTGCAAATACAGTACTACGAGTAGTAGGCAGATTTGATTGAGTATGTGCACTCGTACAATCTCTGGGTAACAAAGATGAATGCACTGACGATCTGATGTGTACAGCTACGAGTACTCAGCCGGTGTATTTCGTGCCCATCTCGTCCTTTGTATTAGGTTAATCGGCGCGATGACAAGATTAGTTCTTTCGCCATGGTAAGCATGTGTTGCTGTTCTCTTCTCTTAATTATTTGCTCTCCCCTCCCCACATCCATATCATCATCGGTTTGGGCGTTCAATAAGACAACCTTTTAGTTGTAGCAGCAGCAGCAATGGCAGCACACGTAGTAGCAATAGTAAAGTAGTAGTGAGTGTGTCGCTGTCCTGTTGTGTTACTGCCTTCGCATTCAGATTGCTATCGTGCCTTGTGTGACCGTTCCTTGCTATTTCCCTTTCAGCATTTAAAACACCAGGAGGTGACTAGGTACTACTGTCGTGGACATGGAAATCCGGCCGAATGACCGAGGCCGGCGCCCGCAGTGCATACAGAACGTTTGCATGCAATCATGCGCAGTCAGTGCACATGTATAGTCAACTTCGCTAATAACGACAGTTCGCGAGTAACGACAGAATTTCCATGCCCAGAGCAAAATCCCATCCAACTGTAATACATTTAATAACGACACTTCGCGAATAAGGACATTTTTCTGATGCCCCGCCGAGTGTCGTTATAAGCGAAGTTGACTGTATTGTTGATCGCATGCGTACTCGTACTCACGGCTGCATGGCCAGCGCCCTGGGGCCGCTTGTCCTCCGACTGGATTTCCACCTCCACGACAGTATCAGAGATCCTTTACGGGCATTTTTCTTTTCTTTTTTTTCTTTCTTTTGTGCCTAACTTTGAATGTGTTTGTCGATACCTATCCATGAGAGAGTCTGTTTCTGTTCTTTTGCATTTGCAGGAAGTATTGGGTGACTTTCCCCAAGGCAAGCCACCGACCAGTTCTGACCTGGGAGCTATCTTCACGCACACGCCAGCAAAGAAGTCCTCTGCCACGGAGGCGTTTTCCGTTGGCGAGCCCACGTCGCGCGGCTCGTTTGCCAACCACACGAACGGCTCCGTTGACGCCATGCGAGGTACCGAGGTGGCCTCCAACGGCCACGGCCGAAAGAAGGGAGAAAAGCCGAGCTCGTCGAAGCCATCTGCATCTAGCGGCAGCGGCTCCAAGGCCTCTGCCTCAGCGCCATCTGCAGCCGTGGGCAAATCCACTGCTGATTCTGTTGCACACAGTGCAAGCAACAGCAGTTTGATTGACAAGCGGCGGCGTGTGTCCGCTGCCGACAAGCACTCTTCCAAACTATTTAGTGTGCAGCAGCTGGCCGGCAAGGAGCTGCCCAGACCGCCCAAGGATCAGGGCCAGGCAAGGAAGCCCAAGGTTATCATTGGTCGTGGAGCCGGAAAGAACATGAGCCTGTATGACAGACCCATAGACAGTCCCGAGGTATGATAACCGTGGCATCAACATGCCTACTATACTTAAATGTATGTGGTAGCTTTTTCACTTTCTAGTACATGCATATAACATAGAGCAGAGCTTGCAGCTCCATGTATTGCCTTGGAAAGGTGCAAGCCCCGTTTACGCCATTCTCAACGTCAACATGCTGTAAGACTGATTGCAAAGGCTGTGCTGACGCAGTGCAAGGCTACTAGTACAGTTATTTCCACACACGCGCGTACATACACGCACGCGTGCGTGCACACACACACAGCCTCTCCTTTGTGTTGCCGCTAGTCTAAAGCGAGTGGATTCGACCTGCAGTGTGTGTTGCTGGGTCACGACGTCATCCACTGACAGATTCCAAGGACAGTGTTACATCTACTGGTACTGCGCTATTGCTGTTGACATGTGTCCCTGCAGCCGCACAAAACACCCATCAAAAGTACCAAGGCGCGCGTAAAAGCCATCTTCGAGGTAAGTTACTCATTCTCCTGGCGAGCAGGAATTCAGTGGCTGCTAGCTTTGTTCTCAAGTTCCGCTGTGGTATTGAATGACATGCAGTCACTCGATCTTGCGCTGCATATGTTCATGCTGAAGACTGGATCTTTGTATGCGATACCAGGTATGCAGGAGACGGGCAGCTGTTTTGCTGTAATTTTAAGCTTCACGCACTGGGCGACCATAAGACAGCATTGGTCATGATATTGTTCTGAGTGGGCCTATATATCAGTAGCTAGTGTCGGAGTCAGTGCACATGTGTAAATGGAATAGTGGGTCAACGCCATCTGGTTGCTCCAGGCTAGGAAAAAACCTCACTGAAGCGCAGGCAGTGTAGCAGGGTGGGACATCAATGTGAAGCATGCAGGATGTCCTCTATCAGTGTTTCCGCTATCAGTGTCAAGTGCAGCACTAAACGATAGGTGGCAAGGGGAGGTGCTAAAATTTCGGCTTTAGTTGTAGCTCATGGGACACATGGTCAGGAGTTTGATAGGTACTAGTACCGTAAAGTACCGCCAGAGCGCCCCACCATCTCATCCTTTCGTGGTCGTAATGTGGAGGTGGTCTGCTGTCTATAGGTCCTACGACATGACCCTTGTACACGTATTGCACGTTTTGCAGTCAATCCGTACCTTCGAGCGGACACAAGCTCCACACAAAAACCTGCCAAGTGTGACCTTAGTACACTAAGATTTTCACATCGTACAAACTTCGTTGCACTCTGCCATACGATTTCCCTTCCTCTGGCTGTAAAATCAAGGTGCCGGTGGGGCGCTCTCGCGAGACGGGGCGCTCTGGCGGTACTTTACGGTAGTACTTTCATGTCGGCGTATTGACGCCAGCTCTGATTGCTTGTTGTTAGTACCTCATCTTGCCACCTGTCGTCTTGTGCTGCTTTTCACACCAATGGCAGCAGTTTCTCACTCTGCTAGTATACTGCTTGCGCTAGCGTATTATTATATTCCTAGCTCGTCCCAACCTAATAGCGCTGACCCACTACCTTACACTCACACGTTTGCACTACCTCATACTCTAGCTGCTGGTATATAGGCCCGCTTAGAACAACATCATGGTCAAAGCTATCTGATGAGTGCTCAGTGCGTGAAACTTAAATGACAGCAGAAGCAGTCTCCAGTCTCCCCTGTTCTTGTGTATACTGTTCTGCATTGTGGTGCATGGAGTACTCGGTTGAACTGCTTTGACTGGCCCTGATTCTACAGTATGTCCATGCTATATCCATGCTATATATTTCCAATTGAGCTTGGCTGGACGCTTGTCATGGTGCCAGCCATGCTTTTCATCAGATGAACGGGTGCGAGAAGTTGTTTCTACGCCTAACTGTTGCACCAGTACATTACGAAGGCCATGTAGGTATGCTGTGTGCACAGGCAGAGATATGACCGGACATACCATAATCATGTCTACGCCTCTACCTGTCTCTACAGTCTTAGGTGCCGATCCTCTCAAGAGATCATCCCATGTTCCAACATGCGTTTGCTAAAATGCCCCCTGTTCTGTGTTTGAGTGCGGTCATTGTACCGAACAGATTATGACTTCACTGTGTTTGTTTTGCTGTTGCTTTGCAGGAGATGGGCAAGGGCAAGAGTATGGAGACCATCACACGCCTGGCCAGCACTCCTATCAAGCGTGAGCCCAGCATCAAGGCCCTCGGACATGTAAGTTGTCACCACTCATGCTTTGCAGCACAGTACAGTACAACTCCCGTATTCCGGACACCCCTAATTCGGGCATGTCCGTCTACCGGGCACCTTTCTGACCCATCTAGAGTCACAAGAACTGGCTTTTCAACGAAAAACGCCCTGAAAACTATTGATTGACTTAAAAAAATGTTTATTGCATGCAGTAAGTATGTATGTAGTGAGTTACGGGCAGTGCTCGGTGCCGACCTGCCCGGATAAGGGGAGTTTTACTGTACTGTCAGTACAAATAAGGTGTGCGGTAAAGCACCACAAGCGTGCCTGGCCACCTGATGGTTGCAGTTCGAGACTGGGCAGATGAGCGACACCTAACTGTCAGTCATACAACACATACATTTTATGTAGCATACTTCATTTCACCATACCCGTTCTTATGCCGTATCATTGCTATTATCTCAGTCGCACTCACTGGGTCCCTTTTCTGGCGTAAATCAAGGCCTGGCGCTCTCACTCTACTTCATGGCACTGCATGTAGCTTTCATCTCGTCTTGGGTAACTTTCCTTGTCGTGTAAAGAGGGCTGTTGCCAAGCGGGCACATGCCTTTTGCAATCCAATTGAGCAAGGGCCACAATTACCTCTTGGTCCCTCCGAAACGACATTGTGCTGTCTCCGTTGCGTTCTGTTGTTTACTTCGCAGGCGGACATCTCCAACCTGCAGGGAATGGCTGATGAGCTAGGTTGGTTGGCTTGTGTAGCTCGAAGCTCCTTTTACTACCTATAGACACTTGGTGTGTATTGTGGGTGCTGTGTGTTTGATCTCGGGCAGTACGATCGAACCTCCAGGGCATGCTTATTTTCACAGGTATCCAGAGATGTCTGGCAACATGCTAAACGAAAGCATGTTTGCTGTCTGCAATGAGCGTTTTTTAAATCGAACACTATTCAGCCGGCTAGTGAGACTACTTTGCTGGTTTTCTAATTTCAGCAAATTCCGTATGCAGCCTCTTTGTGTACGAGAGATCTTAAGTGTACTGAGCGGTACTTATGCGGGTGTGCGTGCGTGTTTGTTCGTGTGTGTGTGTGTGTGTGTGTGTGTGTTTGTGCTTGTGTGTGCTTGTGTGTACTTGTGTGTATGTGTGTATGTGCATGTGTGTGTGTGTGTGTGTGTGTGTGTGATTGCTTTGCGTGCGTTGCGTCACATCGGTGTTACCATTCAGTTAACGACACCCTACCGCAAACCAATGGGTATGTATATATTAATTTGCCCGGATTGTTCTATCGTAGCTTTCCCCAGTCTTGTCCTGCATGGCCGTACTGGTTACAGTCGGTAGACAGAACAGAGGAAAAAGTCTGCTACTCACTTCATGCTTTCACAGTCAGCATGCAATCACTAGTGCAGGGTAGTGTGGGGGACGCGAGCATAAAAGAAATGGAATGTGTTTTGAGTGGTGCAACATTTAACTCTGATACTGAACCAGGAATAAATTTACAAGGAAAAAAACCCACAATGGAAACGAGTTATGAAGCAACTATCCACGACTGCAACACGATAATAATAAGTCAGAAAGTGCGATAGCAGGGCACAACACTGACGGGCTACTGTGACATTCAACGGGCTGAGACCTATGACTTATTATTATCTTGTTAGGCCACACCAAGTTATTTCATTGTTTCTCGTCACCTGAAAATCTCAAAAGGAACGCGGGCGGGCGGAAAAAAAACAAAATAGGGTTTGAAAAACAAAAACTGCTATTTACACTACAAAGGCCCAATTTATGACCTAAAATCAGACTATACACCACGCGTGACAGTCAATTGCAACATACAGCCAGAAAACCAGGCTCCTGCACCGGCCTCTGGTGAGGAAGTCCAGTGTTGCATGTTATTTAAATAGGAAAGAAAGCAAACCAAAGTTATTATACAAGGGGTACATAAAAGAACAGCCAAGTGCGCGCTTGTGCTAAAATTTAAAACAGAAACCTTATGGGATAAGGCATGGCATGACATGACAAGTCCAGACAATGAATACAGCAGGCTCCAATGACAATGGAGCGAACAGTCACAACGTATGAACTGCGCAGTACATGCTGCGGCGAGTCTAGCAATGTACAGCTGCATCTGTCATAGTATGGCATGACACAATAGGGAGACCAAGTCCCAAAGCAGAAAGAAGTCCAGTTCACTGGTGCTTCCTCTTCTTGCTGGATGGTGCTGTGGCTGCAGCACAGCTGGGGCCACGGGTGCGGGGCTTCTTCCCCAGAGCGGCACAGGCAGCGCAAGGCATGTGAATGGACTGATACTGCCGGGCAACATCAGCAGGTGTAGCAGCAGGTGCGTTGATGCCACACACATAGCAGACAGGACTGAAGGCCTTCTTGGCCGAGAAATAGGCCCTCTCGACATCGGCAGAGCATGTGAGGCTAGACCGCACAACCACATCTGCTGCCAGGGCATGGTCAGCTGGCAAAAGCGGAGAGCCACAAACGAAGAGGACATCCTCAGTACCGCAGGCAACGGCCACAGACTGGGACGCATCCAGGCGCTTGTTGGCGTACACACACCGTGGTTTCTGGCACTCTGAGCAAGAGATGGTCTGCCTAACCGTTTCAGATTTCAGCGCGACATTGCCCTCACGCTGCCGATCCTGCTGAGGCACGCTTGCTGTGGATGGCCGGGCATCCTCATTGGTGGCTTTCCCCCAAACCTCACGGAACGGCTTGAACGAGTCAGAGCCAGTCATCTTGGTCGGGTCAGGGAACTGATGGAGCGACTCGAAGACCCCTCGTGGCAGGGTTGGTGGAGCACACAGTTCACAGTCGTCTGCACCGCACTTCTTAAAGGGGAAGTTAAGGCAAAAATTAAAATTTCACCAGTTGTAGTCTTCGGGGTGCTGAGTCGAATGGTCGTGGTCCGAGGAAGCTGAGACGCTCCCTTCCTACTTGAATCCCAATCGAACTCGCGCACTTCCACCGAAACTAGGTGACTGCGCCCTACTAGATGGGGATTTGTATGCAAAATGTCACTAAAAGCGCCATTTCGTTCTTATAAAAGCACGGATGACCGCGATTGGCCCATATGTTGTAGTCTTTTGGACGCTGAGTCGACTGGTTTTGGTCCGAAAAGGCTGCGATGCAGCGTTCCTCCATTATTCCCAATCGAACATGGTTGAAGAAGCGGTCACGTGGTCCTGGTTGGCCAAATCGCTTGGTCACCACGCCAGCAGGTGACAACTTTCACACCAAGGTTCAACTCGAGTTCAACTCGAGTGACAGGACTGCACCCAAAAAAGGTCAAACAGGCTAGTAAGTTGTACCCTGCAGGCACGGTGACCAGGTGACTGGTGTACGCAGGAGCACGTGACAGCTTCTTCAACCATGTTCGATTGGGAATAAAGGAGGAACGCCGCATCGCAGCCTTTTCGGACCAAAACCAGTCGACTCAGCGTCCAAAAGACTACAACATATGGGCCAATCGCGGTCATCCGTGCTTTTATAAGAACGAATTGGCGCTTTTAGTGACTTTTTGCATACAAATCCCCATCTAGTAGGGCGCAGTCACCCAGTTTCGGTGGAAGTGCGCGAGTTCGATTGGGATTCAAGTAGGAAGGGAGCGTCTCAGCTTCCTCGGACCACGACCATTCGACTCAGCACCCCGAAGACTACAACTGGTGAAATTTTAATTTTTGCCTTAACTTCCCCTTTAATGGCAAAGAAGTAGTGCCGCTTCACACAGCAGTGGTCAATGAAAGCGTTGAACTTGTCTTTTGACTTGATCAGCTGCTGTGTTGTGTCGGAGCGGGACAGGGTCGGGTCGATGGTGTGCATCTCTTGCCACAGCTCATCAATGTCGGCATCCGATGCAGGTGGAAACACCTTGAAAGGCTCATCCTTCAGCTGCAGCCTGGAGATGCGTTCCTCCAAGAGGGCGATAGGAGCATCCATTGATGCTTGCAGCGCTGCTCTTACGTCTGCTGCCTCAGCTACCTGTCGGACTTCTGCCATCGAGTTGGCCTTCTTCAGCCGATCTTCCGCCTCTGGTGTCATTTCAGCCCGCATAACACCGACAGATTGGAACGCCAAGTTGATGAGGGACATGATCCGCTCGACCGGATTGCAGTAGGACTGCATCGGTGCAGTTCTCATTGCCACCAGGTAATCCAGGTTGAGGGACCTGAACAGGCAAATGAGGGAAGCCTGGACAGATACGTATGTCACACGGTGATCTGGACCCCCATCTGTGTAGAGGAGCAAGATCGGCTTCAGGACAGTATTGACGCCACCAGCCTTCAGCACATGCTTCAGTTCTGCGCCATGCCGGAGCGGAGATGATGGCGCAAATGCGGTGTTCTTCAGGCCGACATAGACTGTGCCACGGTAGAATGACTCCTCAATCGTGTCGGGAATGTCGCACAGTAGCGCAACCGACGGCGTGATCTTGAGCTTGGTGAAATCATGATCAGCAACCTGAAACTGGACATCCTTTCCCACGACCACCATTCGGCCCCGGTCAACGGCGGCAACCGGGAATCCAGGCTCCCCCACTTTAACGAGGTGCTTATCATCCAAGGACACCAAGGTCGCGTACTTGGCGTAGTCCACAGCAAATTCCCGCAAGTACCGGAATGCAGCAGCGGCATAGTGGGCGTCTGGATGGGAGTGGTGCAGATGACGAGACTGGACCATGTGCTTTACGTCAAGGCGTCCGGAGTAGTTCTCTGCAACCTTGTTGTAGGCATTACTCGGCCAGAACTGTAGGCGCACCCATTCGACAGATGGGATTGGGGTATCCCCGGGGAGGCGCTTGCGGACTTGTTCTACAAAGTCTCGGACTGATATAGCGGCAGCCATATGGGTGACAGCACCATGGCGACGGCTATCGGCAGCATTAAGCGACTGCTCATTCAAGAACGCCTTTGCGCCATCCCAGAACTGCTGGTACTTCTCCGGCCTGCCGTTGTTACAACTCCCCCGTAGGTCATATACCAGCTCCGGGTCTTGGGCATCCAGGGCCAGTCTAAGTCGGTCAGCAACAGCGTTCGTGTCAGCAGTGGGGAGCCGGCTGTGATCTCCCGTCAGCTCACGGTACATCTCGCTGAGGATCGTTGGAGACACTTTGGCCAGTAGCCCGTAGCGCTGAACAAACATGCGGCGCATGGCTCGGGTGTGGTGCTCATGGCAGTTCGCCTTCAATGACTCAACGGTTTTCATGGACTTGTCGGCGTCACGATCTGCTGCCTCCGTAGGCACCTTCCAGCACCAAGTCAACGTCACCAGGTTCCCGCCTTGGTTGTAGCTGAGTATCTCCACTGTGAATGGCAGCTGGATTTCATGCAGGTACACAAACCTACTCTGGCGGTTGACTGGGGCTATGTGAGTCACACAGACAGGCTCATAGTCAGATTGGGCTTGCAACTCCTTCTCGAGGTCTGCATACCGTGCAATGATCTTGGCATCTGTGCACACCTTTCCATCAACAACAGAAACCCTCAGCGAGGATCCGTCACCCGGTGAACAAGCTGGCTCCAGTCGTTCGTTGGTTGCGTTTGCACGCTCCGCAGCAGCACTGAGGTAGACAGAGTACTTCTGAAGGCCATCAGCCAGTAGTTTCACACAGTCAACTACTTTGCTCCAATGCTTGCTGCCAGCCCAGGGGTAACACAGAGCGCCAAACAAACTGCTAGCCATAGACTGGACTTCACGCTGGCCGAGTGATGGCAGTTTGTTGTGTTTGTGGGATGTTGGGTCGTTGTAAACATCGCCCTTTTCCACCAGACTGCTGAACAACTTAGGAATATGCACTCCACGATCGCTCAGTGTCTTCACACGACTTCCAGGGCAAACTTGGAAGAGCACATTCGTCAAGGCGTCAAGAAATATCGCTCCAGATGTTTTCTCTTCGCCAAATTTCCACCCTACACCTTTGGCTTGCAGAAGATCGATCAGGTCATTACGGAGAGCCCAGTCTCCACGCAATTTCCCGGCACTCCGCGCCTCAGCTGATCCACGATAGTCAGGTAGCGCCAACTTTTCGGCGGAGTTCATCAAGAGTGCAAACGCATTCGCCGGCTTCGGCGCTGCTTCGACCTTTTCCGTATTCACAGAGAAGCGGACGAAATATCCGAAACGAGTACAAGTTGCTACAACTGGCATAGCTTTCTGAACCGTCATGACTGCAGAGCTGCGGGCAGGTTCCTTTTGAACAGTCACGGTCAAGGATGAGAATACGGACGGATCAGGTAAGGGTCGATTGAATACAACACCACTATCGGCAGACAACAGCTTTTCAAAAATTTGAGAGAAGGACAAGCCTTCGTCAACAAGTTGAGCGTTCCAAGAAAGTATCTCTCTGCTATCCACAGTCACAGCGAAGCTGACTATTTCAGATGCCATCGTCGCCCACGACGAGATGAACTGATAAAGAACTCAAGGAATCACGGCAACTTAACAGTGCTTGTAGTCCGCAATGCCGCAAGTTTACCGATGCCCGGAACACTGTCAGTCCAAAACGGTGCACTGTCATGCACTGTCTTGACTTGTACCGGAACTGTGTGTAGCAAAGAAGACGACCAGGTCGTGTGGTGGTGTGGTACTTGAACTACCGGTATGCGTACATACACGGTGCAAAAGTCGTCCTTCGGTTCGTGCACTAGCACTGCACTCCAGATTTGACGCCGCGCGTACTTTTACAACGCCTTTTTATGCGTGTTTACCGGGACGCGAGATTTTTTTTTTTGGTCCAATCCTCAAGAAAGGTACGCGCGCGGTGACGAGAAACAATGAAAAAACTTGGTGTGGCCTTACGGTCATGGATAGTTGCTTCATAACTCGTTTCCATTGTGTTTTTCTTCTCCTTTTGCGTTTTGAGTGGTAATTGGCTTTTCCTCCCTTCTTTCTTCGAGGTGACCTGGCTCTACCTATAGGCATTTAGCACTGTTTGGCCTGTCAGCCCTAGTGCTTGTTTTATATTATTCAGATCATACATTTGTACTGAGTACTGCCCCCCCCCTCCCCTGAACATTCGACTGAAGCTCTTTCATTCTGCCACTCTTCTTTCTGTTCTTGCTCTTGACAGCATCCAGCCAGCAACTGGCGTGCGTAAGCATCATCGCCTCAGCGCATCCTCCTCGTCCTCCTCTGAGAATAACAGCAGCGACAGTGACAGCGATAGCAGTGACAGCAGCTCGGATTCGGACAGCAGTAGCGATAACAACTCCAGCAGCTCGGACAGCGAGGCTGAAGCTGAGAACAGTAATGCGTCTATAGCGGCACCGCGGGATGTATGTACTAAGGAAGTCGTCGCCGGAGCTGAGGAGGAACCGCCACCGCTAACCGCTGCCGTTGCGCCATGCCCCAAACCTGTTCTACCGCAACCGCCAAAGCCAGTAGCCATTGTTCCACCTCGACAATCCACGTCATCTGCTCCAGAAACGGACTCCGTTGCTGCCGACGATGAAAAGGATGCAGAAGAGCATGGCACCAAAGAGCTTCCAGTACCGGTGACTGTTGCTGCTGGTGGCGGTAGCCGCCCTGTTAGCATTGCTTCTGCCATCGCTTCTCACCGTCTGAGCGAGTCGTCAGAGCACCTCTCCCCGTTGCTGTCGCATGCTGCCGAGGAGCATCTGTCACTGGAGCTGGCCTGTGGTGAGATGAGTCCGATGTCAATGAACTTCGCCGGCCACGCTCAGAGCAATCCGCTTTCGCTCGAGCTCAAGGATGGGCCAGCTAGTGGTGATCTCTCGCTGCAAGTGAAGAGTGATGCCGGCGGCGGCGGGGGCGGTGGTAGTGACGATCCTCTGGGCTTAGATCTTGGCCCGGTCTTGCCCGGCCTTGGCAAAGATGACCCGTTGTCCCTGGAAATGGATGACTTCATCCGTGAGCCTCTTTCTCTGGAGGCCGATGCTGACGTCACTGCCGCTGCTGCTTCCATGCATATTCCAATCACCAGTAGTGGCAAGCTGGCTGCCATGAGGAACTCTCGCGACAGCATTCACGACGAGCTTCTGGAGTCGGCCAATGAACTTCCGGACTTGGCCAAGACGCATAACCTGGATGATCTGTCCGAGTCTCTCACGTTTTGTGCTGATGGCTCCTCCGCTGCTGTGTCACCTGAACACCACCAGTCTGATCTCCTCACTGCCGACCAGGCAACGGTTAAGGATGTGCCACCGCCACTCGATGCCAGGAAGTCGGCGCAAGCCGTCGATAAGGAGAAAGCAGACCAGCCGGCCAGCAGTTTCCCACCCCAATGTTCACCGCGAAATTCCGCCGCGGACGTGCGCGACAATTCTGTTGATCCGCACAGCGTGCTTGATAAGGCAACACCGACGTCAAAGGCTGACTCACACACTGCACTATTCACGTCTTCTACACAGCCGCACCCTGTAGCGAAACCTGCTGAAGAAGAGGCAAGGGAGCCAGCCGTGGAATCCTCCACTAGCAAGGATCACCAGTCAACAGCTTCTAGCAGCTTAGCAGGTATGGGTAAATCAGAATCGGCTGGCAGTCCATCTCAGGCCAAGTCTGGCATCCACCCCTCGACAGCAAGTCCTTCTCACAAGGCCAAGGCGGATAGCTCTGCAGCGGGAAATGCACTTAGCACGCCTGCGGGTAAGCAGGGTTCAACAACGGCAGCCTCTAGTATTTCTGCTGAGTCAGCAGAACCTGCCTCGGTGCCCAGCACCAAAGTAGTCAACGATCATCTTATCATGAAGAGCACGAAGCGGAAACGCAGCGAGTCCTTGGCCAGCTCGGAGGACGGTGGCATGCCTGGTGAAGCCAAGCAGCTGTGCACAGCGCCGAGCGTAGCAGCAACATCAGCTCCTCCGCCTGAGCGTGCAAGTGAACGCCCAGATTCGCGGCCTGAGCCGGATGCACCGGCTCACAAGCAAGCGGACGCGGCGCCAGACCCCAAGCTTGCCGACCGTCCAGTTGATTCCCCTGACCAGGAGGTCACCAGCACAGTAAAAGCACTACCAGAGAATTTAGACTCTGCTAACACCAGCATCGGTAGCAGTAGTGGCAATAGCAGCGGTCGACATAGCCCTGAGAAACGTTCTAGGTCGTCGCAGCAGCAGCATCGTTCGCCATCTCCATCGGCCAGCAGGAGCCAAGCGTCGTCACCTACTAACCGACACTCACCCAAGCGTGCTCACACCCGCGGCCGTTCCCGATCACCAGGTAGATCCTGGACGCCCAACATCTCCCGTACGCCACCGCCCTCACACTCTCCAGGACGGTCGCGATCACCTCGTGGCAGCAGCTCGCGCAAGCGCATGTCCCACTCGCCGCACACGTACTCGCGCACTAGAAGGTCGTACTCCCCGCGCCAAGACCGTGATCGCGAGCACCACCGGGCTCACGACAAGCGTGCCCGGAGTCCTCTTCGCAGTGGTGATAGAGAGCGTGACCGTGACAGGGACATGCGCCGTCATGCCATTGATCGCGATAGGGTAAGTGCTGCCTTTGTTGTGTGTGTGGGGGGGGGGGGGGGGTGCTCTACGAATTCCGACTACTACAGTTGTGCTCTGTGAAATCCGACCCACACTGCATACTTGTCACCCTCAACTTGCACGGCCCTTGACACCCTGGAACTGGTACGAATACGGCTGGACGTACACACGTACAAGTGCAGGGATGTAGTCGGAACTGGTCCAGAGCGCCAGTTTTACACTTCGGTCGGATTTCAGTGAGCGCAACTGTAGTGCAGCCTGAAAATTTAGCCGGTGACTAATTTCGGCCAACTCCAAAGAAATGGAGTTCGTCCGGTTGAACATTTAGTCCATGGGCCATATTATGATGTCTGTCGTATTGACAAGCTAGACAAATTGACGTTAGTCCGGCATTTAATTTAGTCCGAAAACTCCTTGGACAAAAAGACGAAACTAAATTCCAGACGAATATTTCGAAATTTTTATTTCGAACCCGGGTTCGGAATACCAATTTCATCTCCTCACACAGAAGCCTGCACTTCCAACCAGTGTGGACCTGCTGATAGATTCACCCTGACATGTTCTGATACTGTGGGAATTACTGACATGATTACATGAAGCAACATATGAAGGTACATGTACATGACATGTACGTATGCATGATCGATAATACATGAAAAAAATTCGCTCGAGCCCGAGGCGAATAAGCCCGGGCTTATTTTCCTCAAAAAAATAAAAAATCGATAATACATGTACATGTACCCAGAATTTTTTCTCTTCGGTTTTAAACAAATCTTAGGGGGTGACCTGAGCCAGAGTTGGTCCGGTGACAACCGGACCAGTTACGGCGGCCCTGCTTTGTTAGAGAACGCCTTGTTTGGCTACTTCGAGGGGCCATAACCCCTCCAAAGTGCCCAAAGACATACCGTGAAAGTCCGTAAATAAGTACCTGCCCGAAAGAAATACCCCCTTCATTCTTTAGGCTCTGTCTGTTGAAGTCAAGTCAAGCCCGATAAACATACTGCCCGAAATAAGTACCGGTACGGTGCGCACATGTAGCACGTAGCATGTACATCGACAGGAAAATGACTTCTCCACTACACACAAGTCAGGTCCGAAAGTTAGTTCGTGCCCGAAAGTCAGTACCCGTCCGAAAGTTAGTACGGGTGTGGTCACTAAATTCGAAAGTAAATACATACTTATTTACGGACTTTTACGGTACCCTAATACTAGGGTACTAGGGTTTATCGGGTGTTAGCGGCCGTCGTGAGTTCCCTTTGGGAACGGATACGATAATTTACTTTTTTTTTTAATACGAAGATTGATTTTCTCATTCTGGACGCCCCTAGCATTGCAAAAAAGGTGTCAAACTGGTGAATTTTCGGGAAAGTATTTCGGCATGAACTACCTTTTAAAATATACAGTAGTTTGCAGGAATCTTTCGTCATGGCACCATTATTTCACTTTCTCGACTCCAAACGACTTGTTCTTGTTGCATGCCAGTGTTTCCTGCATTGCTGTATGATGTTCCTCTTCATTCTCTCCCCGTGTGAACTATGTATGCAGGACTATGAGCGAGATGAGCGTGACCGTGATCGAGATCGTTACGACCGCGAGCGCCACGACCGCCCTGGCGGCAGGTACGACAGAGATCGGGAGCGCGACCGTGACGATCGCGAGCGCGATCGCGACCGATACGACAACAGCGACCAGAGGGAGGCGGATAGAAAACGCCACGCCGCACTGGAAAGCAATCAGAAGGCACCAGCTGAGCACGGTGGCGAGCGAATCACCGGCGCCCCCACCGCCTATCCAACTAGCAGTGTAACCACCGGGGATGATGCGAAGACCCTACAGGTTTGCACGCACACTCGCACGCCTGGTTTACTAAGCATTGCCACGCGCCAGCGGCGACTTCAGAGCTTCAGAGACTGGCTGGCCGAGGCGAAGCGTCTGAAGCACAAAGGGGACAACGTCAACATCCGCAACATGCGAGCAGGCACCTATGTGGAGTCTGCCATCTGCTTCATCAAAGCTGGACTCTTGTTGGAATCTGTGGATAGCAGCGATGACAAAAACCGGCCCGTCAGGATCTACACCGATACATTACAGCTTCTTCAGTGAGTGTTCATCATCATCATGTTATTAAAAGCATGTCCGCGTAGGTGGCGGGGTGCCACTTCCGCTTATGCCATTCAGGATTAATGTCTGAAGAGTAGGGGTGAAACGAGTATCTACTTTGACCAATCGATCACTCGTTCATAATATTCGATCGAGTATCCGATTATTTCGAGTATTTTATCAAAATTCAAAAGCGCTAGATTTGTGAGGTCTCGACCAATTCGGAAGAAATTATCTGTCAACTTAGAACAAAAGTCGCCAACGTCTTGTACAGAGTGTAAAGTAACGATTTTCATCAGTACTTTCATATCTCAGAACGTGAACTAATGTTAATTGCCGTGGTGATCACATCGTCCAAGTCATAAAATACTGACTCAAAGGCATGCGTTATGCATGCACACAGTGGACGAGCGGTACAACAAAAGTTTTTGAAAAATAGAATGCCAATATGTATACTAAAAAAACAAAAACAAAAACAAAACGATCAAGTACAAAATTTCGAATACTCGCTCGTTTGAAAATTTCGAACGAATACTCGAATATTCGAACTAATCGTTTCACCCCTACTGAAGAGTAATACACTACAATCAAATGAAATGACAGAAATGAACGGCAACGAAAGCCAGTAGCAACAATGCCAATAGGACTAATATTATTATTTATTATTTGCATGTTCGCGTTGGAGTCGATCAATGATGCGCACTTCCGCTTATGCTGAAAAGAGGAAGAGACGCTGCATCAAGTGGTGTCAGGCAGAGGTGTTGAACAAAAACAAAAACAAAGAGAAGCGTATGTGCTTAGGGGTCCAAGGTTGCCAATAATATTTTCAAAACGAAAAGTTTTCGTTTGGGGTGGGAGGGTTTGATGGAGTTTCGTTTTGAAAGCAATTGTTGAATGCAGATGGAGAATGCCCAGTTACTTCTGGGTGTCAAAAATTGACATCAAGATTTAGATTTTATTGGAATTCGTTTTACCTGCAGAAAAGGTGGGTGGGTGGGGGTTGAAAAACACTAAAACTTTTCGTTTTGTACAAACAATCGATAACCCCGGACGGCCCCTTAGATGGTGAAGCTATACTGTACTCTGCCTACTATGATAGCTAAAACACATGAACAGGACTCATGGAAAACTTAATCGAAAGTGTAAAATAGAATATACGTACAACTTGTCTGGCGGAATCACGTGAATCATGAGAATCAGTCCTGTTAGGTGTGGCGGGCTCCATGCCATGTCTGGCGGTCCGCAGCCATTGTACGCCATCAGCCAGTAGTAATCCATGTACATATTATACAGTCATGTGTGACTGTTAGTGGTGATACTATCACTAGTATCAGTGCATCTTGTTCATGCATGCATGTACAGCCATGTGTTAGCGATGATGCCATCAGTACATCTTGTTCATACATGCATGTACAGTCATGTGTGTTAGTGGTGATGCTGTCAGTGCCTCTCATCCATGCAAGACGTAATACATGTATGTTGTCTCCGACGAATTGATGTGGCAACACTGTGTCTCGTGCAATATGTGCTAGTACCATGATCTGCTGTGTATGAGTGCACTTGTCTTGGGCGTTGGCGTGCACGTTCGGTTCTGTTTGCCCTTGTGGAACACACTCTATTCTTTTTGTCTTCGTTATTCCAGTTTCCTGAATCTAGTTCCCGAGCCATCAAAGAAGGGTATGGGTGTCTGGAAATCGTCCAAGGAGCTCGGCGCGATCGTGTAAGTGATGTAACTACGACTGTCTGTGTGATGGCATTTTTACTACGCTACGTGTACAGATGATGAAGTTGGTTGCTCCAGCGAGGAACACACGCTTCCTGCCGAACTTGACTGATGCGCGTGTGTGTGTGTGTGCATGTATGTGCAGGTTTCGCTGTCAGTCTGTTCTCTCGTTTCACTGCATGATGCTTCTAGAAGACAAGATGCTACGCCACCACAAGGTAGGGCTGGAGACCAGCAACTTGCAGCTGCATGTACAGCTCTGTACAGTTTTGTGCAGCCTTGGCTAGTGAAATCCAACTCGTAGCAAACTGGTGTATTTTTAGCACCTGGATGGACCATTGTGGCCCATTATTGAAGTGATTGAGCACATTTTGGGTATTCCACGAAAGAGCTAGAGAGATGGCGGCTTTTAGCATGTAGCAGATGAACTGTCTCGTGCGTTGCATGCTCTCTTGTGCTAGTTCTCTTATGCCACTTCCCCCACGTCTTTATTGGCTGTATTACACTGGAGACTAGTTCATGACATTTGCTCCGAGTGTACTGTCTTTTGAAGAACTTCTTCCATCGTGCCTGAAGCTGTCAAAAATGCTTATTTTTCTGGGCGAGTTTCCTCCGTTTAATTGTTAAATCTGACACGTGTTAATACCTAGTTGTGCTGATTGTTTTGCATGGTGTTTATCTTGTGCTGTATGTGTGTGTGTAGGTGTTGAACGACTCCCTTGCTCAGGTGGGAAAGGTACGGGTCTACACAGTCTGTATTGCTCTGTCTCTCTCTCTCTCTCTCTCTCTCTCTCTCTCTCTCTCTCTCTCTCTCTCTCTCTCTCTCTCTCTCTCTCTCTCTCTCTCTCTCTCTCTCTCTCTCTCTCTCTCTCTCTCTCTCTCGCTCGCTCGCTCGCTCGCTCGCTCTCTCTCTCTCTCTCTCTCTCTCTCTCGCTCTCTCTCTCTCTCGCTCTCTCTCGCTCGCTCTCTCTCTCTCTCTCTCTCTCTCTCTCTCTCTCTTGCTCTCTCTCGCTCTCTCTCGCTCTCTCTTTCTCTCTCTCTCGCTCTCTCTTTCTCTCTCTCTCTCTCGCGCTCTCTCTCTCTCTCTCTCTCTCGCTCTCGCTCTCTCTCTCGCTCTCTCTCTCTCTCTCTCTCTCGCTCTCTCTCTCTCTCTCTCTCTCTCTCTCTCTCTCTCTCTCTCTCTCTCTCTCTCTCTCTCTCTCTCTCTCTCTCTCTCTCGTGTCTGGTATTAGCTGCAGCGTCAGCTGTACCGCCCAGATTCTACTGCTGGCATGTTAATCGAACTGTGTACTTGAGGTACAGTAAAACCTGTAACTAGCGACCACCCCTTGGGGCCAGAAAAAGCGGTCTTTAGTGGCAGGTGGTCTTTAGTTAGAGGTTTGTACCACGCGACCGTATACAATGTACGGACCCCTTCTATGATATGTATGTCAAAATGAAGCTAACACAATTCCCACAACTTGCACAGTGCCATTTCTCCTTTGAACAGTGACATCGATCAGAGAGCAGGTTCGACCCTCTCTCCAAAACGTTTCATGTTTTCTCACGACAGCACTTGAAACTACGACAGGTGCAGTGCAGCCCACAGTCAAAATGAGCCTGCCGTCATTTGTTCAGCTGTAGTATCGAAAGAGTCTATTCAGGACCATGGAAAATCATCAAAATTTCAAAGAAGGAGCTTCAAACAGCCGTTGATTTCCTACATCGCGGTCGCTAGTTGCGGGTCGAAAATCGACATTGGGACAAGAAAGGTGGTCGCTGGTCACGTTCAGCAGGTAGTTGCAAGTCACAGTGCATTTTGAATGTGAGATCGTCCGTGCCTGGCAAAGTGGTCGGTAGTAGCAGGCTGGTCGCCAGTCACGGTGATCTTTAGTTACAGGTTTTACTGTATCTGAAACAACTCGTTTCTAGCGAATAAGAAGTACATTGTCTGTGCGTTAGAGGTGTGAAGTGTTGAGAAGTATTGAGAGTTTCCCCATCACCTTACCAAAAATCAAGAAACAGACTGCGTGAGTATGGTCTTCGAGTGGGTATATATTATCTGACGGCTGCTGTATCTGCTTGTGTTTGCTCTTCTCCCTCCTGGATTCTTCTTGCAGAACCAGCCAGCAGCCTCGCAAGCCTTCTCGCCTTTCACCCAGAACAAGTATGTACACTGTGCAGTGTACGATGTGGAGTGGTCGGTCTTGCTATTCAAGCATTGAGCTGATTTGCCTACGTGGCTTTGCACATCTTTTGTATTGCATTGCCCTAGTTGATTTCGCTGTTCTTTTTGTTGGTGTTTCTTGAATCAATGTTGCAGCTCTCCGGCACTGTCTCCCGGGGTTTCATCACTTCCAGCCAGCCAGGACTCCGGCGTGTCCGGACTGTCGGTTTCAGCCAGTGGCTCGCAGGTTCCAAGCCCTGACGGTATGTGATGGTGGACAGGTTTACTGTGCGACGGTCGGTGTGTGTATGTGTGTGTGTACGCGTGTGTGTGTACGCGCTAGCGTGTATGTGGTTGCTGGTGGGGGGGGGGGGTGTGTGGCTGTTGACTGAACATCACAACCATAGCGATAATGCCCACGAAGCTCCATGGAGTATTGCAATTGATACTGACAAACCCAACGACAACAATATCTTGACAGCAGCTGCCAGATTCTGGGTAATGTCTGGTGTGTTGAGGGTAGTGTCCGCACTGCTTGGGAGCTGCCATACATGTATGCATGTGATTATTGTTTTCAATTTACCACTGGACGACAGATTCTGTTCATGTTGCATGTTCATGTCGAGTGTCTCCCTTGTATCTCGTGGCTATGCGTACTACAGCTGTAGTAGCTGCCCAGGCGCGTGCGCCGGTGCCCTTCAAGGGGGGGGGGGTCCAGGGGCCTCCCCCGGGAAATTTTTCAAAAAATGAAGCAAAATCCTGCATTTTGAGCGAAAAGGGGGGGGGGGGGGTTCCGGGCACCCAGGAACCCATACGGGGCACGCGCCTGCTGCCCCTGTGTCCCAGTGAAGACCACTGCCTTTGTAGTGCCAGTGTAGGAACCTGTGGCTCTTCAGAGTAGTTTTCTCTTGAGTTTCTCCCATCGGCGTGGCAACCGGCAATGTTCTGTGGCTTACAAGCCAGCCTGTTTTCAAGCATGCACCGTGTGCAGATGTGCAAGTGGATAATTGAATGGCGCCTGCCAGTAATCATTAGTAGAGGCATGACATTGTGATTTTCATGCATGTGTCGTGTGTCGGTCTCCAGAGAAATCCTTTACCGGCGGTCTGCAAAACCAGCCGCGCATAGTGCAGGAAGGTGTGGCGCTCTGCCATGATATGAAGCTGAGTCTAAACATGTTACGCTGCTGGAGACGGAGTGAGGAGCTCATCGCCGACTGTGCTGGTGAGGCTGATTCTCTTGTTCAACTTCTTGTTGCTTTGCCAAGGCCATGTATTTCTTGGGGGGGGGGGGGGGGGGGCATTCACTCCTCCATTGTTTTCTTCTGACAATAGAGTGTGTTTTGTATTCATCACACTGCGCTGTTGAAATGAGTGGTCACTGGTGATCCGCGCCCTGTGCAGTACTTCTGAATGTTTCGTAGCGCGACCGGAATGTATGCTGTTTCCAGTTCACTTGAAATGTCCATTGTGTGTGTGTGTGCGTGTGTGCGTGTGTTGCTCTGCTACAACCACTAGGTTTTTTCGATGGCCTTGAGCAAGATTCCTACAAGATTTCACTTTCAAGGTAAGAATAGAACATCACGTGTAGCGTTCAGTGCTTGTATATCTATACTCACATGCTTGTATATCTATACTCACATGCTTGTATATCTATACTCACACTGATGGTAGATGCACGTTCACATAACAATCGCCAAATGTTCTTTCCCACCAGTAGCAGATATTCACCATAATTGCAGAGGCAGTATGCTTAGGTTCTGCGAAAGTGCTCAATACCTGATTCAGGCAGAGCGGCGTACACAAAGGCACACAATGAAAACCTTGGGCAAATTCCGTTGTGACTCGGAGTTTCATGGCTGAATCAATCATCTGACGACGATGGTAGAATAGGAGGCAGTGCTGGTATATCTAAGTGGAGAGAAGTGTGATAATGAGTGGAGAGAAGCGTGATAATACGATAGCAGGAGAAGTAATCACCACAAGTATTCTTCCCTTCGCTGGCTTTAGCATCGCCACAACGCCATAGTGACAGGATTGAGAGTTCACGATAGTGAGCGATAAAGTTAGCACCGCCGGTTTTTCACGTATTCAACATGGCCGGATACTGTACACACCCTACTAGCCGGAAATGATCTCTTGAATTCTTCCGAATACAATAAATAAACTCTATCCAAAGTTTCAGGCCAGGCCCATCTTCGTTGCAGCCGAGAGACCGTTTTTGGGTGGTGGTGTATAATTTTGTGGAACATGGAGTGCAGCTGAGCACTGACGTATTCAGTCGACTTAGCGGAAAGCGGCCCTCAGTCGGGCATGGGGCTAGCGTTGCTATTCACGAATTGTCGTAATTCACGAGGTGAACTAACACTATACAGTCAAGTGGTTATTTGGTCTGAAGGTACTTCAGTAGTGTTATCTGTGGATTGTTCTTATAACCAAGATTGTTCTTGTAACCAAGATTGTTATTGCTCACCATTGTCTGTATTTTCAGGTCAGGCTTCAAATAACCATGGCTGTGTGCCGAGCAGCTCTATGAAATCCTGTGCCATATTTTTGTTTTGTTTGTATGCGTAATGGTGTGGTTGAGCCTGGAATGTGCTTTGTTTCTCTGCTACTGTTGTCCTCACAGTCCTCTCTTGCCAACATTGGAGTGGGCATACCTGGGTGTTCGCCGTCTGCTGCGCCCAGCAAAGTCTTCATGATTGCGTCAGGCTTACGGTAACCTGTTGGTGATGTTGATCTGCCAGGGGTACTGTGCTGGGGATCTGCCAGGGGTACTGTGCTGGGGATCTGCCAGGGGTACTGTGCTGGGGATCTGCCAGGGGTACTGTGCTGGGGATCTGCCAGGGGTACTGTGCTGGGGATCTGCCAGGGGTACTGTGCTGGGGATCTGCCAGGGGTACTGTCTACGTACCTGCTGGCTCTTACATTGTATGTTTGGCTCTATCACACTGTCACACGCTCATGCTCTTCACTGCTTCACTTAGCCTGTATTGTGCGCAGCCATGCCGTTGCATCATTTTGGTCACCTTGCTCTGTGTGTGTGTGTGTGTGTGTGTATGTGTGTGTGTATGTGTGTGTGTGTGTGCACGTGTGCATGTCTGAGAGAGAGAAAGAGGGAGATTTGTTTACTAGTATCACGATTAAACACTGGGGTCCTCAACTCTCTAGTTGTCATCAAGTCCTATTTTGTACAGTTTTTTGCCGCAATTCATACTTTCATACTTTAAAAAAGGTTCCACCACTCTTAGTTTTTAGGTTATCTCCCACTTTTCTCCAGCGTGTGTTGATGAATGTTCTCTGCCTTTGAGATGCTAATCATATTGACAAAAGTTATAAACAGTATCATCGGCTCTGCTCCCGAGCAGCATTCAATCAGATCATGTTGCAAGGTGCATTTTTTGCTGCAGAGTTTTAGCAGTTTCCATTGGTTCCTTCTGCATGTTTCAACATCTTTTTCTCCGTGTATTCTCTCCATTCTCCGGCAGGATTCTTTTTTTATCTTGGCAGCATTATTATAACCATTTTCATCTCTCTCTCCTTTTTTGAAATTCCCGATTTTAGCTGAGTGTTTTTTTGTTGTGGCCAGCACCATAACCTCCTTTTACCACTAGCAGGATTCCTTTCCATGTAGTGCGCTCAGCGGCAGCCTTGGTAGCACAGCAAGGAGTGTCTCCATTCCTTCCACTGCAACCTAGACAGCGGCGCATCAGCATCTGGGTGCGTGTTACGTCGTCGGCCGATGGCCGCCCGCAGCGTGCTCTTCACCAGCCAATGTCAATGCTCTGCGTTCCCAGTTTTAATCGTCTTTTAATTGGAGTTGGCTTGTTTTCCCATGCTTCTCACTTCCTGCACTCGCCTTTTCACCACTTTCCATGCACAGCTCTTGCTTCTACTGATTTTATGGCTCTCTTTTTTCTGCCGCTGCTGCTTGCTGCTGCCGCCGCACACCAACATGACGTATGAGTGAGGAAATGATGAGCATTATCCCGGTGCCGACCTGCCGTCTCCCATGCTACGTTCTGCGATGTGTGGGTGTGTGGTGTGTGTGTGTGTGTGTGTGTGTGCCCATCGTTTGGGGATTTCGGGGAGTGTCGGCCGTTGGGCGGTTCAATAGCCAATTGAGTCATTTTTCCCAGATTCCTTTTGAGTCTCTCTCCCCCATCCCAAGGGGAGACCCACGTGACCAGTTTTGGCAGCGAGCAAGTACAAGTGTGTGTGTGTGTGTGTGGTCTGATTTTGCAACCCACTCGTGCCGTATCAAGTATCTACCTTCACTAGATAGGGCAACTGCTGTTGTCTCCCGGGATAGGGGTTGTGTATAAGCAAGCTCTCAGCTATGCCATGTATGCCATCAACAGTTATGTAAGTATACAACTAGTCAGTCTTGTGATAGCATCAAAACAGTAGAACATGCCAGAGTTCAAACACCTATGAGGTGGGGCTGAAACGAATGCACAATGAAGCGAACGAATATTCTTTTTTCCGATTACGTGTGAAACGAAGAATATTCCGAATATTCTAAACCATACAATAGCCATGATAACTAGTTGTATCCATGGTAACCATAGACCATCAACTGGTGTGTATATACCCCAATTACAGGAGAGATATTTGAAAAGGACAATGTTATCATTTGTCTTGCTGATGACAACACATAAAAGGTGGCAATCTTACCCACTTTCTACACCAAATAAACCTGTTAGATATCAAAAAGGCGAGTTTCTGTACATTTACGAACATTCTTATTCTACTCTAATGAAGAATATTCTTTTTCCGATCTGCATATTTCGAATATTCGAATAATTCGAATTTTCTTTTCAGCCCCACTATGAGGACACCTAGAATTAATTCGTTGTTTCGGGTCACTTCACTCATCCGTTCCCCGGCCGTACCAGGGTCTGTCGGTCGGGTACATTTTATTATTTTATTTAATACAAGTAGGAGTATAATAGATGCAGACATGGCCAGACAACAACGAGTTCATGGAATTTTTAAGGATTTTTATGCTATTCAAAATCGATTTTCGTGTTCCGCTCATCAGTGAATAGTATCGGAACTGAGGGTACTGTGTACAAAAATAGAACATTTTATAACAGCATAATTAAAAGTGTGAACAAAAAAGGAAGTTTAATAATAGCAATGAAAAGTATGAATGCCGCAGACATCACCACGCAACATGACAATTTGTTCAAGGTTTGGTTTTGTGTGTTTCCAAAATCGATTTTCACGTTGCGATCATCAGTGGAAATACGCAACTAATCGACCGCCAATTATTCAACCGAAATATATGCTAGGAATGGCCAAGGCCCACGCGGAGCATCGAAGGAGACCGGAAGCCGGGGGCAAAACGGAACACAATCTCGGGACGTAGATGAGGTAAGGACAGTGGCACGGGACAGACGTAGGAAGGAGAACATGGATGGTATCAGACGACTGACTGGTGGTGAATATGAGTTGGGTGATGATGCGGCGGATGACGAGAATACAGATGACGACGAGGCGGATGACGGCGAGGATACAGATGACGACGAGGCGGGTGATGACGAGGCGGCGGATGAAGACGAGGCGGATGACGGTGAGACGGCTGGTGGTGATGGTGATAAAACGGACGAGGAGGAGTCAGGTGGCAGGGAAGGTGATGGAGCTGATGAGGGTGAAATTCGTAAGAAGTCAGCTGTGTATTTGCATTTGTTATCTCGTCCCGATTGTTTGAGTGTGTATGATGATTCCCACTTCTCTGTACTGTGTCTTGCCCGTTATGTCCAGCAGTTGAAGGTCCTTGAAGCTGTTTGTATTCGTACGCATAAGCCCGATTTGTGTAAGCAAAAAGAACATGTTTTAGCACTTAGGTTATTTTCGTGAGTTTGCACCCCGTGTTCATGAGTTGTTTCTGCACTGTTCATGCCCGTTTGTCACACTTACTCTTTATTTTAGTTCTCACTTTTTGTAATACTTACCACAAGTTACCCGTCATGTGTCACACTTCTTTGGATTTTTAACCTTTGTTTTTCCCTTGATCTCTTTAGTTGCGTATTTCCACTGATGATCGCAACGTGAAAATCGATTTTGGAAACACACAAAACCAAACCTTGAACAAATTGTCATGTTGCGTGGTGATGTCTGCGGCATTCATACTTTTCATTGCTATTATTAAACTTTTATCTCCACGTAGATTATTTGTAAAAAAGGAAGTGCTACAGCATTACATAATAGGTGTCAAACATAGTGCTAACATATTATAACTGAGTGCAGGCACAAAGCATGAGGTGATAGTCTGGGCTGTGTGTTACTCATTAGATTAGCTGCAGACTTCTATCGAAATGAATGTGTACCGGCACCATTGCATAGGAGAGAAGCGGATAGATTGGAGCGAAGATGGCGACGCGAAGCAAACGCAAAAGAACTCAGTAAGTGGTGCTTAGGGATTTTTTTGACATTGAGTGGTAATTGGCTTTTCCTCGCTTCTTTCTTCGAGGTGACCTGGCTCTACCTATAGTCATTTGGCACTGTTTGGACTGTCGGCCCTAGCGCTTGCTTTGATTCTTTCTGAGCATACATTTGTACTGAGTACTGCCCCCCTCCCCCCCCCCCCATTGTTCTTTCGGTTCTTTGCACTTGGCAGCATCCTCATCCAGCTACCAGCTGGCGTGCGTAAGCAGCATCGCCTCAGCGAATCCCCCTCATCCTCCTCTGAGAATAATAGCAGCGATAGTGACAACAGCTCGGATTCGGACAGCAGTGGCGATAACAACTCCAGCAGCTCAGACAGCGAGGCTGAAGCTGAGAACAGCAGTGTGTCTATAGCAGCACCGCGGAATACCTGTGCTAAGAAGGCCATCGCCGGAGCTGAGGAGGAACCGCGACCGCTTACTGCTACCGTTATGCCATGCCCCAAACCTGTTCTACCGCAACCACCAAAGCCAGTAGTCATTGTTCCGCCTCGACAGTCCACGTCATCTGCTCAAGAAACGGACTCCGTTGCTGCCGACGATGAAAAGGACGCAGAAGAGCATGGCACCAATGAACTTACTTCGAGTACCGGTGCCTGCTGCTGACCTGCTGTTGGTGGTGGTAGCCTGCACATTAGCATTGCTGCTGCTCTCGCCGTCGCCTCTCACAGTCTGACCATTGGCACTGCTCTGTTATGTCATAACTTACTAGCACAGCTTTCAGTGGCAGAAAATGATGTAAACAATTTCCTTTTCAGATAATGAACTGCGGTAAAATATTTGCACGGGAATCACGGTTTTGCACTTTTCGGTGGAAGATGAGATTGATTGGCTTAGTTGAAATGCGTGCACTCACTTTCAGAAGGAGGAACTCCTTCTAGTAATTTATACGAAAGAGAAAGGACCAAGGAACTACAAGTTACGCTATACCGTCCACTAACACCACCAGTTACTAAACAATCAGCTCATCCGATAACATTGCACGACACCGACCGACGGTACTGACGTTCTACAACTAACTGGCTAACAGCTCTAGCACATCTTAGCACATCTTAGCAATGTTATCGTATGAGCTGATTGTTTGGTAACTGGTGGCGTTAGTGGACAGTGTAGCGTAACTTGTAGTTCCTTGGTCCTTTCTCTTTTGTATAAATTAATCCTTGGCTCTCCATCCGAGTCCATTCCTTCTAGTAAATACTTCTTTTTGGCACATGTGAATCGCTTGAGCCGGTTGTGCTAAGTGCATCATGCATGCCTTTGATTTCATACACATTTTTCAATAACAGTTCAAACAGGGTTTGACCCCTTTTTCCAAGTTATCCTGTTACTAGACGTTAACTTGTTCAGGGAGTCGTACAGGGGCGCAAGCTGACAACACCCCAGTGACAATTCAAGTGGAATCACAAGAGATTTTCCCTTTCCAGGACGAGGGCATCAGACCAGTCACCACGGCGCGGAGGCCTAAAGCGCACGGATGCCAATCCAGAATCCACCCGCAGAAGCTGAATGTCTAACAGCCTGGTATACTAGGGAGGTTTAGTCCCACGTAATCCGTGGGTACTTTACGTGTGTGTACCACGTGATACTCAGTGACCCACGTACAGACGTTTTCTGATTCACGACATACCGTGTATGGAGGCTCACCCACGTTCCGCCAGAACGTGGGTGAAAATCAGAATGGAGTGCATTGTGCAAGCTGTGAGGGTGCTCAGCTGAAAAAGTTTCCGAAGCACAAATTCAAAATATTGGATGAGCTTCTTAGGCCCGGGTAGCTTCGTCTTTGACCAGGTTTGGGCCTTTCGCTTCATGCTTTTGTTTGTTCCGTGTGACTAAACACAACATTGCAACGTGGGTGCCCCTCATCCACTTTACGTGGATCACCCACGTACGCGTTTCCGTTACGTGGGAACTAAACCTCCCTACTATGCGTAACTCAACGTGGCCGCGGCCCACACTGGCGTAATCACCACCTCTCCATTACATCATACATGTACAAATGCAAGCGTACACATGTCTTTTGCCCACACAGAGGACGAAAACCCTGGCCCGGAAACTAGCCGCTTCGCAGTGCTCATTGTATACACCCCCCCCCCCCCCGTTATTATGCTCCCCATCCAATGTCGTGGAAGTGGAGAACCCCTTCTGTTCAACTTCTGGGTAGGCATTGGCGGATAATGCTCGAAAAGGTGGCAGATTCTGCTCGAAAAGCACTGAAATTGGCAGAACCATACAAACCTTATGGCGGCCAATTCCTCGAATTCTGCTCCATTTCTTTATCCACATACCAAACATACATGACACTTACCAGAAAAAGTACCGAATTCTGCCAATTTTTCCGCCGGCATTATCCGCAAAGGCCTACTTAGTACTTAGGCTTTGCTATACCTAAGCAGTCAAATATTCCTGCATATTTCACTCCTTAGGGCTATGATATTGACCGCTTATTTTTTTACTCCTTTTTAGTGATTGAACACATGCTTTGGTTAGTCGTGATAAATCTAATATTGACTTCGTACTTGGTCAGTATAGGAATAAACTCGTAAAAGACCTCGGCTTTTATTTCCTATAGTATTGACCTCGTACTGAGTGTGGCATTTTGGTTTGAATAATGTAATGTGGGTCCAAGCACGTACTGCTAGCACACGTCTGCAACTAAAGTAACTGTTTTATACAGTCATGTGATCATGGTAATGTACTTCCAAGGCAACTCAAACACATACTCAGTCAAAGTTCAAACTAACTTCTAATCCTGGCAATGAGTCTCACTCTCAGCCTGCGCTGGCGATGAGGATTTCCACGAGTCCTGATCTGCGACAACTTTCACACCAAGGTTCAACTCAAAGGTTCAACTCGAATGACAGAAACTCGCCCAAATATGCAGTGTACTGTAAGTAATAATTATTAGTTTTTGTTAGTTTGACAGCATGAAACAAGGACAGTGGAGGACACTGTGTTCGGAAACAGTGACCTTACTACAACCATCCACGGTTGGCAGCCCTGGTCCGTTGGGACCATTTGAGCCATACTATTATGATGGGTGTTTAGCCCGGTTCTGACCCTCATTATGCTAGGGGAGTTTTAGACTTCTCCTTACGTCAGTCGTGTATTCTTTGATTGCTCCTGGATGTCGTCCTGATAGTCATGTACTGATGTAGCTACTCAGCTGCTACTGTAACCTAAATTGTTTTTCTTAAATCTTTTTTTTCTTTTCTTCTTCCAACTTCTGCCCATGGCGTCCCTCTCTCAGCTCGTCAGTAGTTGTTTCATGCTGTCAAACTAACAACATGTGTGAACTATAACAAGGTTTATATAATACTAGTATAGTACTAGTATTGCCACTACCGGTATTGGGTTATATAATACCATAAGTAATTAGTTGTACCCTGCAGGCACGGTGACGAGGTGAGTGGAGTACGCACGAGCACGTGACCGCTTGTTCAGCCATGTTCGATTGGGAATAAGGGCCGAAAGCTGCATCGCAGCCTTTTCGGACCAAAACCAGTCGACTCAACGTCCAAAAGACTCCAACATATGGGCCAATCGCGGTCATCCGTGCTTTTGTAAGAACGAAATGGCGCTTTTAGTGACAGTTTGCATACAAATCCCCATCTAGTAGGGCGCAGTCATCCAGTTTCGGTGGAAGCGAGGCGGGATAGCTCCACTAGGAACCAACTCTCCCTTCTTCTAGCCCACTCTTCTGCATTGCTACACTCCCCCCTTTTCAACGGCTATTTGCATTGGCTTAAAGGGGAAGTTAAGGCAAAAATTAAAATTTCACCAGTCTTCGGGGTGCTGAGTCGAATGGTCGTGGTCCGAGGAAGCTGAGACGCTCCCTTCCTACTTGAATCCCAATCGAACTCGCGCACTTCCACCGAAACTGGGTGACTGCGCCCTACTAGATGGGGATTTGTATGCAAAATATCACTAAAAGCGCCATTTCGTTCTTATAAAAGCACGGATGACCGCGATTGGCCCATATGTTGTAGTCTTTTGGACGCTGAGTCGACTGGTTTTAGTCCGAAAAGGCTGCGACGCAGCGTTCCTCCTTTATTCCCAATCGAACATGCTTGAACAAGTGGTCACGTGCTCCTGCGTACGCCAGTCACCTGGTCACCGTGCCTGCAGGGTACAACTAATTACTTACTAGCCTGTTTGACCTTTTTTGGGTGCAGTCCTGTCACTCGAGTTGAACCTTGGTGTGAAAGTTGTCGCCTACTGGCGTGGTGACCAGGTGATTTGGGCACCCAGGAGCACGTGACCGCTTCTTCACCCATGTTCGATTGGGAATAAAGGAGGAACGCTGCATCGCAGCCTTTTCGGACCAAAACCAGTCGACTCAACGTCCAAAAGACTACAACATATGGGCCAATCGCGGTCATCCGTGCTTTTGTAAGAACGAAATGGCGCTTTTAGTGACATTTTGCATACAAATCCCCATCTAGTAGGGCGCAGTCACCCAGTTTCGGTGGAAGTGCGCGAGTTCGATTGGGATTCAAGTAGGAAGGGAGCGTCTCAGCTTTCTCGGACCAAGACCATTCGACTCAGCACCCCGAAGACTACAACTGGTGAAATTTTAATTTTTGCCTTAACTTCCCCTTTAAGCTGCACCAGGAGACAAAGGGCCTTTCTACTTCAGGAACGCCTTGCTTTACCAGTAGACCACAATTTTAGTCCATATTTGCTTCCTTCTTTTCCTTTTCTTTTTGACTTCTTACTCTTTTCCTTGTTAGCCATGGTTGGCTTTAAAAACCCTGCAATCGGCCAATCGCCACGCAAAGTGGTCATTGGCTACCCCAGCCATGTATTGCTTGGAATAAAAAAAGTAAAAAAAGTGCACGAGTTCGATTGGGAATAAAGGAGGAAAGGAGCGTCTTAGCTTCCTCGAACGGATTTTATGACATGTAAATCAGCTAGATCTATGCAATAGACTACAGCCATGATTGAGCTTGTGCACCTGGCGTACATGTAGATGCGCGAAGTCCTTCCTTCCTTCCGAAGCCAACTACATATGTAATAATAATTACTAGGCGAATGTTGTATGCAGCCTTGTCTCTCGAACTGGTGAACAGTTACGTTGTAGCCATATAATTATTTATAGACAACTCAAGTCTGTGGACAGCAACTGTTTCGCTCTCTTAGAGCTCATCAGCACAGCTCAGAGGACCGAAGCGCAGCTCTTCGCAATGAAATACGTTTCCGTGAAGCAAAGCATTTTTATAATCATTTATAGACATTTTTAGTTTAACTGTTGCCCAACTAATTTACAGTGTACTTGAACTAACTCTAACTGACTTCATATCTTCACTTCAACTAACTTTCAAGCGCGGCACTTCCTTGGACACGCCATGCGCCATGAACTCAGCATGCCGGCATGCATCAGACCGAAAACTGTCGTCTCTTTGAAGACCCGCGATCTTTGATTTTAGCGCCGCGGGGCCGCATGCATGTTTTACACCAAGCGAAAACATCACACGGATCGACAGAATGATAGGGTTTAGCAGTCTTGTTTTGTGACAACGCACCAAGCCTGCCCCTGCTGGTTCTCTGTGTCTTTTTGGATGGAGTCGGTTCGATCGATCAAACGACGTGGCGAGACCGAACAGCGA